CTCCCTCCTCCCCCGCTTTTTCCTTCATCTCCTTGTAGATCAGCATAAATCAACGTTATCAGTGGTGTTTTTGTCAACCGAGGCTAGCTCTCCTGTGTGTATTCCAGCCCCTCTTCCTCCAGTGTTAACTAGTGGTGATTGAGCTCTTCTGTCCCAGTAGCTGACAGTGTTTGGTTGGAGGTTCATGTTACGGGGTAAGGGTCCGCTTGAGCGAGCAGCTTAAAGGGTAGGCTGTCCTGTGGCAGATTGTATTGTATGTACATACAAATAGCTATGGCCCGTCGGGTTATTATGATCACCGGTTATTCCCTAGCGCTGTATTTTGTTCTACTAAACGAGGGTGGACCAGTGTACCGTACCTAGCTGTCCATAGATATATATCATCCTATCACATGAAAATTAGACCGCACACCGAAAAAAAAAGGCCAGCGCAGGGCCAAATCTCCATTCAGTTGGTTACAACCACCAGCTGCATTACTTTGAAAAGACTTTTCTGTGTGTCATCAGAAATAGAAGAGCAGGAAAAGAAGCCGTCCTTCATACCCGCTCCAAGCTTTCTATCTTGCTAACCCAAACCAAACGATGTCCACTTTCATCATCATACGGCACATCTATATAGACTGTTGCCTTCACTCAGTCACAACCCGCTGCAAAGAGAGATTAGGTATATGGAAGGGGAGAAACAGGGTGTGGCCAAGGAGTATAGACTCTAATTTATTTCATGACGTTTAAATTTTACATGAATAGATATCATGCTGCTTGACAGAAGGTATCAAGGGCATGGATGGGGACGGGAAGGGAGCTAGAATTAGCGAACCACAAGGGAGAAAGCGGAAGGTGATGGAGGGAAAAGGGGAGGGGACATGATAGGGCGTGATAGATTTTAAGAAAAGAAGAGCGATGTAGCAATGAGCATAGAAGGGAGGGGGAGGGGAAAGTAACGAAATCATCCCTTCTTTTTCCCCTTATCCTTCGCGCCCTCTTGCTCCTCCTTAGAATCGTTGTTGCCAGGCGGTGACTTGGAGTTTTTGGTATTATTGGTGTTATTATTGCCGTTGGTATTCGTCATGGGGCCATTCTTTTCTTCTTCTTTCTTGGCGTCTTGCTCCTCCTGCTGCTGGCGGTTCTGAATCTTGTTCTCGATAAGGTCGTGGAAGGCAGTAATGGCTCTGATCAAACTGCTGAGGTAGATGGCCATAAGTTGGTCGTTGGTCTTGATGCTCATGGCGCGTGCAAGCTCCGTGTTTTCGGTCTGTGGCTGTTCCGTTCCGTTTACTTGCGTGTTGTTTGCCTTGGGGGTGGAAAGATTGGGGAGAAGGTTGAAGACGTCCTGGAGGTTTCCGAGAATGGCGTGGTTGACGGGCAGGTCGCCGTCTAGCACTTTTTGTAAATATTGCCCGATGTCTCGGAGCCGGAGATGGAGGCCTTGTAATGATTGTAGTTGGGAAGTTATGCGGGTGGAGAGAGTGCCGACAGCAACGTCTCTTATATCCCTAAGGAGGTGTTCAACGCCAATCTCTTCTGCTTCTTCGGCTTCGATTATGGAAGGGGTATGAACAAAAGTTTTCGATGTGGTGGTGCCGTCCTTTTTGTTCGTGAAAACGTATCAGCATACGCAACATACAACCAACACCACGATCGAGAGAGCAAAAACAGTGTGCACACTCACATCTTTGATTTCCTCAACAGCAAAGTAGGCATCCGTAGGTACGCCAACCTCTTTTGGTTGCACGTCGATGATCACTAGTAGGGGATTTGGTGTGTATCTCTTGAAGAGCTCATTTATCTCCAGATCAGCGGCTCTGAGTTTGGGACCGGAGTGGTACCATCCAATGAGCTTTTCACGAGCATTGATCTTCTTGAACATATCATTCATCGACTCGACGAAATTGTGGTCTAGGAACCAGACGGAGGGATCCTTGTCATCTTCCTCGAAGGGTACTATATGTAGAGGTCGAAATATTTGTGTTTAGCAGAAGGACCGGTATGGTATGGGAGCAAAAGTGAAACATACCAGCAAAGCTGTTCGAAACCCTGACATTCTTGCCATCGTTTTGGCCCAGCAGTACTCCAACTACCCGCCGTCTCGTTCCCTTGGCTGAGCGTCCGTAATGATCTGCGACAGAGAGGAGGACTAACGGGGCGACAGAGACAGTTCGTGTCACCATGGACAAGGTGTCTGCAGTGGTGGCAGGCATGCTGGGTTAGAGAGAGAGGGGTATACGGACAGTCCAGCAGCGGGAAGAAACGAGGGGAACAAGAGTTGAGAGATACGGTCGTGGGAGGAGTTAGGTTGAAGTGGTGGTGAAATAGCTGTGCTGTGCAGCTTTCAATGCGTCGGATTCGTTGAAGCTGGGGGGAGCAACCCGGTGATGCTGACTAACCAGGCTGTGGCTGGTTGGGGGATCAATACAATGTGGCTGACGAGGGCTCGGGAAAAAGATCGCAGCTTGAAGTTGGTTGAATATTGCCGTAGAAATAATCTACAATGGTAGATAGATAAATGGAGGTGAGATAATACGGGAAACCTATTTTGAGTAGAACGAGCGTGTCAAGGGAAGCATGTATATATATATATATATATATAACTATATCAGTATTTGCCTTAAAAAAAATTACATAGAACAGACCCAATCCGCTCAGTCTTTCCCCTTTTTGGTGCTTCAGCTCTCCTCCAGCCGAGCGCAAAGAAATAACGTTACTACTGGATTCAAAAAGGTTACAGAGGCATTGACCAGATCTTCGGCAATAATGTCGCGCGAGGGTGGATCTGCCGGGTTGCCTGGTCCGCCTGTTGGGGGGGTTTGTTGGTGCCTGGCAATGGGCCTATAGAACCGGCGTCCCTTGGAATAAGTTTAGCTGGCTTGATGGCTGGCAGGAAAAAAGTAAATAATAAGACGCCTGAAGCGCACCTCGGCCGTGTGGGAACTGCGAGAAGGAAAGAAAGCTGTGGTTTTGCCGTCGCTGGTTCGCTGGTTCGTTCGTTTCGTTTCCCATCCCAACAACCTCACTCACTTCTCCCGGTGTAGAGGGCAAAAAAAAAAAAAAAAAAAAAAAAAAAGCTCCAGTTCCAGGTTCCAAACCCTCTCCACTCTACCTCCCACCACTATACTACAATAATATACCTCAATCAACCTACGCCACACATCTTCAACAAAACAGCAACTACCATTTTCTCGTTCCTTTCCTTTGTCGAAACTGAGCGACTGCTGGACCTCGAGCACGCCGGCCGTCTTCCGTTGACGTTGACTCCATCCCCCCCAATCTCCACTCCATTTCCCGTCTTCCCCCATCTCCCCGACACTTCGTTCCACACAATGGCTCCCATCAAGGATGAAACGGTCGATGGCCTTAAGACCATCATCGGCGAGCTGGAGTCGCGCGTGGCTCAATTGGAAGAGCGGTTGCTGCACGGAGGTGGCTCTTCGCAGCCTAAGTCCGTCGCGGAATCTGTGCGGATGATCTTGATGGGCCCTCCAGGCGCGGGTGCGTTTTTCTCCTCCGTTTCTTCCCTTTCTATTTTACATATGGACATACATATATGTTTTCTAAAAGACATAAAATTAAAAAAAAACCGTACTGTACAATCCAATGGCTGAATATCAACCGTCTTCTTTCAACAGGCAAGGGAACGCAAGCACCTAAAATCAAGGAAAAATTCTGCGCCTGTCACCTGGTGAGTACATTGTTCCGATTACAAACAAGTAAAGAAGGTATATATCCCCGGCTGACTTTTTTTCTCTTTTGGTCATCTGTAGGCCACCGGAGACATGCTGCGGTCACAAGTCGCTCGCAAGACTGAGCTGGGCAAGGAGGCGAAAAAGATCATGGACCAAGGTGGATTGGTTAGCGATGAGATTATGGTTAACATGATCAAGCACGAATTGGAGAATAACAAGGAGTGCCAGAACGGGTAAAGAATAAGAAATACCCCCTCCCTCCTTGTTGTGTTTGGCTTTGAGTTATCTCGCCCTCCTTTGGCCATCCCCAACGTCTCGTGAATTTTTGCTAACGCGAGGAAAATGCAATTTTGTATTTGCTTATAAAACACCAGTTTTATCCTGGACGGATTCCCCCGCACAGTCGCCCAGGCCGAAAGATTAGACAGCATGCTCAATTCTCGCGGCCAGAAACTCCAACACGCCATCGAGCTCCAGATCGACGACGCCCTCCTCGTCGCGCGGATAACTGGCCGCTTAGTGCACCCCGCCTCAGGACGCTCGTATCACAAGATCTTCAACCCACCTAAGGAGGCCATGAAGGACGATATCACGGGTGAGCCGCTGGTCCAGCGGTCAGATGATAACGCCGATGCGCTGAGTAAGAGACTGAAGACGTACCATTCGCAGACGGAGCCTGTTGTGGGATACTACAAGACCACTGGCATCTGGAAGGGGATTGACGCCAGCCAGGAGCCTGGACAGGTGTGGAAGAGCCTGCTGCAGGTTTTCGATGCGGATAAGGCTGCAGCTTCGAGTGGGATACTTGGCAAGATCAGCATGTCGAAATAAAGATTACTAGGCTGATTACTGTTTTACCCCTTTATATTACTCTCTTCGTGTAGTCCTCCCTACGTTTCTCTCTCTCTCTCTCTGTGTATGTGTGTGTGCGTGTGTCGTCTCATTTCGACCAATTCCTCTTTCCTTTTTATATATATTCTTACTCGGTGCCTTTTTCTCTCCATCACCATGTCATCTGGATCCCTCCAGTGGATCCCCTCTTAAGTTTTGCTCCCTCCGGTGCGTTATAAATGGATACCAGCCCACCTATCAAGCATAACCAAACCCCTATTGGAGAATCTTATCATATATGCGTCCAGAATTGTATGCGCGAAACTTCTACTATTTTCTCTTTTTCCTCTCTTTTTTTATCGGTTTTCTTTTTCTTTCTCTTTTCTTAATTTTCGCCGGTGATAACAAGGAGGTAAGAATCCGCCCATTCCATCAGGGGACCTCGCATCGGACCTCGCTCGTGCATGAATGGGAAAGGTGAAATAAGGAACATTTGCAGAACAGAAGAAAAAGGAAGACAAAAGCGTGCTGTTGTAAAAGAATACCCCCTTCTGCTACTGTCAATCAACCGGGCGACTAACTACTGACTGATAACTATATATTGAATCGCTTTTTTGTCTCCAATTCTTCTTGTTCTTCTTTTCTTTTTTTTCTTCTTCTTTTTTTGCTTTCTATTCTCTCTTTCTACCTATCTGAACAAATGTTTCGGTTTGTTCTTATTTCTTCTGTATTTGCTTCTCCTTGATGGATATAGAAGGATGATTGTGGTTTCTTTCCTTTCAATATACTCCGCCTCCTCATTCTTCTTCTTATTTCTATAACCTGCACATTGCCGGGCAAATACTTGGTATCAGAAAGAAAAAGGAGCAAACTATCCAGAAGGATATTCAGGATTTCTATTGTTCATTTCCATTTCATCCGTATTCTATTTCTATTCCCAATAAACGGACCCTTTGTCCTCCGAATACCACCCCCTTTTCCCCCTTTCACCTCTTCCCCCCCTTCCCTCTCTCCCCTCCCGCCTCTGTTCATGATGCTGCTGTAGTTGCTAGGTGACAACTGTGATCTCCTCACTCTCTGAAATGTCATGAGCGCATGGGCCAGTGAATCAGAGCTGTTGTGTAGTGTGATGTTGTGCTGAGTCGTGTCGTTATCTTTGTCATGGCATGATGTCCCTCAGCTGCCCTCTTTTTCTTCTTTCTCTTCCTCTCTTCTTCTCTTTCTCTCTTCTTCTCTTCATCACTCTCTTTCACATCACTTCTTGTCATTGTTTGCCATCCATCACAGAACCCCTTAGAGAGAGATCAAATCCTCATCAAGCAGGTCCTCTATCCCTCAGCAAGCCGCATCAACGCTAGTGAACCTGCCAGCGTCTTCAGGAATGGGCACTTCCTATTCCTGCTGCGGCCGTCACGACGAGGACGACGATGACGAGTCTGTCACTGTTCGTGGGTTGGAGATCGGGTCTCCTCAGTTGTAAGTCCACTCGTGTCCTCGTCTCCCAGGGGAATTGACAGATATAGAATCCCCATCTCCATTCCCTTGTTTTAAAGGGGGTTGTTTGTTTTGAAGGCATTTGTGTGTGTCCTTTGGTGTTTCATTGCTGCTTGTGCCAGTTTGGTAGTTGGTGAGCAGACGGCTAACTCGTTGATGCTCTGTCTCCTTATTTGCTGCCAACTTTTAGCCCCCAGACCACGTTGAATCTGGATATGCATAATTTGCGTCGTAAGTTTTTTCCCTGTTCCCATCCATTCTCTCTCTCTGATGAAATGGGACCAAATATGCCAGAGAAAGAAAAGAGGGGGGGGGGCTTTTGATGTCCCATTCAGGAGATTTGCCATTCACTCCCCTTTTGTTGATTTCGAACGGGGCCTTTGCTAAGAAATATCCCTCTCCCTCCCCTCCCCCTTATTCTCGTACAGCAATTACTCGCCATGACGGTCGTGCCGTTGATATCTACCCAGAAATCCGCAGCATGCCACGCACCATGAACCTGGCTGACCTTGGTCATCTTGGTGAAACCACTGCCTCTGCCGTGGCTGTTGACGAGCAAGCCGGTCGCACCGTAAGTTTATCCCATCTCCCTTTTCATCCTCTTTTTTTCATCGCGAAAGACAAAGCCTGTTCCCAGACCATACCCAAAAACCATCAGCACACTCCAATGTCGAGAATTAATCTTTGCTTTCTTCTCTTCTTCATCTTCATTTTCGGAACAACCCAATTGATCATAACATTTCCGCGTTTCGAAGGTGGTTGTGTATGTTGACGCCATAGTCTTAGACTCCTGAGGTGGCCCCCGTCGTCGAGACCACCAAGGAGGAGGAAGCCGCCGTCACCATGGACACCGCCATCGACACCGACACTGCCGTTGCTGAAGCTGAGGTTGCCGCTGCTACGTCTGTTTCGTCCACCACCACCGACGCTGAGGATGTCGTCGTCGCTGAGACTGTTGCCCCTGGCACAGCTCGCTAAATTAAACAAAATAACTGGCCGTCTGATTTATTTTTTTCTTCGCCAATCGTATTGCCAACAGCTTTCACGTTCGTCATCGCCATGAAGTTCAGAAAAAAAAAAAAAAAAAAAAAAACCCAACCCTTGTGTTGAGAAGAAAAATCTATACGGCCCGTTTTTCTTCCGAACACGATCGGTTTGTTTTCGCTAAAATGAACAATAATAATGAATGGGAGGAGGATGGGCTTGTTGTTATGTTTGCAGACGCTGTTTCTTTTTTTCTTTTTTCTCTTTTTTAACGAAATAAATCTCCAATCTTCAATTCTTGTACGGACTGGACTGTAAGAGTACACGGGAAGCATTCCCTTTGTGATTTAACAATCTGCCCCAGAGGTTTTTTTTTTTTTTTTTTTTTTTTTTTTTTTTTTTTTTTTTTTTCCTTGATATTTCGTGATTTATTCCTTTTTCTTCTCTCTTCGCTCAAACCTAACCACCAACCCCCTTTTAATGTCCCCCATTGTCAATTTGATAGCACTGCACGTCTGGTGAGGCATTTGTTCAACGACCCATGGACTGCCCGTCTTGTTCTCCATCTCAAGTTTATCTCTCTACTCTTTCTTTCCTTCGAAGAATGCTTGTCACTGAGGCCCAAAGGAAGAATGGAAAAGGAGGAATGTACCAGCCCATCCCACCATCATGACGGAGAGGCAGTCAACGAAAAAAAATGCAAACCTGTGGGGGTTGGCGTGTATGGGAAGATGAGGCGTAAGATTTGTATTCTGAAGGTTGTTTCTTTTTCTCCTTTTTTTTTTTTTTTTTTCGCTCCTCGTGCTCTCTATTTTAATGAATTCCCACACCCCAATATACAAAAATAGATAGTCAGAGAATGGAAACAATTGCCCTCCTCCCAAAAACTGGAATCTTCTACTCTTTTCCTTTTCCTTCACTTTCTACTTATTACTTTCTGTGGAAGGCGGCAGCTTTCACTTGGGGAGCTGACGCTGATTTGATGGTGAAACGTTAGAAGTCATTTTCATTCATATCATTCGTAGATTTCCATAGCTAAAAGAGACGGTATAAATATATATCCATACAATGTAATGTACCTGGGTGACTGGCAGAGCTTCGTCTCGTCTCCCAGATAAATATTACTTCCTCCAAGACAGTAATTTCTCTCTCTCTCTCACACACACCCCCTCAGAAAAGAAATCATCAACCTATCAATACCTATGTATAAAAAATTATTTGCTTGTACAGCCTAAGAAACCCCCTTCTTCCCCGCAAGCGCCACCGGATACTCCGTCGACTCAATCTCATCCGGATACCTCAACCCCCCTTGCCTCCTCACCTCATCCATAACATCCATAATAACCAGACTCTCCTCCCACGACATCGTCTCGCTCTCCAGCTTTCCATCCCGCACACACCTCGCCGCCTCATCAGCCTCCCAATACATCCCCTTCCCCTGCCCGGGAAACTCACCCACAACCTCTCTGATCTCCCGCCCCTCACCGAGCGGAATAACCTTGAAGCTATCCGGATGGAACGGGTAGCCAAAGACCTGAATCTCGCCGCGCGTGCCCTGGATGCGCACTGTGGGGCCCGCGGACCATTTCCCGTCCAGGTCGGAGATCAGACGGAAGTTCGTCATGGCGACCGCCTGCGCTTTGTACGTGCCTGCGGGCGTCGACTGGGGGAATTCGAGCAGGATAGTGGTGGATTCGTCGGCGCCTGTGGCCGGGTAGTGGATCATTTGGGAGCTGATGGTGCTGGGTGGTTTGCGTTCGGCAAGGGGTCGGGTATGGTAGAGGATTTGGAAGGCCCATGTTAGGGAGTAGACGCCCACTGTATATATACAGCGAGTTTAGCGTGGGAGTACGTCCCAGTAGTAACCTCGTATGCAAAGGGTGTAGGATATCAAGGAAGTTGATTGAACATTTAATACAAATGAAAACATATCTTAACACTCACCATCCAACAGCACCCCCCCAGCCAAATCCATATTCACCATCCGATGCGTCGTCCCCCAGTCCCCCTCCGGATCCGTACTCCCGCAACTCGTATCGGCCACAACCCTCACCACCTCCCCAATCTCCCCCTTACCCACCAACTCCCGAATCTGCACCGACAGCGGGAAAAACCTCGTCCACACCGCCTCCATCAAGAACAGCCTGCGCCGGCGCGCCGTCTCAACCAGAATCCGCGCCTGCGCCGCATTGGTCGTCAGCGCCTTCTCGCACAGCACATGCTTCCCCGCGCCCAGCGCCAGCATGGCGTTCTGGAAATGGTGCGAGTGCGGCGTGGCGATGTAGACGATGTCGACGTTTGGGTCGTTGACGAGGGCCTCGTAGGAGCCGTGGGCGGTGCAGGGTTGTGGGATGGAGAGGTCTGTGATGAATTGCTGCGCGCGCTCGCGGGAGGTGGAGGAGGCGACGGCGGCGATTGTGTGGGAGATGTCGGAGGCGTTGCGCAGGGAGGGGTCGATGAGCATGTCCCTTGCGAAGGCTGGGTGTGGAAGGTATTCATGTTAGATATTTTGGTGTAGGGAATGCTCCCCCCCGAGGGGGTTTATGGTATTTTTTAATTTGCTCTGGTCTTTGTTTGATGGGATTTTCTCTCTTACATTTGGAAATCCCTCCCGTAGCTAGACCATGCGATTAAGTATTAATAGAAGCTCTCTCCATGGAAGGACAACCATTGGCTGGCAATGACAAACAGAGAGGTGTGGAATTTGAACAGCTTCAACGTACCCATAAACCCCCACCGAATATTATATGGTTCCGCCATTGTTATACAGGCAGTCGATCAATTAAGAATACGTCAAATGAAGATATTAAATTAGGGGTAGAAAGAAGAAGGCAAGGAATCGTCGTTCGTAAGCCGACGGTAAAAACCAAAGGGAGATTATGCAAGGACAAAATGCGTGGGACCGGTTTATTAATATATATGAACGATGTCGATGAGCGGGGTTACGTTTTTGACAGGGTTACCACCTATCCTTGCATTGCTTCAAGCTCCCTGCCCCTCCCCCACAAAAAGCGATGTAACTGAGCCTGTACTCGTCCAAGCCACTGAAACTACGGCTCGGGAGGTTGGGGAGGGGGAAAGCAATGGAAAATATCGGCCCGCATTCTGGATTTTCCGGTGTTACGCTTATGGGGGTTTCGGCATATCGAGAAGACAAAGACAACCAGAAATAAACATGTGTGCGTTGGTTGTACAGTACCTAACGTGGAGGTTCTTCTCTTTAAGAACGGAGTATATTTTTTTAAATTGGAATTTAGTGGCAAAACTAACTGGCCATATTTCCATTAAATAGATGGAAGAAGCACTAAACAATTTACGCAGCTAGCACAAAATAATGAAGGCTAAAAACTAATTTTCTTTTTGACTTGCGAAGATTGAGTCTATAAAACAGATCAGGGCATGACCTCGAATGAGACATACCATGCCATGCCATCCTATGGTAACAAGTGAACGAAAAAAAGTTAATAACAGATAAAAAACACGGTCTAAACGAAAGTATCGGACAGATTTTATATGCGACCAGTAGCTACTACATTACGCTGAAGTAGAAAAATGGAGGGATGGGGAGATTGGGTATATAAGGCCGGCGTGAGCACGGCGTGAGGAGTTATCAAGACAAGTGTTGACAGGGAGGGAGGGAGCTTGGGGAGGGTATACAGGAGTTGTCTAAAATGAAGGGAAGTTGGGCCCCAGGGGAAGGTTGAGAAGAGAAGGAAAATTTTTGAAGATTTCAAAATGTCATGATGCAGGCTCAGTTTTTATTCTAACGCTAGTTGTGACACTTTCTGGTTCCTAGAGGCAAATAAAAAGAGAGAGAGGGAGATTATAGGTTAGCACAAGTCTATACGTGCGATTTCTTCCAAATTATCAAGCCGGGGAGGAGGAGGGCGGGGTGACTATCATACCTCAGCTTTCCTCTTCCCCAAGACAGAGTCTGGAGTCCCGGTTCTACCAACCGGCGTCCCCTGTCCCGTCGCCGTGCCATCCCTCGTAACTTCCGAGTAACAGCTTGCATGATATACACGACTCCCCACCTTACTGGCATCATGCCAGATCCAGTCTTGCGCTTCTTCAGACCACGTCGATTCGAACTTCTCCTGGCAGATTGGGCATGGTGCATTGCGTAGCGCCGCGTCGTTGGGTGCGTGGATCCATGGCTTCTGCGATGATTTCTTTGCTCCAGCCGCAGCAGCATCTGTCGCTGATCCGTTGGTGGAAGTTGCACCTTCACCTGTTTGGCCACCGGTATCGTCGTCGTACTCTCGGGATTTTATCCATTCCTGCGTTTGTTTGTGTTAGCTGTGAGTGAGGAGGTTTGCCAATCAAAAGAAAACGGAAGAAGAGAAAAGAAAAGACAGGTTTTACTTACCCGCTCACCCAGATACCAGCTACGACTCTGTCCTCGCTTGGATGCCTCAGTCATGCGCTGATTAGTTTTGAAATGCCAATCCAAGTGTCGTGCCTTTTTCTCTTTTCCTTGATCATCTGAATGAAAGCGGCGGCCACATGTTCCGCATCGATTCGGCTTTTCTTCGTACAGCGTAGAAATTAGGTTCGGCCTCGGGCTAGATAGACAAAAGGGAACGGTTAATGTATAGGACTATTGCGGCTAGTTATTTACTTTATATTTTTATACAAGGGAGCTTACATCCTGATGGACGCTGAGGTCATTTGTATGTTAATTTTGACTTCAGATGGGTTAGATAATTGTGAAATAACAGCGGGTGGTGTATATCCCGCTTGCCCAGGGAGAATGAAAGGTAGATTAGGGGGTGTTGGCGGAGCAGATGAAGTTGGGGGCGGGAGTAGGCCTCGAGCTCTAAGGGAGGCAATCAAGGGATTCTCTGTAAGGGTAGGTGCTGTAGACGGTGCGGGGGGGGGCGGAGTGCTGGTGGCTTGAGGCTGTAGGAATGGTGGAATATGAGGCACCACCGGCGGTGGTGGTGGTGTTCGGCTTTGCTGGTTTGTTGTCGCTTTTATAAGCTCCGCAATCGTGGCAGGGTTTAGAAGGGCTTGAAGATTCGGCTGCGGGGTGTGGTTTTGTATTGATTGAGCTGCCTGGGGTATAGGTGGAGTTGGAACAACCCGAGGGGGAGGCTGAGCTTGGGGTGACTGCGGGGAAAGCTGAGATACCTGATCTCGAATAAGCTTTAGCTGGTCTTGCGGTAGCTTTTGCTGCTGCAGGATGTTCTGGAGGTCTAAAAGAGCTTTTAGCCGTTGCTGAATTGAAGGGTCAAGTGGATTAATTGCAAAGTCAGCTCGAGCGGTCGCGATCAAACTCTCTATATCACGGTGTAATGCGCTAAGGTCAATTGACTCTTGAAATGGTTGCCCGTATGGCTGAACCGGTTGAGCCGACGGCTGTAAGATATTATTAGTTCGAGAATGGACTACACCACTCGGCTGCAGATTGGACACTCACGTAGTGCTGGTGCCCATTACTCGGGTACTGTTGGGGGATATTTTGGTTGGCGGATTGGGTAAGTCGTGGGGGAATTTGCGGCGGGGTTGGAGTGTTCCGCCAGGTAGTAGAAGTTGGAGGAGTAGTAACTCCGCGATTCCGCCCAAGGATATCGTGCTGGCTTCTTGCCTGCTGATTCTGAAGCGCGGCTGTTCTGGCTTTGATAAGAGCATTCTCAATACTGCGGGTTATTTCAACGGGGAAAACAGGTCTAGTATCCAGGGAACCAGGAACAGGCTCTTTCCAAGTTTTCAACATCTCATCCAGTTTCTTGCGGGTTTGAGAATCGACGAGCGTATATGCGTTCATGAAGGTCTGATAGAGGTTGCGCCCCAAAAATAGAGTGTAGGGCGTTCCTACATTTTTGACAACAGAATCAACTACATAAAGAGCTGGAAGTTTCTGAGCTGGCGGAGTCTACAAATGAAGATCCGAGTTAGAGAGCTGCATATATCAATATTGCTACGAGTGCTCGAGTTAAGCGGTCGCAACGAAAGGGAACGGGAGAAAAGTCTTAAGCAATGAGAAGACGAGCATGATGTGAAAAGGGAAACGAGGAAACAAAGACGAAGCACCTACTGTCCGAATATGATTCTCCAGTACTCGGGAGATGGCCATCGCATGTTCAGTATTTTCCTTTGCAATCACTGTGAGATTGCTAATTTGGAACTTATCGTTTCCTGTCAGGTCCTCGAGCGAGTTCTTGTAATCTTCCGCAACTTCATCAGACGCAAGTCCTGTAGACATGCTGGGCACTTGGTATATAGATGTAATCGGGCGAAGATTATGAACAGATAATGACGGGTATCGTAAAAGGAAAAAGAAAAGCAATGAAAAAAGATATAGAACAGGGAAAAGTAACCAAGGCACAAAGGTAAAAGAGATTTTCCTTGGAAGTTTGCGATACTGACTGGTTTTAGCCAGGAGGAACTGTGAATGGAATATTTTTTCTTCTTCTTTTCTTTCCTTTTTCTTTCTTTTTCTTTTTTGGTTATTTGTCTTCAGTTGATTTTCCCCTTCCCCTCTCTTTTTCTTCCCTGCGAAGAAGCAATCTTCTGCTAATTTCAGAGTGCGAATAGATTGACAGGAAAAGTCAGGACAGAATTTGTAGAATGGTTGCTAAGTTATTCTCTGCAAAAACTGAACAGAACAGGCCGATGTGAACCCCCCAACTGCAAATATATGTATGATCCTTATTATATCATCCACCACCCATAAAGACCACCGTACAACGCCGCTAATCCTTTTTCTCCGTCCTTCTCAGCAACGAATACCAAAAATCCCAACAGTAAACGTGCTGGTAGCTAGGGAAAATGGGTTCTGGGCGATAGTAGGTGATATGTTGGCCGAGGGGGCAAAGAGGGAACTGGCCAGCGATGTAACGCTGATGACGGGAGGGCGAGGGGCGAAGGGAAATATAAATAGCACAATTGAAGGTACAACGGAATAAAAGATCAAATACAGGGTCGCTGACAGTATCAGCAGCTGTTTATCCAGTGATATTCACAAGGCAGCTGGGTGATGTTGGAGTTTGTTGGAGGTGGTCGCCGGAAGTTTGAAGCTGGAAGGGATTTGACGTTGAAGTGAGGCTCTAGAGGTGAGGCGATGAGTCAGCGGTCACCACGTGAAAGTCATGTGATCTGTTCCATATCCTTGAACTCAACCAGCCAGCATCAGCGTCATATAGGCAGGACTAGGTAAGATTTCGCCTTGATCTGTGAGACTCGCCTGTGGACGCTTTCTATTCCCCGTCAGCACCGGAGAGATCCCATGTAACCCCGTGAAAACCATCTTCTCCTCTGTTCTCGACTGATCTCAAGATCTCAAACCTCCAGTTAGCAATCTGTTGAACACTTAACCATCTCCCCATTTTGCTAAAGCATAAGACTATGAAGCTCTACATTTTTACTTTACTTTTGGTCTTTATCGCGACGGCCGCCTTCGCTGGAGTGGGACCAGAAAAGGCAATACTGGTCAGCTATCCTTCAGATACCCCTTCCTCTGTCATCGACGCCGCTATGGAGGCCGTTGAGGACGCAGTATGTTCCCCTTCTATCCCTAATCTTGGAGCGATTTTGATATCTAACCAAATGCTATTCTGCAATGGTTTTAATAGGGCGGAGTAATCACTCACAAATTCGGTAAGTCGCTGGCTGCCCCGTTCATAGATGCCTGATTTGACCTCCTGCTAACCGACGACTCTATTTAGAACTGATCAAGTATGCCTCTCCCCTCCCCTGGACATTATCTTCTGCTCAGAACCCCCGCTAAACATGTTGGAAACTAGGGGTTTCGCCGCAACTGCACCCATGACGGTCTTCGATACGCTTTCTACCTTGTCGGACAAACATCGTCCCTGGATCGAAGAAGATCAGATAGTCACCCTTGACGGAAAACTGACCAGCGGCGGCAATAAGTTGTAATTGTCCCAGGGTGAACTGTCGAACGGGAGCCACATGGTACCTCATGATATACGACCAAATATTCCACTCTACACTTGATTTGTTACCTGGCTAGAATGGAGGTGCTACCCGCCCTCATTGCCGAATGATCTCTTTTTTTGGTTTTTAGTAAAATCAGCGAAGAATGGTAGAATGCAATGACGTATCTGACATTCTCCTGTGATGACGCTACGTTGCAAGACAGGTGCACATACATACCTTATTTTATTTATTATTTTTTGCTTTTTTGACCTTGCATTTCGTTGTATATAGCTGCTGTATTTAATGGAAAATGTGCTAGCACAAATGATAAGATACCACTATCCTTTTTGTCACTACTTGATAATTTGAGTGCCGTACGCATAGTAGATTATACTATTTTAATTGTCCCTCATTTTCTAACTTCCCTGGGTCACTAAAATAATCACTATGGAATTAGTCTTCCAGGGGTCCATGTGCCCCTAAAATAGTGTTGGCTGCTTAGTCGACGACGTGACTTCTTACACGCTCCGAGCCGCCGCCACTCTTATTAACGACCAATAAATGTACTAACACGGTCCAACAGCTGCCCACGCATCTCTCTCCTTTCGCTCACCGTGCCATGATGCGGGATCATTTTGGCTCGAACTTCTCGCATATCGTGTAAACTCGTGCAGTACAACCCCGCGTCACAATGCTCTCCGACCTCATTTCCTCCACCCTCCTCGAATGGATCAATAGTTTTAGTTTGGGCACGACCATCCGATCAATTGACCAGTTGAGCGATGGCTCTATCCTCTGGGATACTCTTCAGGATATCGACCCGCAATACTTCCTTGGAGAATTACCAGAGCGCTCACCCTCCGACCACTGGGTCCCGCGATGGCAGAACCTAAAACACCTGCACAAGGCATTGATCAGTTATATAAGGAACCAGAACGATGGTGAAGTGCCTTCAGGGCTCAATATCTCACCTGATCTAAAGGCCATCGCAGAAGTCTCATCGACAAAGGAAACGAACGAACTGCTCAAGTTATTCCTGCTTGCAGCCATTAGCTCGCCAAATGCGGAAGCCTACATAATGACAATGCAGAAGCTATCCACTTCAACACAAGAAGGGCTAAAGGATATTATACAAGAAGCACAAAATCCGTCGGACGAAAGACTAGAGGAACTTGATTATGAGCGGAATGACCTCTCCACAAGACGAGATATGCCAATGGACCCAGAACTACGGTTTGAGGAACGCTTCGGAAAGGTACTGGCCGAAAAGGACAAACTGTTCAATGAAAAGCAAGAGCTAGAGAAAACAGTGGAGGACTTACATGACCGCTTAGCTCGACTTCAGGAGAACCACGATATGGTACTGGATAGGCTCACATCTACGGAAGATCGCTTGACGACTCTGAAATCTGGGAAGGGAGATTTGATACCGAACGCCAAAACACTGGAAAGCAGGACACGCCAGCAGGAGGATCTTATCGCGTCTCAGGAAGCCAAAATTCAGGCTTCTCAGGACGAAATTGATAGTCTACGGATGACAGTCGAGTCATTACGAGTGAAGAATCAGAGATTTCAAAAGTTACAAGATGACTACGACGAAGTGAAGAACGAACGAGACCAGCTTTCCAGGCGGGCAAATGCGGCAGAGAAATATCGACAGAAACTCCAAGCTAGCCAAGATTTCGAAAAGGAGAATATCGCGCTTAAAAATAAGGTCAAAGATCTACAGCAGCAATTGCGAGATAGCGATATTAGTCAGAAATCTTCATCTGAACGGGACGTGGAGCTTGAGGAGTACCGTCGCGTCCTCCCAAGAATAGAGCAGGATCGCCACGAGATTCAAAATGTGAAGAAACAGCTAGAATTTAACAACCATGCTCTCACCGAACGACTTCAAAGCGCGGAAGATCAGCTTGCCAGAGACGAAGCTACTATCAGCGAATTACGGGACCGAATACGGGAACTTGAGGGTCTGGAGAGCCCAACTACTCCTGGAAGTACAACTCCAAAGGCACACGGGACTTTCCAAAGGGATCTTGACGAAGTGGGCCGACGAGAGGCGCAGCTGTTAGTGTCATGTATCTCGTAAACGGTGCAAGTGCTAACTAGCTCTAGGAAAATTGAGAACGAAGAGCTTAAACGGGAGCTTGAGAAATTCAACGGTGGAATATCTCCATCGAGTGTATGACTCACCTAGTTCTAGTTCACTTGATCAGGGAAAACGCTAACACACAAACCCCAGGACACCGCGAAAGAATCCCCCACAGTTGGGCTTGGTACTAAATTTGCAGAGAAGTGGGAATTTTACCTTCCCTTATATTGCACAGATTCTAACAAAAACTACAGTGATGCGTATAGAAAGCTACAAGATGAATATTCTGCCATTCAGAAGAAACTTGCTGATGCACAAGGTGACATGGAAGCAATAGAACGACAGCTTCAGGAGGCGAAAGCTGAATGTGAGTTATATATACATGGGCTTGAGAATTTCACTCGAACCATTTACTTCTTGCTGACATTGTTGAAGTGGGCCTGATCAGTAAGGAGAAACTCGACATAGTTGAAGCGGCAAACGACTCTTCTTCCCCTGACGTGATAAAGATGCGGGATGAAGTGCATGCCGTTCAAAGCAAAATCCAGGACCTCGAAACTAAGCTTGCTACCAGCCAGTCATTTGTTCAGGAGGTATCTACAGAGCGTGATTCTCTCCGGGACAGGTTAACCAAGAAGGTGCAAGAAATGCAAGGCGAAGACCAGGCTACCATGGATGAGATGAAGAAACTTCTTGATGAAGTTGCCGCTAGATTCAACAGCAACAATACGGACGGGCCCCAGCTCTCAGGAACCGATTTACTCAGACAGTTCTCGGATACCATGGAGCGGAGCGCCGAAAATCTGGCAAAGAGAGCAGAGGTTAGTTCTCATAAACATTTTACCTTCGATGTTTTCCTTTTGCGTATTTCGTTTCTATCAAAATCTTCCCCGTGGGAAAATTGATAAACGGCTTTTCTGGGCTGGCAGAGGATCCTTCTTGTTCCTTGTTTGCAAGCACCTTTTTTATAAGTCTTCCGGAAGTCTTAGTCCTGAATACTCCCCCTCCTACATCCAATAAATACAACCAGAACCAGAGGTTGACCATTCGTAGATCCGGAGCGCTCTGGCACTCTGGCAATGGTTCCTCCTTTTCGTCGCGCTTGTATTTGCAATTTTTCATCGTCGACCCCGTCCCACTGTGTTGTGACATTGAAGCGTTCCTTTCTCCATATATCTCTTAAAAACCGCATCCCTCGGGGTTCTAATGCTAACTCGGCGCCGAACGATTCGGGGGGAAACCAAACAGCACATCAACCAGCAAAACGAACTTATCAAGTCTCTACAGGAGCGGATTCAACACTCTGAGAAGCAGGAATCGCATAAAGAAGCTGAGGTATACACATCATAAGTTCCCCTGAATCTGTCACGATAACCATGACCATCCCTTAGAATATGATAATACTGCTCCTGCTACCCAGCAGGTTTTGGAACAAAAAGAGACAGAAAGTAAGATATTTTCTAACTAAACATCTATGATAGAAAAACCTCATGCAAGTCATCCAACGCCAAGCCCGAGAGATCGCGCTCATATCATCCGCGTGGTATGACCAGCAGTCCCGCCTGCAGAACGGCAACGTTTCCATGCTGCGATACCGACATCCAGCTAGCACCAGCACGACTGGCGTGGAAGTCCATCGAAGCTGGCTTGCGAAGCAACGAGCTCTTGTTTCGAGAAGCAAATAATGATGAAACACTGATTATATATATTCTAAAATATATACGATCGCGATAGAAGTACACAGGTGAGGCGGGGGTGAGTGAATTTGGATACATGCTTGTTGTTGGAGCGACGACTTGCATGGAATGATGAAGGATTAACAAACACCGAGCGGGACCAAGGCTTACAATAAGGTGTTTTTGTTTGCTTTTCTAAGTTATTTTGGAGACAAGGCTGCCATTTCCTATTACTCTCTAAATCTTTCTCTTCTTGGTTTTTGATATATTAGACGTTCTTGTAATGCGTTCCCGTTCTCTCAACCCTACATTTTCTTTCTGTTTTCCTTTCCCCCCTTTCTTTCATTTTCTTTCTTTCTTTCTTTCTTTCTTTCTTTTTTCTTTTTTTTTTTTTTTTTTTTTTTTTTTTTTTTTTTTTTTTTTTTTTTTTTTTTTTTTTTTTTTCCTTATCTTCATCTTCGCCATTTTCCTTCCTCCCTATTGGATGTATTCGGCATTTTGGATCCGCCATTTTGTATAAATCAGCCCTCAGAAATCGTATTTTTTTTGTGACCCTCATCCGTTCAAAGAAACCACTGCAACCTACTGGCACTCCTAGCCCCATTCGTTATATAATCTCATTTTTGTGTTTGTTTCCCTTACATTTAGAACATGCTTGCATCGTGTTCTACACCTAGAGCTACTTATTTATATACCCCCTTCCATTCTTACTAGAATTTTCTTCAGGCATTTACCACCTTCCTGTTTTCTTCTGTCCCTTGATGTAGCTTTTGGGGTTGGTTTCACTGATATACAGACAGGCAAAGAATGCCTTGGGCGCTTTTTACATTCAAGATTCCAGCACTCCAAAATTCAGTATCATAAACCTCTCATATCTTTGTTTACAATTAGAGATCTCGGTTTTTCGGCTTGATATATACAAGTTTGCATCTGTGTCGGTATATACTGCTATGCTATAGTGAATGAAGATTGAAAACATAGCCAAACACCAAGGGCAATGTGGAAAATTCCCTCACACAATCATATCCTACATTTTTATATTTGTCCCAAAAAGCCTCATTTGATAGCTTTCATATTGTACTGTACATGAATATTTCTCTCTCTAGATTTTAGTCTTTCTTCTTTTATATCGGGGTGAGTGGTGACAAGCCATGAGCAACTGCAACTGCAATTGTATAGTATACCCTTGAGGGCGGAGTGTAAAAAGCGGAGAAAAAAAGGAGCCGAGGAACCCATTGGTCTAGCATATCAACAACACCACTCCAGACACACCACAAAAAAGAGAGAACGGGGATAAAATTATCCCTAGCTTAAACCCACCGCCTCGGATTCTTCAACACCTCCATCAACTCCCTCTCCTTCACCTTATCGTCACCATCGCCCGCTTCCCCTTCGTCATCCCCTCTAGGACCCCTCGAGGTACCATCGTCAATCCTCGTCCCGGAAACGGGATCCATATACTTCCACTCCGCCGTCCGCGGCAGACTCATCAATATACTCTCCACACGCGCACCGGGCGTGCGTAGCCCAAAGCTCGTGCCGCGGTCATACACGAGGTTAAATTCCACATACCGCCCACGACGGAGTTGTTGCCACTCCTTCTGTGCGGGGGTGAAGGGCATGTCCTTGCGCCTTTCGATGATGGGGACGTACGAGGGGAGGAAGGAGGTGAGGGCGTCTGTGACGAAGGAGAATATGGCTTCCTGGGCGTTTTGTGAGGAGGCGTGGGAGTGGGAGTGGGAGTGGGCTTGTGAATTGATGTGGGATTGGGAACGGGAAGATTGGGCGAAGAATTCGGCATCGAGGTCGTCGAAGAAGATGCCGCCGACGCCGCGCGCTTCGCCGCGGTGGGGGATGTAGAAGTACTCGTCGCACCATTTCTTGAAGCGCGGGTAATATGTGCCGTCATGCTTGTCGCAGACGTCCTTGATAGTTTTGTGGAAGTGTTCGCAGTCCTCTGGGAATAGGTACGAGGGCGTCAGGTCCGTCCCGCCGCCAAACCACCAATTCTTGTCGCCGCTGAGCGGGTTCTTGGGGTCTGCGGTCTCGAAGTAGCGGTAGTTGAGGTGCACGGTGGGCGCCATGGGGTTTTTGGGGTGCAGGACGAGGGACAGGCCTGCCGCGAAGAAGTCTAGGGAATCGACGTCGGCGGCGACGAAGGACTTGTGGTCTGCACGCATCTTTTCGATGGCCGGGCGGGGCAATTTGCCGTAAACGACTGAGACGTTGACGCCGGCCTTTTCGAAAACGTTGCCGTCCTGCAGTACGCAGGAGATGCCGCCGCCGCCATTGGGCCGGGTCCATGTGTCCGCCTTGAACGATTTGCCGTCTATCCTGGACAGTTCATCCACGATCTTCTGCTGGTGTTCCTTTATCAGCTTCTCCATCCGGAGACGCATTGGGGAGGATTCGGTGATGGAGGTGTCACGTTTGGTTGCTTCATCTAACTCGGCTATTGTGGGGGCGTCGAGGTTTGTTTCATTATCGTCGGTTACCTGGGAGTATGGATTAGCTTTACATCCATTTATCTGGAGATGAATATAAGTATAATTCTTACCATTGAGTAAATCATAGCTCCTATGAAGACTACGCCAACGCTGATTCGGAGATATGGTCTCCAAACGGTGTCCCGTTCGTTGGGTCGCGGCTTCGACCCATTTGATATTCTACATAATTGATTTTTTGGTAGACCGGTCAATTGAGCCCTTGGTATGACCCTCCGGCTTATAGCCCTAGGGAAATACGAATAAAGGCGCCCGGGAGCCATCCTGGTAGGGATTTTGTAGAGTTCGGGTGCTCCCCGTATGAGCGGTGAGATAAGTTAACGTCGCTAGACACAAAGGTATACCACAGTAGCCATCAACAATTATGGAATTGGTCATTGGGTGGTATCTGTATCCATGGATATGTTCCTGAATGTTAGAGCCGAATTTCGGGAAGTGGACATCCCGATATCACGTGCGCAGTGTGTCGGATAAATAGATTGTCCGAGGTGGCCTGATATAAGTGAACATAACGAACGGAACGGGAATAGTAGTAGTAGTAGTAGTGACTGGGACGGCAGTAAGATACCGAGTCATTGTATGTACACATTCCCCTCTTCGCTCTTCCCTCTTTGTATACAAACTATAGCTCTGGTGAGGTCATCTGAGTTTGGCGCTGACTGTCAGTCATCATCTAACCCGGCCTAGGAGCAAGCGAGAAGAGGACGAGAAATGACAAAAATGACATATCAAAAATGTCACATCACCAGAAACACAGGAACAAGTACCCCGAGTGTAAATCGTTTTCTGCAAGAGACGCATGATAGAAGGAAGGGCAGGGTCCTGATGACTCGCATCCCGTATTGGTACCTTCTCCGCCCCAGTTCCCCGCCAAGTACCGGTGCCTAGTAAGCGCTACGTCGTACCAATACTTTCCTTGTCTCTGCTTGCTAGCCCTATGTAGTTCCCACGAGAGTCACGTGGAACCAACCCGGTGATTCACCGCCCGGGTGCCTGCTTAGTCACCAGCATATAATAGGCGGGGCTGAGCCGCTTCCTGGGCTCACTTCATCCATCGTCATTCCACCGCGGTCTCCGTCTATCTATCACCAACAAGCATTCTCATACCAAGCTCCTAACCACTGCATCTATTTAACCCCCCCCCTTGGCAACCTGCCGCCACACCTCTTTTGCATCTCTCAGCCAAACATCTATCCATAGTATTTATCCCACATCCACCATGCGGTCCAAGTTCAAGGACGAACATCCCTTCGAGAAGCGCAAGGCAGAAGCTGAGCGCATCCGAGCAAAATATGCTGATCGTATCCCCGTACGTCCACCCCCCCTCAACTATCCTATACATTATACCTCCTCTATAACACACATATATGCCATATACATACCTACCACACACTCTTACACTCTTTACCGTTCGCTCGGTGCTAATATATAGACTTGGCGGTGAACAGGTAATCTGCGAAAAAGTCGAGAAATCAGACATCGCAACCATCGACAAGAAGAAATATCTCGTCCCCGCAGACCTCACCGTCGGCCAGTTCGTCTACGTCATCCGCAAGCGCATCAAGCTCTCACCCGAGAAGGCCATCTTCATCTTCGTGGATGAGGTCCTGCCTCCCACCGCCGCTCTGATGAGCAGCATCTATGAAGAGCACAAGGACGAGGACGGTTTCCTATATATCACGTATGTTTATCCCTACACACCTACCTATCGTCCATTATCTGAATTAGAAACAAAAAAATGCGTCGGACAGCTCAGCTGATTGTTTAATACAGATACTCCGGCGAAAACACGTTCGGTGAATGTTGAAAAAAATATTCTTTAAAAAAATACAAAGGATACACCGCCTTTCTTTACTTGCTTACTGGGGACATTTTTGTTCTGCAACCCTATTATTTACCTTTTGCGAAGGCCAGGATCTTCCTTCAAAAAAGGCCTGAGCCAGGGACAACGAGACACGATATGAAACTATTCACGGGGGCTTTGAGATCTCAATCGGGAGCATTTTATGTGTATCTGGCGTTTGTTTGTCCTTGTTACTGCTTCTACTGTCTGCTTTGCTAGGGATATAAATGATCTCACTTTCTTCTATTTTCTATTTCGTTTTGTCTTAACCTTGGTTTTTTCTTTTGTTATGTTACGCTTTCTGTTTTCCGGCTTACCTGTTTGCAAAATCCCGTTTAATATTTTAGTTGTAGCTCTTTTACTGCTCTAGTAAGGCCCGCCGCCCTATGCTTTTCGCGTGGGCCTACCAATACATGCCCTTTTACGCAGCTTAGTGAGTGGGTTGACTGGGATGGGATGGATTGAGCGGTATCCATCCCCTGTCTTCCTCGTCTCATCCTTTTTACTCTCGGGTACTTTCTTTCTTTCTTCTTTTCTTTTCTTTTCTTTTTTTTCCTTGCCTGGTCTCGCTATAATTACCCATACCGATTAAGCTTTTGCGGAGATCGGTATTCAATAACTATCTAAATACAAGACCAGTAGTGAGGGTTTTTGGTCGCGTTAGAATACAGAAAACCAAAACGCAAATCCTGTTGCCTAATTTTGTTCCTCCCAGCCGGGCTGCTTATGTGGTCTGTTTGCAGGTTTTCCCCTAGCTTTTTGCCCATGTGGTACATGGCTGAAGGGTCGGCTGTGTTCGGCGGGAGATGATAACGCAGCGGTAATATGGGTAATATGGGTAAAATTGCCAATAGGACGCATTACAGAAAGAGCCCTATGGGGGGGTTGAAAGGCGCGAAGAAAGATAAAGGAGAATAAAAGAAACAACGCGATGCTAAAATTTCGCTCCTCAGGAAAGATGAAATGCAAACAAAACGCCTCCTTCGGGTGACCAGATCATGAACACGCAAGCAAGTATACAATATATACAGTAGAACGCCAAAATCGAAAGATTTTGTCCCAGCGCAGGTAATCTAATCTCCAGTGATCCCTCACGCAAATATAGTACTGTACAAAAGTCTCCCCAGGGACTTGCGAGGGTATCTGGAGCATTGCATAGGGCTGATATGTTCCATGCGGGAGGGCGGGAATATGTCGACACCTCCGCCCCTCCCAGTGCTGGAGCAGACTGAACGACAACGATAGCGATCAAATCGCTGCTTTTCCATGTGGAGAGGTATATGAGCACAGGAGGAGCTTTTAAGCACTGATAATGGAACGATTGCAGTTGGCGGTGTAGGGGACATGAACGCCGCAGAACACCCAAGTCAACCTGCGGTGATTCCCCTGGCGACTGGGGGATCTATGTTGGTTGGGACTATATTCTCTTCAAAACGAACGAATGAGGCGGACAGGCCGTGTAGATCCGTAGGGTAGGGTAGGCTGTATAGTTTGAGATGCTGGTTGAATTGCGACTGGAGCGTTCAACGCAGTAGTGCCTGTCATTCATGCATTGGGGTCCTGTCAGCTCGTTGGCGCCGCCGTTCCCTTCTCCTTTCCCTTCCCTTCCCTTCCAATCTATTATTTTCCAATCCACTCCCGCCCCCTCTGGCCCCCATTCCCACTTGCACTTAACCCCCCTTACACAGACTCCCACCCTCCCCACCACCCCTTCACCCTCCTCAAGCCAAGATTAAACAGATAACGCGGATCAGATGGTTGCTCGGGGTGTTTCGCTCTGTGTTCCCGGCGGATGCGCACGTAGGCGGCCGAAGAGCCGATGAAGACGGCGAAGAGGGGGTCGGCGATCCTATTGTGGGTCAGGGGATTTGCGCGGTTAGTTGTGGGCTGGTGTTAGGTTTTTTGCTTGCATATATACGGCTTGTCTTTTCGAGAGGGAGGTTTGGTAGGAGGAGTGAGGGGTGGCAGGGCCATGGAGGGGAATCGAGTTGGGGGAGAGAGGGCGGAGTTGGCTTGCTGATCGGGCTGGGAATTTGTTGGTTGGATGGAGCCGATACTTACCGTGAGATTAGGTACGGGTAAGCCACTGCGGCAGACATTGTTTTGCTGGAATTCGGAAACCCTTCTATATAGTTGTTTTGGATGAATGGGAATGGTTGAAATGCGCGACTATTCCATCCACACAGGGAATTCGCAAGGATTTGGATTGACGATAAGTTGATGCTTCGGGGGTTGACTGTCGATGATTGGACGGAGCTGTCTAGCGGAATTTCTTGGCATAGATTTTGGTCTCACTAACTAGGCGTCTTTGCTTATATAAGGGTATCACATCCTGGTCGAAGAAATACAACAAGAGATGGAGAACAGGAGGGGATAATTACAGGGGTAAGGTGCTATACTGTTTTGGTAGAATTGGTTAGATATAGCAGTCCGTGGGTGTCTTGTCTGATGGACGCCGCTTGAGGACTAAAAAAGACCGTTTAGATGAGAGGGAATGGGCAACAACTTTTATGACATAGATGTACATAGATCTATCATGTTCCAACGCCGGAATTTTAACCACGCGCTATCTATATAGGAAAAAATAACCATAAGAAGCAAAGAGTAGAGCAGTGACAAACATAAAATTACATAGGCCCGTATATAAAAATCCCAACAAAAAGCCTAACGCACGTATACTCTTTCTATATATAACATGAAAAAAGGCGTAGTTAAAATAGCAATACAGTAGAAGCCGAAAATTAAAACAGAAAGAGAAAAAGGAATTGGACCCGCTATAGCGAGTCGCAAAGCTCCCGCTCCGCCCCATCGCCACGAATACTCCCTGCAAAAAGCGCACAGCTTACACAACCTTCCCAAACGCCGGGATCAAGGTTTGCGCAAGCCAGAAGCTAAACACAAGCTTCGGACCCGTCATCAGCAACTTGGGCGTCAGCCCCTTGAAGAAGCTAGTCGGGCCCTCATTCCTGATCATGCTGCTGACAATTCGGAAGCCAGATTCTGGGTTCTCAAAGTTGCGGTTCTGGATCCGGGTCTTGATGACGTCAAGCGGCGCGGAGACGATGAGGGAGGCGCTGGCACCGACGATGGATGCCACGAAGTTCTGCAGCCAAGACGCGGAGTTATAATCTTTTAGGTCGTAGATATATTCTTTCGCGAAGGCGGAGCCGCCGAAGAGCTGGTTATTTTGTTAGAATGATGTTTTACAGTAATGGGGAGTGTTTTTGTCTGAAACATACTGCAAAGGAACCGGGGGCATTTCGTGCAGCGGTCCAGCCTGCACCGCGGTAGAGACCCATTCCCTCATCTTTGATAATTCTGAACAGGCCACGGCCACGGAATGCTTCTGGGTTTGTCTGTCTCTTGATTTTGAGGACGTCGAGGGGGAGGAGAACAATTTCTCCAATACCGATCAAGCTGTAGAAAAAGAAATCGCATTTAGACATTTGGTCTTCTTTTTGATTCTAAGGTGCTCAATCTTTTACGATTTGCCCTGGACTGCTTACCTTCCGGCCGTAGCATGCATGATCGCCTTGCCAGTGCCCTTGCCAAATGCATTGTCGAACGACGAGCCGTGGTGCTGGGCCAGATAATCCCGGACGAATGGTTGTCCGCCATATTTATATATCCGTTGCAATACCTAAAAGAGGCGAGCGAGCAAAAATGACATTAGCTATGACTCAAAGTACGCACTGAAAATGAAGGGCTGACTTTCATGTGAAAAAACATACCTTGTATCCAGCAGCATATCCAAGACCGGGAAAAAGAGAGGTGAACTTCCTAGCGACAGAGGCGTCGGCGAAGTCCTTGAAAACGACTTTGTTCAATTGGGAAACGTTGGCGATCTAGGGAGATTGTGTATGAGTACGCGTCAAGCATTATCAATTGATGAATATCCGGGCATAAATGTACCTTTCCTTGATTGCTCATAAGACGTTTGGCGGTCGTATCAACCTAGTGAATTGAAGGAGAAGTCTTAGCTGGGGGATGTCCTGAGTCAGAAAAAAAGAGGGAGTTTGTAGACACGGCCCATACGGGATGGAAAATAAGGAGCTCAGCAATGCCAGAGGATCCTAGAAAAAAACAGTTAACAGAAGGAATTCCTATTGATGATTCGGACAACAGACGTACCGGAACCGAGCAGACGAGCCATTCCGGACTCTCTCTTCACATCCTTTGCGGCAGAGCCTGCGCCGGGAGCAACAAGAGCTGGTGGAGACATTTTCTTTTCTTTTTTTTTTTTTTTTTCCTGTGCAACAGCAGCACCTAACGAAGGGATTGGGGGAAAACGACGGGGTATACGGTGGCGGCGACGACGGCAGAGGCAAGGGAATCAGCGGGCGAAGAGAGTGAAAAAGGGGATGTGGCAGAGAAAGAGAAACGGAGAGATGAAGAGGTGAAGAAAAAACAAGAACCACCACCGACAATATTCTGCAAGCCCGATCCGATCGATATCGTCCAGCGGTTTTTTCGTCGCCGGGTCTTGGCATCGAGGCTTGGCGCGGCTTCCGTTTTGAAAGAACCAGGAGGGTCCGTTACTAGCCTCGATTGGGTTTAGTGCTTGGCCCGAGCGGGTTATGTAATCCACCCTCCAGGGCAGCCGAGGTTGAACCAACTTCGTTCTCCGCCTTCAGGCCGTGATTTCTCCGCGATATCATACTTTTTGTACTCCGGACTCTACGCGACGGGAACAGCAGTTTGGGGTCGCCAGATGTGGAGGTGATACGGCTCCAGGAGCGGCGGTGTTGTTCGTTATCGCCCCGCGACCCACTCGATTGAGCTGCTGTTTGCAGTGACCGTCTTTGAAGTCTCCCTTCGCCCGTTCCCTACAACGGGGTATTCCAGAGAAATGGAATAATACCATTGCAATATGGATTTTTTTGACCTACGCTCTCATTCTTTATCCACCGCAGGACTCTGGGGAAAGTGGAGATTCATATTTATTATGTCTTGCTACCCGCCTGGATATCTCATATATACCCAATGTCCCATTGCAATAATGTTTATATCTCCCAAGGATGCAGAGAGATTCGCTCTTTCAAGGGCACTATAACCTATGGCCGAAAACATACGTCTATTATCAGTCTGTTGGACAGAAAATGTCTTTTGCTAGCCAAATTCCGGCCTGCAGGACAAACAAACCGCTCACGTTTGCTGTCATTCCGGAGATATCCAAGATGTGATAGTGAATCGCAGCCTGCTTTGATTCCCTCTGTGCGAGGGGGGAGAGGTATATATATACCTTCAATTTCTAACCGTGGCCTTTCCTTGCTACAACTCCTCTCTACGACATACCTTGCTTCCTGTGGCCTCCTCCTGAGCTTGAATTTCTTTAGAAGACTTTACAAGAATTGCATCTCTTCTCATACCCACACCTGGCTGACCTCTTAGGTGGCATATCAAAAAAATGAACCGCTTCAACATACTTTTTGCAATCCTCCTACATATCTTCGTCGTTGCAGGTGCATCCACCCCTCTATCACCGGAAACCAATGCCACAAAAAATGCACCCGTTGAAAAGTTCACTCTCGCCCCAGGCGTCATGGTAAACACGCTCGACCCGGAGTATCTCCCAGTCCAAGAGTCCACAAAAAATCCCAGAAGCACTCTCCATCGCCGTCGGACACATGTAAAGGATATCATGATGACTCTGGGCCCACGAGCCGACAAACCTGTCTGTCCGCGGGAGAAACCATGGCTCTGTGAAGGGAAAACTTGCATGAATAAATATTTCCAGCTCTGCTGTAAGGGGGGTGGGGTTTGTGATAGCCCTAAGCGTTGCGTCATGACGTTGTTTAATACGGTTACGTGTGGTTAATTAGCTGGGGCCCGGTGGGATGGATTGGATATGTTGAGTTATGAGGGGTGGATATACTGTACTTCTTCAAGACGGCTATATTAGGAATATTTACGTCACTTATTTTTTGGGCATGGAAGCTTGTTTGAACGCTGATAACTTTTGTGCTCCTATTTCCATGACCTGCAAAGCATAGCTTCGAATTAAAGCCGCTGGAATACATACAAAATATCCAAGGAACTAAGAATATCCTCTCTACTATGTAAGCTCTCAAATAATGATATGTTTCATTCTTCAATTGGCTCTCATTTGTCAATATCAGCCCCTGAAAATCAATATCACGTGACACACAGGCTCTGACCTCATCGCTAAACATAAACAGAAGCTTCGATAAGCTCCGAGCTCAACACAAACAAAGCCGAAGAATAATATACTGTTTTCACCATGGGATATGATCAATAAAAGACACTCCCAGACTCCTTAATTCAAGTAATAAATATGTGAGAGAAAAGAAACAACGAGATAAACCGCACAAAGATGTTTTCCTCACTGCCCCTCATAGAACCTCGCGACGTAAGTCCTGTCAATATCAATCTAATTTATATACCGCGGAAAGAAAAGAAGAAATTGCCTCACCACACCCCCCCACCAAATATAAATTAAACACAAAGCCACTAATCATGCTAAAAACAGTCACATACCCTCTGGTACACGCCCTCGTACCCCAACCGACCACGCAACCACAACAATCTCCACCACCATGGTTCACACGCCCGCCGCCAACAGCAGCAGCATGGTGCCCAGCGGTCTAACAATACTACAATAGCCGCCGCCGCAGCGGCGGCCTCCTCATCATCAGCCGACTCCCTAGCCACCCTTCTCCTCGAGGAACACGCGCTGCAGCTCCGCAAGCAGAACATCGCTGCATTTGGGTACGCATGGATTAAGCCGGCAGGGTGCTCGAAGACCATGTTGGGGGTGAGGGAGGAGGAGGCGGAGAGGGAGGAAGGGGCTGCGGCGGCCGCTGCAGAAGCGGCCGGGATGGAGTTTGCAGGTGATGGAGTCGGGTTGGTCGGTGGAGTGGTCGAGGGGGAGGGAGAAGGGGAAGGGGAAGGTGGGGAGACGTTTGAGAGGGATTTGGATGATGATATTCCTGATGCGGATGCGAATGTGGAAGGTTTAGTTGAGGAGGGGGAGGAGGGGTTGGAGGGGGAAGAGGATGAGTTGATGGAGAGGGATTTGGATGATGATGTGCCGGATGGGTTTGGGATTGATGATGAGAATGACGATGAGGATGAGGAGGATGAGGATGAGGATTATTTTGATAACCAGCCTGATCTTGACGATGATATACCATCCGCACCCATCTCCGTCTCGGGATCCGACGTCAGATCGGGATTGGGATTTGGGGAGGAGGAGCAAAGCATGATGGAGCGCGATCTCGACGCGGATATCCCCAGTCTAGCGGAGGATGACACCGGACAACAGCAGCAGTGGGAGCACACCGACACCGACCAGGATGATGACGATGAAGAGGACGACGACGGAGATGACGTATATATGGACGCAGACATGGACATAGACACCCACGCATCTCCTGCACAGCAGTTCCACTCAAGCAGCTCCGCCTTCCCAACCTCTTCCATACCACACCTCCATCCGCACTCTTCTTCCATACGCCGCGAGACAGAAGCGGAATCACAGTTTTTGCGAAGATTGGGTGGAGGCGGGGGCGGTGACAGTAGTCCCGTGGGCTTTGGATCGCCGGAAAACTTACGCAACCAGCGGAGGAGGCCGAGGAGACGTTCTGCGTTGACTGTATCGTCGGATAGTCTTGACTTATAGTGGTTTTAAACTACCTTTTTGCTCAGTCCCTGGGTGTTGATGGTATTTCTTCACGCCTCTTATGTATGAAGGATGTTGTTCATTCTGAAAGAGTAGCGGTTGGGGGATGGAATTCTTTCCTCTTTCTTTCTCTCTCTCTCTTTTTTCTTTCTTTTTTTTCCTGTTAATTTTTTAACTCTGCACAGCAAGGAGTTGATGGTGCAACAGGTTCTGATATAGATATCCATGTTTTATACGCTCTAAGAACATTCAAGAGGCCAGGGACTGGGCGGATTGATAACGATTATCCGGTTAAATTAGACCAAGATGATGATACATATGACGCTGACTTGCCTTCTTGAATCGACATATTTCGGTCTCTGCACGTAACAATGGGCATGGGTTTAAATTCGAGCTGTGGCCGGGGCGTTGAAACCTATTCACCGTGTATATTTTCTCGTATCGACTCTCATTGACGTAGGCACACCTTGTGTGAACTTACATTTAGAAAACAAATAAAACTAAGTTACACCGACAGCAGATTTAACGCACCGCGAACTATCTCCTCGTTCCCGACGCTGGATGAAAAAGATAAATAATTAGAAAAATGAAATCCCATGCCGCTCCACGTTCAAAGCAAAACATCCCGCCAGACAAAAAACAACAGTACACAGTTCCCTTCCCCACAGTTCATATCACGCCAATTCTATGACTGATGTTTCTTTCAAATAAAAATGGTGCTATGTATACATCAAAATAGGGCCATTTGCGTCAAGTGATTTCGCTAGACTGCGCCTGAAGGACGAGAAAGAAGAAAGTTTACCCAAGCAGCAGGGGAAGAGATTCGTGCAGCAAGTAACAATGAAAAGATCAAAGCTGAAAGACAATAATTAATAATAATTAATTCTAACCCAAGATGGGGAAAATAAACCGAAGCAAGGTGAAAAGGGGATATAAAGAAAAGAATCAGAACACAAAAAGGCAATTCGGTCGAACTTGGGAAAAAAAGATCCGTTAATAGCACCAGTAGCACCTCGATGTACATGTACATTTATGGAAATAAAACAGCCCATCTTTTGTGTTCCGTGCGTATAAATGAAAAAACGCCAATTGCTGCCTCTCCTTCTTCATATAATTTGAATTTCCTAGGCCCCAGTCAGCAAAAGAGTGTGCAGGTGAATCCACGTATAATAATAAACTCCCGGATATGCAGCGGCGATGTTGTTAGATGATGTGTAGGGGAGGCGGATGGAATGTTGACAAAGGTATATTATATAAAGGACGGTAGTGTCGTTAGGGAAAACGCGGTTGGAAAATAGATATCCATTGTTTATTGTGCGATGTTGTCGGGAGGAGAGGAAGTGGTATCTCGTGAGGTCGAATATTGGTTCCGTTACGGGAAACCCTCGATGGAAGTGGAGGCGATTGGGCCTCAAGGGTGGGGAAGGGCAATAATTAGGTACTGCCTATTCTCCATTATCCGATATTAGATGTTATCTAGGCGTCGCGAGTGAGGCGTAAACTCATGGCCTGATTCGTAGACATTCCCGGTGTGTTTCTTTGTTTGAACTTCAAGATTCAAGATCGAAGTTTCAAAAGAGCCACACGTAGATGAAGAGCAAGAACACGGCGCAGAAGAAGCCGAGCCAGACTCTCCAGCCAACGCCCGTTTTGTCAGCCATGACAAGCATGCGATTCATGGTTCCACGTAGTCGCACTCTTGTGCTGTCGAAGGTATCATTCATTTTATCTGCAAGGGCAGAAGACTCGCGGATTTCGTCACCAATCGCAATGGTTATCTGTTTTGGGGGGTTAAATAGTATGTTAGGAACTGGCACTGGAGAGTTTCTTCGCCAAAAGCTACCAATAAAGGATTGTGGAGCTGATGTAAAATACATACATCTTTCAACATCTTCACCTTTGCAGACATGCCTTGAAGTTCCGTTTCGTTTTGTGACTCGAGCGAGTCAAGAACAGCATCGGAATATTGGCCCCTATACAATATACCACCACCCCGGTTTCTTGTTAGCCGCCCGACTGTCTGGTTGTATATATCCAAACATCAAACATAAAATTGTCATGTCCCCATTGAGTCCACTTAGAGTGAAGGGTCCATCCCCAACATACCTCGAATTAGGCGTAGCAGCTCGAAAAGACCCAGCAGAACCGCCTCTATCTAGATGTCCATTTGATGATCCGGAGAAGCCATACCCGCCAATTTTGCCGCCGGGCGACCGGCTTCCCTGCCGCATCCTCTCGCTGCTTCCGCCGCCATATGAATCGAAGAGGCTCGAAGAAGCTCGAGGGTCGCGCTGGTGAAGCGTGGAATGGGTGAACCTGTTCAAAGAAAGCAGGAAGAAGGGATGTTAGCGGGTTGGTCGCCGCCCAGTAAAAGAAGTAATGCAGCAGGACATACCTCGACGCCATTATTGTGATATCAGTGCGGAGTGCAAGGGACAGACATTATATCGTGTGCTGAAGAAGAGAAAACGGAAGGGGTTGGACAGACGGTGATAGATCTCATATTATTATCTGGCTTTCGTTTTGAAGTTGAGGAACAAATAAAGTTGATAGAGCGGCTTAGTCATTAAACCGATATTCTAAGAACGGATTAGCGTTAAAAGTGGATAAATTTGGGTCTTGGCACGTGCATTTGAGTTCTGGCCGAAAACGGACATGGGAAGCCCTAACATCTATACTGCAGAAATGATGTGGTTGAGGACAGTGTTTTGTATTCATTCTATCCCATTGACAGTGGCTTTTATTCATGATCAATGTGTTTAAGATGTGTCCTTCCTGTTCACAATGACAGTGACAGTCTGTCAATAATCATTGAGTGAGTTCATGATCCAACCTCCTTATTACAGTGGCAGGTTCAGATCTAGATTGTTGATTGAAAAAGTCACTTCATCACAGTCAAGGAGGAAAGCTTTGTTTATTCCAGTATTATTGAAAAATAACTGCAAAGATCTATCCCAATTTCCCCTGTTTTCCCTTTGTTCTCGCTTGTTTTTCTGCTGAGGAAACAAAAGAGTTGGGACATCCCAGAAGGAAGAGAGAAGCTTAACCCTCGATGTACGAAAATTCACTGCTTTAGGTTTCTTTTGATGATTTTTATATCTTCCGCCTCTCTCTGATTACTTCATTTCTCTGGTCATTTACATGACTGTTTCTGCTTCAGGGACGCCGGAGGGAGGAAAAACAATATAAGTGCACCACCCAAATATGCTTGGACTTTTAGATAACATAGTTTTATGGGGGGGATATCACACGCCTGCCAAAACCATTTTCCCAGCCACCAAATATCAAACGAGTAGAGGAAGGGGGAAAACGCTGTAATCCAACTCAGAGGAAACGGGGCAAGCAGAGATATTGTTCAGCTGATAAATCAGCACATAAGTTTTTCTCATTCGCTTCTTTATTTATTTGTAAAAAAGCAGGAAATACCGCAAAACACCCAACCAAATGACCCTATATTCCTGTCGTTTCGTCATTTTCTTGTTTTCTCTTGCTCACAACCTTCTAATTTCGTTTCTCAATCTCTCATAATATGATCGTCGTCCTGGTTGGTGGTGGTATCATCTTGGAGCTCAAAATCTCCATCGTCGTCATCCTCATCGTCAATCGGGTCGCCAGCCTCTTGCGCCTTTTTCGCAGCCTCAGCGAAATCAATCATTTTGCCACGGGTGCGTCGGCCGTCGCTGATGATGTTGTCGGCGGAGATGGGTTCGAGGTTGTCCTGTGCAGTATCTTCGTCTTCGTCATCTGCTTTGGTTTCCACAAACGGGATGGGTTAGTTTGGTTGAAGAACAATTGGATAGGGAGAAGAGTTGAGACCGCCAAGAGAGGGACGGAAAACGCGATGCCAATATTCAAAGATATGGAAAGACAGGATTATGTTTTCCGGCAAGGAACGACAGGGGTAAATTTAGCGTAAGAGAAGTGGATGGAAGCTCATTACCCTCGACTGGCTGTAGATCCAAGCAAATAGAAATTGTTAGTAGTTCTTCCTTAGGACTCAATGGAGGTAGGATATGCGACTCGTACGCGCGCAATGACGAAATGGCCGAAGGGGGATGATTTGGATACGTACCAGATCCTCAACGGTGCTTTCTTCAGAAGAGCTCTCCTCATCCTCGCCCATGCTCACATCGTCAGCTGGATGGGTGTCAACTGCTTTGCCCTTTCCCTTGTCTAGGCCGCTAGTTGCGCCACCGCCAAAAGCAGCAGCTCCGGTGTCGCCCATGATGCGATAGTGGTGTTGTTATAGCTAGAAAGGAGGTAGAAGGGAGGTTGACGGAGGAGGTAGGGCGGAGAAGTAAAGGAGGAATGAGGAAGATACTTTGTTGAAGGAGGAAAGTCTCCGTTCTGTGAGGGTAAGGCAGGCAAGGACTTCAGTATTATTGGGACGAGGACTAAAGTAGCAGGCTGCCCCGGTCAGGTCGCGGTACGGATATGCCGCTAGGCTGGTTTTGGGTGGAGTCAGATGACCAGCCAAGCCCTATCGGGTTGCCTTAAAGATCCATTTCTGAATCCCCTTTTCCAGACAACAACAACATATGAGTGAGTGAGGCGGGGATATTGGGCATATTCAATTCCAGGGACTTTATATCCTTATACTTGTTTAAATCAGTGATTACTGGTTTCTCATAGGACTTCCCAGTGATCGATCTAATAGACTCCAAAGGAGCCCTTCTGTGCTGCCAAAATACGGGCTTATTTCAATAGATAGACCTTTCTTCACCATCGATGCTTTATTCCTCTATTTTGATTGAACATATCATATGATATGGATTGTTAGTGGTCCATATGAAGAGCTTCGTGCGCTATTTCCCATATGACTACAAGTCTACACCGTACAATTATCATGTCTGAAATCATGTTTCATATTTTAGGGATAACGAACCTTTATCAACCATCTTTCAAAGTGAGGACAAATCTATCCATTCAGATGGAAGAAAGGACAAAGGAGCGTCAATACAGAACATACTTTTCCTCCCATGTCTCATCTCCTGGTCAAAAAGTAGTACTCTCTATCCATCATCGCAAATGTCGGGGGTAGATGGTATCTTGAATCCCCCCTGGATACTCTCACGGACGCGAAAACCAAACCGGAACCCTATTCGAAACCATTCGAAACAATATAGCAGGCCCCCGTTTCATGTTCGTGTCTACTAGACATAAATGATAAATATCCATGAAACGCGAGATATTCGACCACAAAAATATTTTATTTCAAGATGAACTATCACACTATCTTGCCCTACGCCAACCTAGACCAGCCCTGCCCTGGCCTTCAGGAACAAAAAAACTGTCCGTCACCCAATTTCCCTTAACCACCGGCTTCTATAATCTCATATATCATTATTCTCTGCCCCGTCTAGTGCTCGAACATATATGTTCCGTGATCAGTTATATATCTTTCAAATAATAAGAGCACTAAAGCAGGGTTCCGGAGAGGAAAAGTAAAAAGAAAAAAAAAGAGGATCGCTGCACATACCTTGAACATCGCCATGAACACCAGCAGCACCAGCAGCAGCAGCACCGTCCTTCAATCCCCCATGCATTGGCTCTGCCTCATCCGTCGCAGACCTCCAATACCACCACCTAAACCTCTTAACTAGCTGCTTCCCACTTTCCAATTCCCTTCCACTCTCGCTTGCATGTTCGCTTTCGTGTTTGATTTCACTCCCATCTGCCGCCCCAGCATGGGGTCCTCCAGGTAGTATTACTAAGTCCGCCGGCGCCGGCCCATTCCTGGCTCTGAGCCCGAGTCCGAGATCGACTCCGAGTTCGAGGGCCGCGTCCGCTTTCGCAAGTGCTCTATCTTTACCGCGCAGATCATCACGCCTGTCAACATTCATCCCCTTTCCAAGCGCCAAGGGAGACAGCGCCAGGTGGGCTTCTGTGTTGGGTTTCTCCAGGTCAGATTGATTGGGGGTCGGCAGGGCGGAGGCTAGCATGGGGAGGGTTGATACTGTGAGGCATAGAAGGATGCCGGCGAGGGTGTTTGTGGAGTGCATTGTTTTTGTTTGGTGAGTTTTGTGCTTTCGTTATTTCGTTCTGGTATGTTTTTTCTGTCCGTCTCGAGATGTTTCTGGGTGTATATGAATATGTATACTGTAGGGCCGCGGGTAAGAGGAGTATGTTAACCCCTTTAACTTTTCTATTAGCAGAAGGCTCCAGGAGCTCTGAGGGAGAAAGAGTCACTAGCAATATATACCACTCATTCCTCTCATTATCCCCATGGGAGGAGTAATAAGCATCCAGATTCCAACACAGCCCTTCGTCGCGCTTCATTTCTAATCCATGGATGCATTGCATACTTGCTACTTTGGTCGGCTATGGAGCCAGTCATTTTCCCTTGCTGATATCTTATATCCCCGGCTCCAGTCGCGCGGTTAGATATATATATGTAGAAGTCATTTCATGCTGTGTCCATTTCTCTTTTCCTTATCTTTCATTATATAGATCTCTTCTTATCGTTACTCCTTGGAGAAGTAGAGAGAGTAGAGGGAGGAGCATAGGCGGAGTAGTGCTGCTGCGCTTTTGCCCCATACACGGGGCCCTCGGCAAGGATGCAGTAGACAGAGGCGTGTTTAATGTTATCGGTGACTTTTGAAACACGAAAGGAAGGAGGTCTCTTATAATTTTCGACATTTCTTTTTAGTTTTTCTTTAATTTTTTCTTTAGTCGATTAGTTAACTAAATAACATGATATAAAATGTTGACCTCGACGAGCCAATGAAGATGTGCGTATATATATATCCATATGGGCGTCAACCCGACCACGAGATCACACCGCATCACACCGCATTGCTATTTAATATATTTGCCCCAATGTGTAATCAAAAGCATCAATTGTTACATCGCACATCCATACGCGATCCAGGCATTGTCGGGGGTCCCAGATGCATAGGTATTCGATGATGTGCGATCCACATAGACGGATGAAGGCAAGAAGTCTTCCGTTTTCAATTTTGATGGACAGGCAGGGATATTTGTTCTTACTGACAAAGAAATGCTCAGCCAGGGGTATCACTGGCTTACTTATGCCACGTCGATGCTTTGAACCTGTATCATTGTCATATAACGGAGTATATGCCTCCTAGGTACACATTGTTGTCACTGATCCATGCGTACTGGGTTGGAGTTGTGGTCCCTTGGAGCAGAGGCACGCTGGTTCTGCGGATGAAACCCCTTCAATGGTCTTCAGGAAGCTAGCTAGAAACGGCTTCGGGCCACTTGTGATGGGCTGTTGTTATCTTTCCGGAGTCTGATAGTTATACACAGTAAATAATACACGTAACTAACTTATTGAATGTGGCTAAGAATAAAGATGGACATGATTAGAAAAAGGAAAATCAAAATTTCTAGCTCTGCTAATCCATAGTTATCAATCTCATCTACGGAGTACCGAGATAAAAGTTCTCCATTTCTCAATAAAATAACTAGTTACTCAACAGACACATTTATATTGGAGATAAGAATTACAGATCAAGTCTATATTATTATATATGTACAGTTACAGTAAACCCGATGCCCAAAAAGCCAAGACCAGGCTCCTTGAGGATGACTCATCCGGGCAGGAACAATAATTTCCCCGCCAATCACGGTTTGTTTTGAGGCAAATAGTTTGCCACACACAACCGCGTTTGATGAACAAGAAAACGAGCCGCCCACTATGATTACGTCATATTCGCTTCCGTTGCCTCATCATCGATCATTGCAACAGATAGCAGCAGCAAAATAACAACAACACCAACCCCACAGATGGAATATTCCAGCGATATAGAGAAAATAAATCAAGACATTCAATTGGGTTAGGAGCTAAGAGCTGCCTTGTCTAGAAGTAGCGAGTAGTAACAGCTTGTGTTCTTGTTGTTGTTGTTGTTGTTGTTTCTTTTTTTTTGTAGAGGAGGTGTGGAATGCGGTGGACGGCGGTCGAAGGTGCTGAACTTGCTAGAAGCTTCTGGCGCCGAAATTGACCGCCCGCATATAAACAATTTTTGGCCCGCACAACAACATCCCACTTCTTATTTTTTCTTCTATTCCTCTTCATTCTTCATCCTCACAGCTACCCGCTCTGCTTCTTCTTCTTCCTCCTCCCATCTATCTCTCTCTTCATCGCACCAATTCTCGATCTCCCCTTTCATTCATCTACATCCTCTATCCTCTGCATCTGTATCATATTGCACATTTCTCACCAGCTGCCGTTTTAATATCCCGCTTCATACATCTAATTCCTTCAAAATGGGTCCCGCTGTCGGTATGTCTATAATTTTCCCCCCCTCTCCTCCAGTATTGCTCGTTATTTCATCCTCCTGCTTTGATTGCTGCTGACTTGGCCTCGTTTTCGACAGGTATCGATTTGGGTACCACGTACTCCTGCGTGGGTATCTACCGTGATGACCGCATCGAAATCATTGCCAACGACCAGGGTAACCGAACCACCCCCTCGTTCGTTGCTTTCACAGACACAGAGCGCCTCATCGGTGATGCCGCAAAGAACCAAGTCGCCATGAACCCATCCAACACAGTCTTCGACGCAAAGCGTCTCATTGGCCGCAAGTTCGCCGACCCTGAGGTTCAGTCTGACATGAAGCACTTCCCCTTCAAGATCATCGACAAGGCTTCCAAGCCTGTCATTCAAGTCGAGTTTAAGGGCGAGACTAAGGAGTTCACCCCTGAGGAAATCTCCTCCATGGTCCTCACCAAGATGAGAGAGACTGCCGAGTCCTACCTTGGCGGCACTGTCAACAATGCCGTCGTCACCGTCCCCGCCTACTTCAATGATTCACAGCGTCAAGCTACCAAGGATGCTGGTCTCATTGCCGGCCTCAACGTCCTCCGTATCATTAACGAGCCTACTGCCGCTGCTATTGCTTACGGTCTTGACAAGAAGGCTGATGGCGAACGCAATGTTCTCATTTTCGACTTGGGTGGTGGTACTTTTGATGTTTCCCTCCTGACTATTGAAGAGGGTATTTTCGAGGTCAAGTCCACTGCCGGTGATACTCACTTGGGTGGTGAGGACTTCGACAACCGACTCGTTAACCACTTCGTCCAGGAGTTTAAGAGAAAATCCAAGAAGGGTTAGTGAAATCACCATTTTTTCCCTCGTTCCTTTTATTCTTCTTTATCTACTAACACAATTCTAGATCTCTCCTCCAACGCACGTGCACTCCGCCGTCTCCGCACTGCTTGCGAGCGTGCTAAGCGAACTCTCTCCTCTGCTGCTCAAACTTCCATTGAAATCGACTCTCTGTACGAGGGTATTGATTTCTACACCTCCATCACCCGTGCCCGTTTCGAGGAGCTTTGCCAGGACCTCTTCCGCTCTACCATGGATCCCGTCGAGCGTGTCCTTCGCGATGCCAAGATAGACAAATCCTCCGTCCACGAAATCGTCCTCGTCGGTGGTTCTACCCGTATCCCCAGAATCCAGAAGCTTGTCTCCGACTTCTTCAACGGAAAGGAGCCCAACAAGTCCATTAACCCTGACGAAGCCGTTGCCTACGGTGCTGCCGTCCAGGCTGCTATCTTGTCTGGTGACACTTCTTCCAAGTCTACCAACGAGATCCTCCTCTTGGACGTTGCCCCACTGTCTCTCGGTATCGAGACCGCTGGTGGTGTCATGACTCCTCTCATCAAGAGAAACACCACCATCCCCACCAAGAAGTCCGAGACCTTCTCTACCTTTTCTGACAACCAGCCCGGTGTCCTCATCCAGGTCTTCGAGGGTGAGCGTGCCCGCACCAAGGACAACAATCTCCTCGGAAAGTTCGAGCTTACCGGCATTCCCCCCGCGCCCCGTGGGGTGCCTCAGATCGAGGTTACTTTCGACGTTGATGCTAACGGTATCATGAACGTCTCGGCCCTCGAGAAGGGTACTGGCAAGACCAACAAGATCGTCATCACCAACGACAAGGGCCGTCTCTCCAAGGAGGAGATCGAGCGCATGTTGGCTGAGGCCGAGAAGTACAAGGCTGAGGATGAAGCCGAGGCTTCCCGCATCAGCGCCAAGAACGGCCTTGAGTCCTACGCCTACTCGCTCCGCAACACCATCAGCGACCCCAAGGTCGACGAGAAGCTCGATGCTGCCGACAAGGAGAAGCTCAAGTCTGAGATTGACAAGACCGTCCAGTGGCTCGATGAGAACCAGACCGCCACCAAGGAGGAGTATGAGTCTCAACAGAAGGAGCTTGAAGGGTATGTAAAACCAATATTTCTTCTTTCTCAATCCCTCGAAAAACATAAATGGTATAACTAACAAAATTCAATTTAGTGTTGCCAACCCCATCATGATGAAATTCTACAGCGCAGGCGGCGAAGGCGCTCCAGGCGGATTCCCTGGCGCTGGTGGACCCGGCGGCTTCCCCGGCGCCGGTGGACCTGGCGGACCTGCTGGCGGCGACGACGGCCCAACCGTCGAGGAGGTCGACTAAAATTTTCCCCCTTCCTAATTTCTCCTCCCCCCATAATTATTACCAAAAATCCTACGTTTCTTTTGTGTTCTCCTAGTTTATCTTTTCATAGTGGTTTTAAACGGGTTTTTCCTTTTTTTTTTCCCTTAATGTTTTAACGTTCACGGCCTTCTGGTTTTTTTTTTTTTTTTTGTGTTCTTTCCTTGTTACAAATTTTATGTTGTGCTGGAAAACAAAAAAGATCTTAATTATGGAATTACTGGAACATGCTCTTTCTATCATTCTACTACGAAAAACAAAATACACATCAACCATAGTGATAAGAGTCTTTCCTCTCTCCATCGAAGAAGGCAGGAGGGAAGAACCTAATGCTAAAGGTTCCCTTTGAGCTTTTAATTAGCTTATTCTAACTCAGCCTTTGTGCACTTCTTTTCGATATACCCGTAGGGCCGTAGCTACAAACGTATGTTCTCCTCGACATCCCTGCCATGGTCTTTTGTGGTATTTCCTCAATCAATATTCTGTAGCTTCTGAACTTATTTCTCCACCCCCTCCCCCGGGTGACATAAATTCTCTTGGAAAACCTCTATTCACCATTCGTTCATTCTTTTTGTCCGTTTTTATTGTGGTGTTTTTGTAAATGAATGATGATCGGGAGGGGTAGGTACTTGCAACTCTCTACCATACAAGAAGGAAATATATTTTTCTTTTATACTCTTTCGGTATTCCAGCTTCGTCTGAATTTTTTTTTTAAAACGTTCCGTGAGAGGGTTAAGAGAAAATAGGTACTGTTCTCCCAAATCCTAGGGGCCCCTTTTAGCGCTGGCCTTCCTGTCTACGACTATCTCCCCCTCTCAAAAATAACTTAAGTCTTTCTTTATTCTCGCTAGCAACCAGCAACAAGAGAGAGAAACTACTGCATTTCATCCAACGTCTGACACAATTTATTTATTTTAACTTTGCTCTGTGTCGATGGCCTACGAGGAAAAATGTATGGCCAAACGCTTCCTTCAGCAGCTCAGCTCGGCTCAGCCCCCTGTGTGACATGACAACCTGCTTCATGGGGAGGCGCACAGAGGGGCCGATGGACCCTATATATATATATATATATATATGAGTGCCAGTGGAACGTATAGCGCATTGTTCCATGAGATATTGCAAAAGCTGTTGTCTTTTGTTTTGTCCAGCTTGCTCTTTTCTATCTATCACCAGCTGAAGAGTGAACGTGGTTTTCTTCTAACTACCACTAGCGAAGCGCTGGTTTTACTCTTCTCTGCCGGGCACACTGCGTGTATATGGATATTATTAGATTATCTGGATATAACTACGTATATCAATGCCGATAGAAAAAAAAAGTTCCACTAAAAGCAACGCAACCAGCTGCAGGATGAAGATGAAAAAGAACCTGAGCATCCGCTGGGAGAGCTTGAAAAGGGCTGCTGTGGTGTAAGTTAAGGAACAACTCTCCCTCTTGTTTCTCCATCTTTTTTCTCTTTCGCCCTGAGAGACTGGCGGCCACCCTTCCCCGGGATCTACTATCATGAAATGAAACAGCGTTCCCAAGCTGAAGAAAAAAGGACAGCCCAATCGATGAAAACGCCCACTACGAGAACGGCACCTGGTGCAACCGCGATCTCATCCCGATTCCGCCGGAGAGGCGGACGTGGGGGGTTTGGGGGTATTTTGGTATGGCCCCTGAGTGTTGCGTTAGAAGGAGAAGATGAAGATGAAGATGAGAAGGAGAATTCAATAATTGGGCACTACATTCATACCTACATGCTACGCCATGCTGTGCTGTGACAAAATAAATAGAAAATGTCCTGCTGATTCTCAATGTGGAAATCACGGCTACGTTATATATCAGGATACTGGACGGTATCAGGCTCCTGCATCTTTGCATGGACTATTGGAAGTACACTGCTTGCCTTTGGGCTTAGTCCACAGCAGGCTATTGCGTGTGTGGTGGGTGATTTTTCTTTTTATATATAACTCGATGATCGCTTTCTCTGCCTACCCCCCCCCCCCCCCCCCTCCAACTTTGTCCCGCTCTGTGATTGCTCAGCAATGAGCTGATCACGGAGTTCTAATTTTCTATTGTAGGTCGTTGGCGGGATACTTACGGGATTGCTCGCGGTGGCATGTGGCTGGATGGGGGAACGGCAGCAGATCGGATTCACGGTTGCGTCGCGGTTTTCATGGGGGATGAGGGGATCGTACTGTGAGATCTTTCTTTACTGTTTTGCTTGTTTGTTTCTTTATCCCGCTGTCATCATTGCTTGGAGGCTAATCGGTTCGCGGTTTGGCGGGGAGGGAAATCTAGTCCCCGTCCTGCTTCGTGCCTTTGTAGGATCGATGTGGTTTGGAATGCAGTCATTTTGGCATGTACCTTTTTCATATCCAAAACCGGCGCGTGTTTTTGCTTTTCTCTCGTGGGAATGGAAATTGAAGTTCATTGCTGACGAGCCCTCACTTTTATATCATTTTTTTATATTTAAGGGGAGGCCAAGCAACTCGAGTCCTTATCGGGGCCATCATCCCAGGTAAGTTGCGCCTTTCTCAGCTAATTCTCTCTCTGGGAACAATCGACTACTGGGTTGCCTGCTGACGTTGATGTCTAGGGTTCGCACATATGAAGAACTACTTCGCGGAAAGTTCCCATCTTACAACAAATGACTTCATCGGCGTGGTAATTTGGTACGCCGCTTTCATCCCCCTCTGTCTCATCCCGCCCGAGCGCCTACAAAAGCCATTTGCCATTTCATTCGTCCTCTTCGCGTCGTCCTGTATTGGAATGTTAATATGGTGCGCTCTCCTAGCCCCGTTTCCCTTCCCCCCTACATAACTACAATAGACTGTTCATCTTTTTAACACCCACTTGCCCTTATGACAGGGGCGTCGAAAATGCACATGGACCAGGATCCATGTTCCATAAACCCGCAAGCACACCCTCTGTCACCTGGGGTATGCTCTATGGCATCAGCGCTATACTGGGAGCCTGGGGCGCCGGCACCCTGGCCCAATCTGACTGGACGCGATATGCCAACCGGCCCCTGGCGCCCACCCTTTCGCAGCTCGTAGCTGCGCCAGTTACCATTGCTGTCACTGCGATAGTTGGTATCATTGTGACGAGTGCTGCAAATGATTTGCTCGGCGAGATTATGTGGAATCCCATATATTTGATTGCGGCGATACAGGAGGAGTATGAGTCGAGTGCGCGGGCGAGGGTGGGTGTGTTTTTTGCGTCGGTGGGAATGGTTGCGACACAGCTTGCGGTATGTCCCATTTCTGTCCCTGTAATGATTAACAAGAATCCCTTCTTTTTTTCATTAATATAATTTTGTGAGTACGTGCAGATATCCGTTGTTTTGAATTCTATTTCGACGGGCATGGATATGGCTGGGCTGTGCCCAAAGTATATCAACATCGTCCGCGGAAGCTACATCATGGCTTTTATCGGGTTTTGCTCGCAGTACGTTAAATGGAAAACTTCCCTTTGTTCATATCCATTCTCCCGGCTGCAGGAAGTATCTGTGGGAAAGGTTATCCACCCCTCAACTGACTTGATACATTCATCCTAGACCGTGGCAACTTCTCGCAACTGCCACCAAATTCCTCTCCGTAGTATCGGGGTTCGGGATCTTCATGGCCTCCCTGACGTCTGTAGCACTTTTCCCACTTTTTCCCTTTTCCTTTTCCCACCCCCTTCTTCCATGCTAGGTGCAATTGGAATTGAAATTGCAATATATATATATATATATATATATATATATTTCTAACAATAATCGTTGAATCCGTTTAGTGGCATTATGCTGGCTGATTACCATGTCATCCGCCGACACAAACTTAAAATAGACGACCTCTACACGGGTGATCCGGGGAGCATATACTGGTATTGGCACGGGTTCAACTGGCGCGCTGTCGTTGCGTTTGTATCTGGCGTGTGGCCGTTGTTTCGTGAGTTCACCGTTATATAACCACCACCCTTTCCGTGTTTACCCCCTAGATCATCCGCCGATACGATCCTTCATTGCATCTATACACTCATATTTGTCCAAAAGAGAAAAAGCAAAATCAGGATTTTGCATATATATATATATATATATATATATCTATGTATACTATACCCCCCTACTAACAACCCTCCAACCCCCCCCCCAAAAAAAAATAGCCGGCCTCATCGCCTCCATAAACAACATCACCCACCCGGGCCTAGCGAACTGGATCAAACTGTTCAATCTGACCTTCTTTGTTGGCCTCGCTGTCAGCTTTGCTTCCATGGCTACTGTGTGCTATATATGGCCTCCTCGGGGGTTAGGGGAGGAGGCGCCGTTTATATCACATATGCAACGGGCGGACGGGGTGGATTCTGTCTTGGTTGGTAGAGAGGACATTGCAGCGGGGCAGGGGAGATCGGGATTGGATGGGGTGGTCAGGGTAGATTTGAAGGATGATGGGGCGCTGCGGGGGGTGGAGAGGGTGGTGTAAAAGGGGGAGGGAAGAGGGGTGGTTTTTTTTTTCTTTTTTCTTTTCATTTTTTCATTTTTTCATTTTTTCATTTTTTTTTCTGGGTGGTTCTGCTTGAGATAGATGGGGTATGGGTTTGAAAACGGGGGGATGTTTGGACGGAACTACCTTCAGTTCAGGAAAAGAGGCAGATCTATATACCGTTAGACAGCTCCAGAGTGGTCGGTCTCACCAACTTCCAATGACAGATATATAATTAGGTATAGGTTTCATGTACATTCATTTCTTACCACAGTGACCGCTGTCTTCATCTAGAGAGAAAGAAAAGAGAAAATTCCACGAAGTTGTTTGCTGGCGGAGTTTTGATACACATTCTTTGTTACTGTACGTAGTTAGTGTAGTAACTTATATTAGTTATCCATTCCATCCGGTTGGTTGCAACGTGGAAACATCAGCAAGTGGAAAAAGAAAAAAAAAAAAGATAGACCTATTGCAACCCAGTAGCATGCACTCACTGGATGATGAAACTGGACAAGCCAGATATGAGTCTCCGGGATGACTGGCCCCTGAGGACGCATTTCGTAACTTGTAGTATGTGTGTACGTGTACTTGTGTGTAACTACTGTACTACTACTTATTACTGTACGTGTACATGTACATACATGTACAGTATTACATATATAGATGGGATGTATGGCAGCGGGACGAATGAGAGGCACCGGGTGAATTCGGAGCGCGATCAGAGTTTCAATATGTTTTCTTCTTTTACTCCGTATACTCTGTTTGTTTGTACTGTAACATACTTTGATCCTTTGTCAGTTCTTTTTCTTATAGAATTGTTGGCGCGGGGAGATTAAAGTTGATATTAGATAGATATCAATCAACCCTATTTCTTATATCTTATGTTATCAGGATAGTAGTTATATTGTACTGGGAGAAGTAGTAGGTGGTCCTGGTAGTTAAGCCCGGGCTTAATTTTGCTGCAGCACGCTAGTTAACTAAGGTCGACGCCGGTCTTCTTGGCCATGAGGATCATTTTCTGTCTAATCTCCCAAGACTTTCCGTGTTATATTCGCGGATTTATAGTAGTAGTAGTTAGTAACTAGTAGTTAAAAGTTACCATCTAAATTCGCATCTCAACTACAACTTTTCTTTCTTTTAAAACATCCTCGGAATAGATAAGATTATTGCAATGGACAGGGGAACGAACTCCACCACATCTTAGAGCAAATTCGCATAAGCCAACTTCTTCTCGTGAAGGTCGCCGTGCTGTGATGCTGACAGGGCATTCTTCTTAGCAAAAAGTTTGTTCCTACAGATCTGAGAGTGTCCCATCCCATCCCTCATATAGTGCGGTTTCTTTTCCTACCAGAGTTTAGGAAATCTTGTGTCCTTTCTCCTTCTTTTTTTTTGTCCCTTTTTGTAAGATGGAAGTGTAGAAATAGTTCCACTGCCTTATGGAATAGTAATAAATGGAAACTGTCCCGGTTGTGCAGTTGTGCAACCATTCGACGCTTACGGAATTGCAAGCCACCGCCTGCCTACATTAGTAGTTCCAGAGAATCAAATCATTCGCACAGAGTACTCCGTAAAGTAAAATAAGTGATGATAAGTTTGATATTTGTTCGAGAGAGAGAGAGAGAGAGAGATGAAACTCCCCCGCCCTCCGTTGTCGGGGAACAACTCTTTCCACTTAGTTAAACCCTTGGTGCCTAAATCCCCTTCTGCTGGTTGGTTTGGCCCAAGCTGCAGGCCAAGGTTTGGGGGGGGGGGGGGGGGAAGTGGATCCTTGCCGTTTCTTGGGTTCGATGTCTGTCGCCAATTACCATTTACCATACCAGGCTTTTGATTGGCGGCTGGCTTGAGCTCCTTATCTCACTTATCAGCGGCGTTCAAGATAGCGCGAATATTTTTCTTTCATCAGAACCCGAAGCTCCAGCTCCATTTCCAGCTCCATCGTCAGTGGCTTGTCTAAAAGTCAGTGAGTGCAAGGAGGGAGGGGGAGGAGGAGGAGGAGGAGGAGGGCGACTAGATCGTATATTTTGCCGTCGCCATTGGGGAAAGTATTAAGACATGGACGCCGCAAATATAATATAAGTTACCGGTTTATATATATATATATATATAGGATTTCCTCTTGCAGAAAGTAGTTATAGAGCTGTCGGAGGTAATATCAAGCTTGTCTCGATTATTGATATTTAAGTTGTTCGGGGGTTCAAGTAGTAACTAACTAAACTACTAGTAAGTAGTAATACTTTTTGCCACAGGAAATGTATCGTATTCCCTTTCTCGAGTCAGTTGGCTGGTTTAACTATATATTATTCCTCGTTTGCCTCTTTGTCTCTGATCTGTTTTGATCTGTCTCTTCCCAACATTTCGACACCAAAGCCCTAAGTTAGCCCTAGGTAACTAACTTGGGATTGCACCAAGGGTAATAACCAAAAAAGGCCACTCCAGCATATTAACCAGAACCAGCCACCCAAGGAAATCTCCAAATCCCCATAACTAAGCATAAGCCAAATAAATACCCTGGATATCCCAAAAATCCCCTTAGTAAATCCAACGTAACCCGGCCTTTTTCTCAGTATCTGTCGGTCACCGACGGAAGCATGGGTTTCTTGGAACACCCTTATGATCAAAATCTCGAAGAGGAACCGCCGTTTGAGTATTCGGAGTACAAGGCAGAGAAGGGATATGGCTGGGCAGAGGCCTTACCGAAACGGCAAGGTCTCTATGACCCGGAGCTGGAGAAAGATGCCTGTGGCGTAGGCTTCGCAGCGTGAGTTGAAGAATCCTCCTCCTCCCCCCCCCCCCCCCCCCCTTTTTTTTTTTTTTTTTTCACTGGCGGTAGGATAATGTAGCGGCTAACAATCGCCTGCGCAGCCATATCAAGGGAAAGGCGAGTCATAAAATAGTCAGCGATGGTAAGAAATGCCACAATGCCGTACTATTGATTATTGCAGCGCGGAACTGGTGGTTCTAACCTTCTGTTCTCCCGCACAGCCCGGAATTTGCTGTGCAATATGACCCATCGTGGTGCGGTTGGGTCTGATGCGAGGGACGGCGATGGAGCTGGAGTGATGACCAGCATCCCGCACAAGTTCTTTGTGAAGCACTTCGCACGGGATGCCGGCGTCGAGCTGCCGCCGATCGGCCAGTATGCCACGGGAAACTTGTTCTTTAAACCTGACCCTGAGGCACTGAAAGAATCTATAGTTACCTTTGAAGAGCTGGCCAGAGAGCTCCAGCTGCGCGTGTTGGGCTGGCGTGATGTCCCGCGCGATTCCACCTTGCTGGGCCCTGCGGCGCTTTCCCGCGAGCCCATTATCATGCAACCGTTCGTTGTGCTTCACTCCGCCTATGGCGACGGGACGAGGCCACGGAATACAGACCCAGACCAGTTCGATGACCGCGCTTTCGAACGCCAGCTGTATTTCCTTCGAAAACGCGCGACTCATGTACTGGGCCTTGCCAACTGGTTCTACGTCTGTTCCCTTAGCAACCGCAACATCGTCTACAAGGGCCAGCTGGCTCCCGTCCAGGTCTACGAGTACTATCATGATCTGGTCTCCGTTGACTATGAAGGCCATTTCGCGTTGGTCCACTCCCGGTTCTCCACAAACACATTCCCATCCTGGGATCGCGCTCAACCCCTGCGCTGGGCTGCGCACAATGGCGAAATTAATACTTTGCGCGGCAACAAGAACTGGATGAGAGCCAGAGAAGGCGTTCTGCGATCGGAGATTTTCGGTGATGAACTGGACTATCTCTACCCGATTGTTGAGGACGGTGGTTCAGACTCCGCCGCCTTCGACAATGTGCTCGAACTACTCACCATGAACGGAGTTCTGTCCTTGCCAGAAGCCGTGATGCTGATGGTCCCGGAGGCGTGGCAGGACAATCCTGCGATGGACCCCGCAAAAGCTGCTTTCTACGAATGGGCTGCTTGCCAGATGGAGCCTTGGGACGGCCCTGCGCTCTTCACCTTCTCTGATGGTCGTTACTGTGGCGCTAACTTGGATCGCAATGGTCTTAGGCCCTGCCGTTACTACGTTACGGATGACGATCGTATCATTTGCGCATCCGAAGTCGGTGCTATTCCATTTGATCCCGAGCGCATTGTTGAAAAGGGGCGTCTACAGCCCGGAAAAATGCTGCTCGTTGACACTCTGGCTGGAAGGATCATTGATGACGCTGAGTTAAAGAGCACTGTTGCCAGCCGCCATGATTTTCGAGCTTGGATTGAAAGAGAGCTACTTCGCCTCCCTGAAATTCAGAAAAGCCTGATGCAGAAAAATGTTGACCTAACATACGCTTTGGACGATTCTACAGTCCAGGGTGATGTAAGACTCCATGCTTTTGGCTATTCATACGAGCAAGTCAGTCTCATTTTGGGTCCAATGGCAGCAGATTCGAAGGAGGCGCTTGGATCTATGGGTAACGATGCCCCTCTTGCATGTCTTGCTCAACAGCCACGGCTTCTATATGAATATTTCCGTCAGCTATTTGCGCAGGTCACCAATCCTCCAATCGATCCAATTCGAGAGGCAATTGTCATGTCTCTTGAGTGCTACGTGGGTCCGCAAGGGAATCTTCTGGAGATGGATTCTTCGCAGTGCCATCGCCTCCTGCTCACTTCACCTATTTTATCACTGGATGAGTTCAGTGCGATCAAAAATATTGCGTCAATCCATGCCGACTGGCCCGTCAAAACGATCGACATCACGTTTGAGAAGGCAAAAGGAGTTCAAGGTTATTTGGACGCTCTGGATGATATCTGTAACGCCGCAACGGAAGGTATTCAAAACGGCGATAAGGTGCTTATCCTTTCCGACAGAGCCACCTCCGCTGACCGCGTTCCTGTCTCTGCTCTTCTTGCCACTGGCCTCGTCCACCATCATCTCGTTCGAAACAAGTGGCGGTCGCTAGCTGCTTTGATTATCGAAACAGCAGAAGCTCGAGAGGTACACCACATGTGCGTCCTGCTTGGGTATGGTGCGGATGGTATCTGCCCTTACCTGGCTATGGAATGCATTCTGAAGATGAACCGTGAGAACTTGATCCGCAAGGAACTTTCTGACGAGAAGGTCATCGAAAACTACAAGGCGTCAGTTGATGGCGGTATCCTCAAAGTAATGAGTAAAATGGGCATCTCAACTCTCCAAAGCTACAAGGGCGCCCAGATCTTTGAAGCCCTCGGAATCGATGACAGCGTTATTGATCGTTGTTTTGCCGGCACTGCCAGTAGAATAAGAGGTATGACATTTGAGCAGATTGCGCAGGATGCATTTGCCTTCCACGAGCAAGGTTTCCCATCGCGAATTATTCGTGAAATCCCTGGTTTGGCTGAATCCGGCGAATATCATTGGCGTGATGGTGGCGAACACCATGTCAATGATCCCATCAGCATTGCCAACATTCAGGATGCAGTTCGCACGAAGAACGACAGATCTTATGAAGCGTATGCACGCTCAGAACATGAGCAAATCAAGAACTGTACCTTGCGTGGATTGCTCGATTTTGACTTCGAACAACGCACTCCAGTGCCAATTGATCAAGTCGAGCCGTGGACTGAAATAGTTCGCCGTTTTGTCACTGGCGCCATGTCTTATGGGTCCATTTCCATGGAATCTCACTCTACCCTTGCTATTGCAATGAATAGGCTTGGGGGCAAGTCGAATACGGGAGAGGGTGGTGAAGATGCGCAGCGTAGCAAGGTGATGGAGAATGGCGATACAATGAGATCCGCCATCAAGCAGATTGCTTCTGGCCGATTTGGTGTTACTTCCAGCTACCTTGCTGACGCCGATGAACTTCAAATTAAAATGGCCCAGGGTGCCAAACCTGGTGAAGGGGGAGAGCTTCCTGGCCATAAAGTTTCCGCTGAGATCGGCAAGACCCGCCACTCCACCCCTGGCGTAGGCCTTATTTCACCACCACCGCATCACGATATCTACTCAATCGAAGATTTGAAACAACTCATATACGATCTGAAGTGTTCGAATCCTCGATCGCGCGTTTCTGTCAAGCTCGTCTCTGAGGTGGGCGTTGGTATTGTTGCTTCTGGTGTGGCCAAGGCCAAAGCAGACCATATCTTGATCTCAGGTCATGATGGAGGCACCGGAGCTTCTCGATGGACTGGAATAAAATATGCTGGGCTTCCCTGGGAGCTCGGTCTTGCAGAGACTCACCAGACACTGGTTCTTAATGATCTTCGCGGCCGTGTTATTGTTCAGACTGATGGCCAGCTACGCACTGGTAGGGACGTGGCTATGGCGTGTTTGCTTGGAGCAGAGGAATGGGGCTTTGCGACGGCGCCTCTCATTGCTATGGGTTGTGTGATGATGCGCAAATGCCATTTAAAGTAAGTATCAACGTCTTTCCTTATCCTGACGCTATGCTATGTTGTTTGTTCTCCTGTGACTAGAGGGTGCTTTTTCCGCGAGGATATTCGACGAGGTTTTGTGATATCTATTTAGGAAACTGCTATGGCTAACTTTTGTTATCTTCGTCTAGCACCTGTCCAGTTGGGATTGCAACCCAAGATCCCTTTCTCCGACAAAAATTCAAAGGGACCCCTGAACACGTTATCAACTTCTTCTACTATATTGCGAACGAAATGCGAGCGATCATGGCCAAATTGGGAATCCGCACTATTAACGAGATGGTAGGCCGTGTTGACCTGTTGAAGATGCGGGATGATCTCCCTTCATCCAAAATGGAAAATATCGACCTGTCTCTCATTCTCACTCCCGCCCACTCTCTGCGCCCTGGGGTGGCGACTTACAATGTTCGAAAACAAGACCACCGCCTCCATGTCCGTCTGGACAATAAGCTCATTGCAGAATCTGAACTGGCGCTGGAAAAAGGCTTGCCATGCCGTATTGAGTGTGACGTCGTTAACACTGACCGCACAATGGGTGCTACTCTTTCATACCAGATTAGTCGTCGCTATGGGGCGGCTGGCCTTCCACAAGACACTATTCACGCAAATATCAAAGGATCCGCAGGTCAATCCTTCGGCGCGTTCCTTGCACCCGGTGTAACCTTAGAGCTTGAGGGTGATGCCAATGACTATGTTGGTAAAGGCTTGTCAGGAGGCCGTTTGATCGTGTATCCTCCTCGCAGCGCGGTTTTTAAATCCGAGGAGAACATCATTGTTGGGAATGTCTGCTTGTATGGCGCCACACTTGGTCACTGCTACTTCCGCGGTGTAGCTGCGGAACGATTTGCTGTACGTAACTCTGGCGCCACAGCGGTCGTAGAGGGAGTCGGTGATCATGGTTGTGAATACATGACCGGAGGCCGTGTTCTGATTCTCGGACCGACTGGCCGAAATTTCGCAGCTGGAATGTCTGGCGGTATCGCCTATGTCCTCGACGTGAACCGGGACTTTCACTCGAAAATTAACATGGAAATGGTTGAAGTTTCTGGGGTAGAAGACCCAGCAGAGATTGCCTTCTTACGCGGGCTCATCGAAGACCATCATCACTATACCGGCTCAGAGCTTGCAGCCCGTATACTTCTTGACTTTACTCGGGCCCTAAACCATTTCGTCAAAGTTCTTCCCACCGATTATAAGAGGGTACTAGAGGAGGAAGCTAGAAAGGCTGCCGCCGCGAAAAAGCCTGAGTTCACTCTTCCATACCAGTCCGGAAATCCCACAGGGGAAGCCGCTAAAAAGCTCCACGATAATCGCGAGGAAACCAAGAAAAGTGATCTTCTAGATATCGAGGACAGCGTTGGGGACTCGAAGACGGAGAAAAAGCGCACTGCCTTGATCCTCGACAAAACCAAAGGTTTTATGAAGTATAACCGCCATAGCGAGAAATATCGTAACCCAAGGACTCGAACTCGTGACTGGGCAGAGTTGAGCACACGTCTAACGGACGATGAATTGAAGTACCAGTCCGCTCGTTGCATGGACTGTGGTGTTCCCTTCTGTCAATCCGATACTGGATGCCCCATTTCCAACATTATTCCCAAGTGGAATGAACTTGTCTTTCAGAATCAGTGGCAGGACGCGCTTAATCGGTTGCTCATGACAAATAACTTTCCAGAATTCACAGGTCGCGTTTGCCCAGCTCCTTGCGAAGGCGCTTGCGTTCTTGGAATCATTGGAGACCCCGTTGGTATCAAGAGTATCGAGTGCGCAATAATCGACCGTGGCTTTGAAATGGGCTGGATGGTTCCAACTCCCCCAGCAATTCGCACAGGCAAAACTGTCGCCATTATTGGCTCGGGCCCGGCTGGCCTTGCTGCTGCGGATCAGCTCAACCGTGCTGGCCACAGCGTGACTGTATATGAGCGTGCCGACCGTATTGGAGGCCTGCTAATGTATGGCATTCCAAACATGAAGCTTGATAAGAAGATCGTTCAGAGACGGGTTGATTTCATGGAGGCGGAAGGTATTAAGTTTGTTACCAACACTACCGTCGGACCAGAGGGAGATATATCTCTGGAGCAATTACGGAAAGAAAGCCAGGCGGTCATAATCGCCACTGGTGCGACGGTTGCAAGAGACTTGAAGATCCCCGGCCGTGAACTCGACGGTATTCACTTCGCCATGGAGTTCCTCCATTGCAATACCAAATCCTTGCTGGATTCTGGATTGTCTGACGGTGAATACATCTCCGCCAAAGACAAGCACGTTATTGTCATTGGTGGCGGCGATACTGGTAATGATTGTATCGGCACCTCAGTCCGCCATGGGGCCAAATCTGTGACCAACTTCGAATTGCTCCCGCAACCGCCCCCAGAACGGGCTCGTGATAACCCATGGCCTCAATGGCCTCGCATCTACCGTGTCGACTATGGGCACACCGAGGTGAAGACTCATATGGGCAAGGACCCCCGCGAATACTGTGTAATGTCGAAGGAATTCGTCGGCGAGAACGGCGTGGTTAAAGGAATCAACATCAATCGTGTCGAATGGACCAAGAGTCCGTCTGGCGGCTGGGACATGAAGACGGTTGAGGGTAGTGAGCAATTTTTCCCCGCAGACCTTGTTCTGCTCTCTATGGGTTTCTTGGGACCTGAGGACAGGCTGCTCGGGGACGAAATTGAAAAGGACGCCAGAAAGAACATCAAGACACCCCCCGGCCAGTATTCAACCAATGTACCAGGTGTTTTCGCTGCTGGCGACTGTAGGCGTGGACAGTCTCTGATTGTTTGGTAAGTTGTTTTTATGCTTTTCTATCTCATAATCTGAAGATTTTTTGCTGATATATAATTATTTCAGGGGTATCAATGAAGGTCGCCAGGCTGCCCGCGAAGCCGACGCGTACTTGATGGGTACAAGCTCTCAACTTCCTGTAACTGGAGGAATTGTCCGCCGTCCTGCGATTGACTCTGTGCCTATAGCGCAAGCGCAGGCCGCTGCCGCGTAAAGCTTGAATGATAGTTATCTTACTTCAGCGCCTGCCAGGGGCAACTTTCCGGATGCATCTACGCTCTTGTATTTAAAACAGTGGACATTATCGATGCCACCGCTAGCTCGGGACGACGATAAGCGGGGCAAATTGGACCCAGAGAAGTACGATGCTGATACATCTGGCGACCTGTCATGGACTTCAGAAGACGGAATTGTTATTTCTCATTATTAATAACATACTCTCAACGAGCGATGTGGCGGGAATTTTGAGATGCATTGAGCGACTTTGATATTTGTTCGTTGTTTTGATTTTTCTTCCCTTATTTTTTGGGGAAAAGAGGGGCCAATATATATATATACCCAGCGTATTTCAGCTTCTTTTGGCATTAGTTGCATTTTGTTACTTCGTTTTTGGGGATTTCTTTCCTCCTCCTTGCCCCCCCCCCCTCCCCCTCTTCTTCGCGCGTCGGTTTGTAACATTTGGTTAAAATTTGTCAACTTTCTTGCTTCTGAACGAGTTCCAACCTTGTCGGCTCCTCCTATGTGCCTGCCATGTGTGCGTGTATATATATATATATATATATTTATTTATACAGCTTGTCTCTTTTTCCTTGCGTACGTACATCCTTTTTCTACCAATCTCCGTCTCGAGTTGTGAAAGAGGATTGGAGAAGAGAAGGACAACTGCGCAGCTCGATTGAAAACACGGTTGCGAAACTAGGAATTTATTAAGCAATACCCGCCCTGATCTCTTTCGGCACCCAAATCTCATCTCTTAAGCTAAGGGTTTCTTGCAGCCGTGTGAATGTATAGCATATAATAGGCTGAGCTTTGTGGCGAAATTATAAAATGGGATCTAAGATAAGAATCAGAGTAAAATATTGTTACAAGGTATATATATATATATATATCTAGTCAAACATTGTAAATAGCAACCATCCCCTAAAAAATACCAATAATTAGGAAGAGACTCGACTCCTCAAGCGCCCTCTTCCCCTTTCTCCCTTTGCGCCGCAGCCTTCATCTCCCTTTCCAAGGCCCTCAAATCCCCCTGAAACGCACCTCTAACTGGCTCCGTCCGGACATCCCACACGTCTTCACTACTAGGCCCTGTCTTATACTTGACAGCCTTCTTACGGTATCGGTCAGAGATCATCTTCGCCTTCTCCTCCTCCGAATAGGATCGGGTGCGCATGCAAAACCAGAAATCAGACCAATGCTCGCTACATGAGCGCAGCTCGCCGTATCGGTATACGTTGACCCATTGGCCTCCGAACGACTGGCAGAAAAAGGCGTAGTCGAAGGCCGATCGGCAGGACATGGTAGTCGGGTATAGGGTTTCGGGGGAGATATTTGTAGGGATTTCAGTTGAATCATTATTCGAGGTAGAAGAAGGTGGGTAGTAGGTGGGTTCGCTGGCGGATGGTGGTGGTGTTGTTGTTGACGATGACGATGACGATGATTGTGATGAGTGAGAGGATGTAGAAGTGTTACTCTCATTCTGGAAGCTATTTAGAAGGGATTGTAACTCTGCTTCGGCGAGTTCATCGCGACTGACGGGCTTGAGGTGTTCGGGGAGAGTTGGCTCAGGGCTTTTCATGTGGTCGGGCGGAGATTGTGAAGGTGCAGCGCGGGGAGGTTCAGTTTGCGACACCGCTTCTCCCTGGTTAGGAGCGGAGCTCCACCACCAACCCATTGCTTGTTGTTACGGATGCGACTGTTGAACAGATTGTCCGGCGTCGAGGTATACTATATACTAGGTTTCAGCGGCGGGTAGCGCAGAAAATTGTTAAGGATCGGGCGATCAATTGTTGGTTCACGCGAACGCTAGCTGATTTAAATATATGCGTAGAGCATGTGGCTCTATGACTGGGTCTTATCGCAATCTCCTCTGTCAACTATCGCAGCTGGTCTGGACGAGATAGCTCCATTGGCTTGTCGCGACAAAACTAGCCCTTGATATTGCGGCGCAAAAATATCGAAAGGGCACGGGTCATGTGATTTATGGGCAACGATGGATGACTAAGCTCTCTCACTGACCAATCTAACTACGTCATAGCGCCTCTGTTTTATCTTTTCTCGGCCAAGTTGGAACGTCCCTGTTGTATTGTGAACAAAGTCATTGAACATCACCATGATGGGCCGCCAGTATTCGATAAGCATTTGTTTCACTGCAGTATGATAGGCATCCTGGGGAAGGCGTGTCTCAGGACACGCCGCCGCCCTCCAACCGGTATCGCTTGGAATCTCTCCCGCCCTGCTCTCTGCACCTATAAGCAGCTCAGGACCAATTTAAACCATGCTACTATACAGTCACGAGGAGACGAATCAGGGCATATACAAGCTGGCTCAAATGAAGCCATAGCCTATGTTGACAGTATGTATACTTCTGTTATGGGTACGAACCACATTTTTCAAGACTGATCCAGCCGCATCTCAGACTTATTTCCGCTCAGGCTGAAATGGCTGCGCGAGATTCCATTTACCACTCCAGCAACTGGTGCCGTTTCTGCAGAGCTTAAAAAGCAGATAGATAGACCGGATTTTGCAGCTTCAGAGCCACTGTCAGCCGTACAACGGGCTTTACCGCCCGAGCTGCGAGGTGAAATAACCCAAATTATACCTCGCTATGATGAGGGCGGTGCCTTCGTTAAGTTTGCCCTTGACTCTGGAGTTGATGCTACAGAGCTGGAGCATCAACTAAGAGATCACCTGGCAAAGAACCCCATCAGACCATGGTTTAACCCTTTTTATACCACCCACGCCGCATTGGTGCGAGGCCGACCGTGGATAGAGGATCTTTATCGTATCCCTAGCAAAATGCTCAAAGTTGAATTCCTCCCAACATTTCCTGAAGCATCCGCAGCAGAATTAACCCAGGAAACACTCTATTCATTGGCCAGACGGTATGGCAAGTTGACGGACATTGTGGCGCAACCGTCAGATTCCAAAGTTGTACCACGTTATGCACTCATTGAGTACAATAGGCTTCGAAGTGCAGTCGCAGCTAAAAATTGCTTACATGGTTTCAAAGTTTCAGAGGCAGAAGGGGGAGGAAAGTCAGAGACTCTGCTTAAGATCACCTATGAACAGAAAACGAAAAGGGGATGGATACGAGACTGGCTATTCAATCACCCAAGAATCGTAATCCCTGTTCTGGCCGCACTTCTCGCGACGATTACCGTTATCATCTTCGATCCGATCCGCACGTTCTCTATTAAAATTCGAATCAAGCCGCCTCTCCATCTGGAAGATAACATTGTCTGGCAGTGGGTGCAACGGCAAGCTAGCAAAGCCAACCAAATGATTCCGTTCGGACGCCATGATTCGGAAACTGGAGGGTTGAAAGCGGTATGGGAGGATCGGAAGAATGATATTCAACTCATCAAAAGTTGGCTGCTCGAGGTTACCAGTACTTTAATCATAATCCAAGGACCACCTGGTTCGGGCAAAAAGGAGCTCGTTTTGGATGAAGTGTTGGCGGATCGCGACCACAAATTAGTTATAGATTGCAAACCCATCCAAGACGCCAATGGCGACACCGCTACCATTAATGCTGCCGCTGCTGAAGTTGGTTATCGACCTGTCTTCTCCTGGATGAACAGTGTCAGCAGCGTGATAGATGTAGCGATACAGGGGACTACGGGCGCAAAAGCTGGTTTCTCAGAAACACTAGACGGCCAACTTGGAAAGATTTTGCAGAATACCGCGAATGCCCTGAAACAAGTGGCCCTTGAGGAGAGGAAAAAGGACAACAAGCATGCCAATCTAAGCGATGAAGAGTACTTGGAAGCTCATCCTGAAAGCCGTCCAGTGGTTGTTATCGATAATTTCTTGCATAAAGCCCACGAGAATCCGATGATTTATGAGAAACTGGCTCAATGGGCTGCAGCGTTGACTACTTCCAACGTTGCTCGCGTGATATTTCTGACTACAGATGTTTCAGCTTCAAAATCATTAAGCAGAGCTCTTCCGAACACTGTCTTTCACCAGATATCATTGCAGGACTGTTCGCCGGAAGTGGCAAAACGCTTCGTCCTTGAGCATATCCGAGCTGCGGGAGAAGGGAAACAGCAAAACGGCACCACCGAAAAATTGGAGCACATGGAAGGACTTGATGCTTCTATTCATGCACTCGGTGGACGTCTCACCGATCTCGAGTTCCTAGCTCGGATGATCAAAACTGGATCAACGCCAAAAGGTCAGTAACTCCTTCCAATGTGATGTATCCATTGCGTCCACCTGCTAAACTATAAAAATAGATGCCGTACAACGAATAATCACCGAATCATCGGCCGAAATCTTAAAAATGTTTATCCTCGATCTCCCTACCACTGAGAAGCCTCACTGGTCGCCTGAACAAGCCTGGTATCTTATTTCGAAATTGGGAAAGAGCGATTCAGAAACCCTGCGATATAATGAAATCCTACTTCACCCCTTATTTAAGAGCGATGGCGAGGCTGCAATCCAAGCCCTGCAGCAAGCTGAGCTCATATCCGTTGCCAATATTAGCGGCTCTCCGTCAACAATCAAACCAGGAAAACCTGTGTACCGTGCCGCGTTCGAGCAGCTTACCAACAATAAAGCCTTGAGCAGTCGATTCGGCATGGCGATATTGGGGCGGTTGATTGCAATGGAAAACCAAAACATCCAGAACTTAGAGAAGGAGTTACAGGTGCTCGGGTCTTTCCCAAAGCAACCGGGTGAAATTGCACCGCGTGTCCGTTGGCTACTGGGGAAGCTGAGCAGTTCGCAGGTTAACGTGGAGAAATATGAAAGGGAGGCTTCTCTGTTGAAGAGGATCCTTGAGGTGGAGTAATATTCTTCTTCAATGGTATTTTTGGTCGCTGCTTGCAGGGGCAGCAGTATGGCTAGTAGTTACTATTTTGTGTCCTAGGCCTACGAATGCTAGAATTGTTACTTTGGATAAGGAGGCGTTTCCGTTCTTGGTGCATTTGCAAAGTTATATTCCCCACTCTCAAAGTTGATTATTAACTTTTAGTACAGTGAATAATTTATAGAAGATAGCAAAATTGCCGGTGTCACTTCCACTTGAAACCCACAAAAACTATTAGGACAACCTTCGTTCTCTCATAGGGAAACGGTAGTACACAATGCCATATATAAAGCCAGCGAGGGAATATACAGGGCTGTCGACATGGATCCTCAGACGACATCCTTCAATTCCGTCTTTGGTTCAATATACCTGCTCAATGTCTTCCTCTTAAGACTCTTTTGCTCATACGCATAGGCCATCCCAATCAACGCTTCTTCGCTCCAAAAATCGCCTAGGAAGCTTAGTCCCATCGGTACCCCAGGGGCCCAGAGCACAAGATCTCTAGGGGTAGTCACCACTTCTGTGCCCACTGGCCAGGCACCCATAGGCACAGTCACAATGGGCGAACCGAGAATGCCAGGTCCGATCGAGGCGAGGCTACTTGGTAAGACGATAGCGTCAAGCTTGTTTCTGCGCAGAGCACCGAGTACGCCGCCTTCCCCAGCTAGCTGCAGAGCATTTTGATATTTTGGCCAGAATTCGGGGGAAGTGTTGTTGTAGCCGAGCGCGAGAGCGCCGTCCCAGGAGCCTGTATTGCGGTCTGGATAGGCTTCGAGCGGGAATGCCTGGGTGAAGTCGCGCAGGTCGGAGAGCGTATTGATATTGTTTGGATTGGTTTGGAGTTTGGAGAAATAGTTAGCAATGTCATTTACGAAGTCTGCGGAGATAACTTCCCCTGGTAAAGGGCTAGTATTGGATTCTTCGAGGGCAGAGTAGTTGGCATCCTTAACGATGATGGCCCCCGAATCAGTCATCACTTTGACAGCAGCGTTAAAGTTGTCAAGGATTTCAGGAGCAACCTGCTCGAGTACGTTTGTTGGGAGTCCGATCCGCTTCCCTTTGAGCGACGAACGTTGGCAGGCTGCTACGTAATTAGGGACATGATCAAAGGGGAAAGCGGATGTGTAGTTGTCGTTTAAATCCGGGCCAGCAATCACTTGGAGGAGCTTGGCGGCGTCCTTAACGGTTCTAGCCATGGGCCCGATGGTGTCCATATGCTGGCTGATGGGAACCACAAGATAGCGGGATGTGAGCCCAACAGTTGGCTTGATACCGGCAATGTTGTTTTGTCCACTAGGGCTAACAATGCTGCCGCTTGTCTGGGAACAGAAATTAACCTCGAAGCTCAAGGCGCTGTGTGTAGTAAGGTGGGGAAAATAAATTCAAGATAACTACCTCTGTTCCAAGAGTAGCAAAGCTTAAGCCTAAATCTGATGCCACGCCGCTCCCGCTCGAGCTGCCACTGGGATCTTGTTTCGGGACATAAGCTCCAGTCACTTGGCCGCCATAAGCGCTCCAGCCATTGCTAGAATTGAATGAGCGGAAATTGGCCCATTCACTTAAACCTGCCATTCCTAAGATGATTACACCAGCTTCCCTCAACTTTACGACCACTGTAGAGTCTTCGGGAAGTTCTGCTCCCAAAAGAGCATAAGAACCAGCTAGCAACAAGGTCGTCAGCTACCAGTGTCATAAAAGAAATCCCACTGGCGAGCGCAAGGCAATTCGGGAGAGTTACAGGTGGTATTCATCTTGTCCGCGACGCCGATATTGCCCTTAATGAGAACGGGTAGCCCATGTAGTGGTCTAAACATATTGAGTCAATATCGTGTTCAAGCGTTTGGCGGAATGATTGGAGATCACAAACCCGCGAAGCTTCCCGTGCTTCCGTTCCACATCCAGACGTCGTGCAATGGCAATCGCGTCAGGGTTCAACTCGGCCACAACCTGTAGTGTCGAGTTCACATCCGCGATCCTTCCGATATAGGCCTACCCTCCAAAGTTCCGCTCTTAGCGGCATTCATAACTCTGCAGGTAAATTGAATGGAACGTATACATGGTTCACAAACATTAACTAAATCAACGCTGGTAAAGCATCCTTTTGACAGTCCTGCCTGTAGCTGATTTGAAGTTGCATCAATTAAAGATGGAAAATGACAGCAGCGGGCTACAGTATTATGATTTAGTAGCCAACCAATTGATACGGAATTGGAGATAGGATAAAATGAAAACAAAGGCTACCTGGGACCTTGTCGACAGCTAGTGAAGCGGCCGTAGAAAGGGATAGAGAAAGTAACTGCAAAACCCTATACACAAAAGTTGGAAGAAACATTGCGATCTCAGCGTAATGACCCGTGGTGACAAGCTTTGAGGCAATTATGGACAGAATGAAAAAGAAATGAAATAAAATGAAAAAAGGAATGGACGGATTCCAAATAAGAGATGAAATTGAGAATATATCAGGGTAGCCAAAATAGACGTGAAATCCGCGGATGTGGGGATGTTCTTATCACGCGCTAAAGTTGCACCGCATTGATATATTAATTAATGATCAGAGCGGGAAATTCGTCAATGAGCTACGCCTGTAAATCATGCGGACACTAGCAAACTCTCCGTGCGACGTGATAGCGTCGCTCAGCTCATAATAACGCAGCGATAACGAGAATCCGGCGTTGTGCGGCTGAGGCGGATCCACAGACAGGCTGCCGACGCCTGCTGGGCTCGTCGAGCTTTTCATATCATCGAAGATTCAGGGGTTGCCGGTGTGGGGGAACTTCCAGGCTAGGATCCAAGCAAGGTAGCTAGAAACAGGAAACTCATTAATATCATGATAACCACCCCGATGCGGAACCTAGTTCGGGGTGCGATTGAGCTTGGGGGAACGTCAACAACGGTTCTGCCGGCCAAAATTTAGGTGATGCATTTCCCGTCCAATCTTGGTTGTAAGAGCAGTCCGGCTTGGCGGCGGAGTTAGTCAGCACCCGGCCATTTTAAGCTTAAACCAAAATCTTTATTTTGACGCCAGACCAAAACATTTTGTTGCGCCATCAGATCAGGTCGGAACTACTACCGGCCCGCAGCGAATATTAATTGATCTAATCTACCTTTAAAGAAAAAGCCTGCCTGAGGGATTTGCAAAATGTGCACATGAATATTAGCTGGTGATCTTGACGCCTTTTTACTCGCGGCTCTTATGGACTTCTTTTTCCCCACCGCTGTGATATCTGAGGCATCATCTACGGTGTAGACCTCTTTTGTACCTGGTGTTCTTTCTTTGCCTTTCTGTGGCTACAAGCGTCCACGGGTCGAAAAGCCGATCTCAAATACATATATGCATATGACCCTCTAGTTATATGAGCGCTATGGAGAATGCAATTATATCAACCCTTTCTCTGTCTCGAGAAGGCGCTGTGGAGTTTGTGTCTGAATCGTACTTCAAAATAATCATAGCCTGTGCTATATTAGTATGCATTATAACACGGACATATAGCGGCTTCCGTTCCTGTTTCAGAGGCACCAATGCTGATGAAGCATGGAGACCCAAAACCCTCCCATACTGGGTTCCATATTTTGGGCATGCCCTCTCATTGGGGTTCTGCCGCCGGAGCCTACTTAAACATGCTAGGTCAGTCTTTATATAAACTCCTCTACTTTTGTACATTCCTTGTGGCGTTATTGCCCTCAATATTTGCATCACCTAATATTTTTCTATAGAGACACCACCCCGGAGCCTGTTTTTAGTCTCTACATCTGCGGCCAGAGGCATAACATAATCACATCTCCATCACTGGCCAAGGCTCTTTTGGCCGAGCAAAAATCGTCGATCGTGCCCAATGCCTTCACCACATATGTTATGGAGCGCGTTTTTGGAGCGCCAAAGAGTACCAGAAAACTCAACCGGGCCGAATTCGACGCTCAGTGTAGATCAATGGAATTTCAAATGCAAGAACCGCTTGCATCCGACTGTTCATCTGCCACCATCCAAAAGATCGAGCAGAACATGCCAAATATGTTGTCCTTTTGCTCGAGTGTTGTCGATCAGTATCTATGGGAGCGGATGAGCACCATTTCCCTCATTGGTGATGGCGACGATCAAGTTTGCGAAGTAAACCTCAATACCTTAGTCCGGAACTTTGTTGCTGTAACTGTGATGACGGCAATCATGGGAGAAGACTTCATGGAAGCACTTCCAAATACCCCGGATGATATTAGGAAATTTAACAATAACTTCAATGCCATTATCCTGGGGATCCAACGATGGGTTCCCTTCCCAGGACTTCCCACCTCATATCGGTCGCGACGTAGGCTTTTGCATGGCATGGCGGCCTTTCATTCCGCGTTCGCAGTTGCAGAAAATGGTCACGATCCCGGATTCGACTGGCGTCAAATTGATGAAGTTTCCGAATTTATGCAAGACCACTGCCGAGCATGGAAAGACGCTGGACTTTCAGCTACGTCAATGGCTGCAGAAAGTCTAGCACTCTTATGGGCTATGGACACGAAACTGAACACAATCATATTTTGGAATCTCCTTCACATCCTAGCTGATGGCCCAATCCACTCTCGGATCATGAAGGAAATTGCCCCCTATTCTCGAGCCGGGCGGCCGAATGCTGGCGAGACGGGGTTCAGACTACCAGAACCGCCACGAGTATCGCTGGATATCGATCACCTTATTTCTTGCCCGTTGCTCAAAGCAACCTACTATGAGACCCTGCGCCTGCACTCATGTCCAATCACCTACCGGAAGATCACTAAGGAGTTCAAACTAACCGAATCCGCCAGTGATGCGAAAATCGCCAACCGAAAACAACAGACATACCAGTTTAAAGAAGGAGAATTTATCGCAATACCGCAGACTCTTCACAATACCGATTCACACTATTTCGAGGACCCAGAAGAATTCGAGCCAGAAAGATTTTTAGCGGAGAAGGCAGTCGATACCAGCGAGTCTTCCGAGAAGTCTAGACCATCTAAAAAACGGGAGTCGTTCACTGCCCAACCGGAGCTTGCACTTAAAATACCGGAAACATGGACTGTCTATGGTGGCGGCGGGCATACTGTGAGTCAGGATGGGAAATTCGCTGAAAGGATAACGTTGGGGTTCGTTGCTGGTTTGTTGGCAATGTGGGATATTCAGCCGGCTAAGGGCTTAGGATGGAAGATACCGAAACGGAGAACTGGTGGGCTTGTTTATGAGCCACAGACTGATATCAGGGTGAGGATAAAGTCGAAAGTGTAATTTAGAACGATATACGGAGTTTTATTAAATCTTGCACTTCATGTTTATTCTTGCCCTTTTACTTACACACAATATAATCCTTTTCAATTGCTTTCTCCCAATGAGGGAAACTGGGTTTACTTCCTAGATCGCCGTCGCCATCAACCAAGCCGCGACTGGAACTGCCCTTTGAATTGCGGCTGTTGCCCAATGCCTTGCGCTGCATCGACAAAACGTATCTCATGATATCAATCTTGGATATGCTCTCTTTTCTAACAAGAGTTAGTGGATGAAAACGCTACGGACGCTTTTCCGCTAGATATCTTCTTGTGAATTTAAGGGCAGGAAAAGCTCGCTATCCCGAAAGAAGGCGTAAATTTCAAGCTGAATATAATATATTATACAAGGGATAAATGTAAATGATTTGGGATTCTGGAGCTTGTCAGGTACTGTAGGAACAATCCGAGTTGATAGATCGTATCTCGATCTAGGGTTAGGGTTAAATTTCCCAAACGCTGATTAAGCAGACGTGATAATTTGGCCGTCGCGACGCGTCTCACCACAACCCCAGTGAATTCCAATCCCAACGTCGCCGACGACACCGACGACGTCAAGATTGAGCAGGGCGTTTTAATCACACATATCTGTGCCATTTTCCACTAGGATATCTGCTCCAGTTTTTGTTGTATAGATTGCGCTGTCGCGTCGTATTGCGCTGTCCCAAATGGCTTCAGAAACCGTTAGGCTCAGAGGACGTCCAGCCCGTGAGTGATTCCCGCCTCAAATAATTGTTGCAAGCTTCATTAAATTGCTTAGTTCAGAATGGATGTTCTGTCGGATATCATTTTTCAATCTCAGCGTTAATAGTTGTTTCTCCATGCAGATACGCCGGGAACCACCATTCTAAGTTACACCCCAAATGGCCGACAAGTGATCACCGCCGGGTCCAACTCTGCAATTCGAATATTCACAATTGGAGAAAAAGATGAACCAAAGACTGTGGATGATGGAGTGGACGGGCGTTTGGGAATTGTTGCTACTGTACTATTTGCCAGTTTCCGTTTAATCGTGAAGATATTTGGCATCGATAAACTAACCCTGCATTTACTCCGAAATAGAATGATTCGTTCATTATGGGCGCTGAAGATGGCACGGTATGGAAATATGAATTAGCAACAGGTCAAATGGATAAATTGCTGGTCCGTTGCGCATTACCCGTGCGAGACCTGTCACTATCAAAGGATGGGGATTGGGTGGCTGTTGCCAGCGAGTATGCATTCTCTTACGCTCTATTGCTTCAAATGTTCTTAAGCTGACCGCGACAAATTTTTGTTCTCAGTGAACTCGTGGTCAAGATTGTTAATATTCACGATATGACTATTGTAAAATATCTACGGGATCAGTCCAAGGGCGTTAAACATGTGAACTTCGACCCTAGTGGACGTTTCATTGCAGTATCAGGCTCTGATGGGATAATTTATATATACTCCATCGACAGCCCGCAGCCGGAGCTTGTTAAGAAAATTGATGGGATAATTGGCAGACTGGAAACAGACCATGAAGCTACATCGCGGGCCGTGTGGCATCCAGATGCACGAGCATTTGCTGCGGTTGAGCCGACAAGAGATATTGCCATAGTGTCTACTAGAGATTGGACGAAACAAAATGTTTTCCCTGCTGGCCATAATGCAGATATTACTGCACTTGCCTGGTCTCCGAACGGCGCTCTATTGGCAAGTGCTGGGGCAGATCGGCAAATTTTGCTTTGGGAGACGAAGAGCCAAAGCATTTTGCGGAGATATGACATACCGAATGTGATAAATCTTGCTTGGCACCCTGTCGACAATACCCTCTCTTTTACTACTTCCGATGGAGAATTATTCATTTATGAAGATTTTGTCCCCCCAGAATACAAATCACTGCTTGATAAACCACTGGAAAGCGCGCCCTTACTCTCTGCGGCTCACGAAGAGCATAGAAGTATTCCAAGCAGGCCGTTGACGAATGGCGTACGGACTGGCCTGGAAAGTCGCCAGAGACGTGGCACCCCAGATTCCCTAGATGATATTTTAGGCCCCATGGACGAAGATGACGGTTTCATTGAAGACGACGATGGAGCTGGCTATGTAGAAATCAACGAATTCGGCAAACGAGCTCCTAATTTCCGGGATGACCTGGACGGACATGATCATAAACGACAGATGGGCATGTCCTTGCAGTCGAAACGACATGCCTCATTTCAGCCCGGCAGTACCCCTTGGAGAGGTGACAGAAGATATCTCTGTAAGTCAGCCGGGATATGATTCCACCATATACCTTCTACTAAACTACTATATAGGTCTTAACCTAATTGGATTCGTTTGGACTGTTAACCAAGAGACACACCATACCGTCACGGTTGAGTTTTACGATCGGGAACGGTTTCGAGACTTTCATTTTACAGACCCCTTTTTATATGACAAAGCCTGCCTGAGTAGGTTACCTATCCCGACTTACAGTAGTAAATATTCGTGTGCTAAGCTCTTGTAGATGAGAAGGGCGCTTTATTTTCTTGCCAACCATCGGGTGACCATCCAGCTACAATATTTTATCGCCCTCATGAAACGTGGACAGTACGGGCTGATTGGCGAACTCAACTTCCTGAAGGAGAAAGTATCACCGGTTAGTAGGAGTCACCGCTGGTGGTTGGGTTTAGCTGCTAACCATGCATTAAACAGCCATTGCGCTAAGCAATTCTTATATTGTTGTCACTACCTCTGCCGATTATGTCCGAGTTTATACACTTTGCGGTACTCCGTTCCGAATTTATAGGCAGAAGAGCCGGAGCGTTACTTGTGCGGCATGGAGAGACTATGTCCTAACCGTAGGAAACGGGCCCGTTGGCAGTGATGGAATCACTACATTAACCTACTCTATCGAAAATGTCAAGCGGGACGAAATTTACCAGAACGAAGATCACGTAGCTCTACCTGATTCCACCGAGCTTCGAAGTGTTTTCTTTTCAGATACTGGTGTATGCTTTATAACACTTTTTTTTTTTTTTTTTTTAATTTGCTCTGACTGAAAATATGATGCTGACATTCCTCTAGGACCCTTACATATACGATTCTTCAGGGGTGCTGTTAGTATTAGAACACTGGCGAGAACGTGGACAGGCGCGCTGGGTACCGGTTCTTGACACTAAGCTCATGGACCGCCTTAGTGGCGGACGGAAAGAAGAGACGTACTGGCCGGTCGCCGTGGCGCAGGATGCGTTCCACTGTATAATTCTCAAAGGCGGAGATCAATATCCTTACTTCCCCCGACCATTACTTAGCGAATTCGAATTCAAGATTCCAATATTCTCAAAGCCGAAGAAGCCATCTCCTAGGGATGGCGAGGACGAAGACATGGACGATGCTGCAGGTCGTGACTCTGTTAATAAGCTTGAAGAGGCGTTTATACGTTCCAGCCTCTTCCTCAGTCTGCTGAGTGACCGTGTCACAGCCTCAGAAGCTACGGGCGGTAGCGGAGAGGTGGAATTGCGGAGGAAGGAGATCGATATTGACAAGATTGTGTTGCAGTTGCTAGCAGTTGAATGCCGGGAGGGCGAAGAGAGGGGGATGAAGGCCCTTGAACTCGTTTCCATGATGCGGGATCGTAGCGGGAAGATGTTGGATGCTGCGCGCAAGGTTGCCCAGCGGTATGAACGGACTGTTCTAGATGAGAAGATTAAGGAGTTGGCGGAACGGCGGCTTATGGGTGCGGAGGATGATGATAATGATGATGACGAACTTGCTTGAATATTGGGAAATAAGACATCTAGCTACTACTACATCTGTAACATCGCTATGTATTTCAGGTGTGAAATTACATCCTGCGTGTGCAAAATATAGAATATTTTTATAGTCTATGATCTTTACGGAAAGCTATATATATGGCTTTATACAGATTGACACCCTGATTGCGGCAATGGTCCCGGATGTTACCTTGTCTCCACAGGGTTCTTGCAGGCGGGCGGAGGCTGTAGAAGAATGCCATACTACAAATCACATACTCCCTATGTAGCAATCTGAAGGTTGGAATAAGAAAAGCCCTCTAACCCAAAACAATCTAGCATAAATTCTACGTCATTTGCCAAGCCTACCTAAACCATAGACACTCATGCAAATTCAAAGTACGCGAGAAGGTGACTCTAGATATCATGCACCCTTTGACCAATCAAGTACTTCTCATTTCCCTTTTGCGATGAGCTTTATGTTTCCTTAATCTCAGGAATAACAAACCATGGCCAAGCTCCGCTTCCCCCATCATCTCCGCCAAAGTAGCATTCTCCTCACCCAGTCCCGTCCCCCACAAGGGACACAGGCCGCACCGCTACATCCCCCAACGATACAGCTCTGTGCCCCACACCGTGCCGATGTGCGTGTTCCCCGTCGATATCTGGCTCAGATCCGCCATGATGACTCTACAGAACTAGGCTTCTTGCAGCCTACGCCGGTTTACTTCTCTGCCTACAATCCTCAGCGATGGAGTATGGGGCTGGGCAATGATAATGACAACGGGGACCATAAGCCAGTAGATGAGCGGATATTGAAGCTAGGGAAAAGTATAACCCCTTCCTTATATCCATTGATACCTTTCGCGTATTTTTGTTTCCAAAAAATGTCTTTGGATAGTTGGCTAACCGTTTTCACACTTCCTCCCCACAGCTCTTCGCATCCTCTCCTCCCATCTTCCAGGCATCCTTGTCAACCCACTACCACAAGAGATCCTTTCACCCAACATATCTCTTCATCTGTTCCCTTCGACACACCCCCACCTCCCTACAGTGAAAGGCAGAGTGCCCTACCGCGCAGCTTTGTGGACAGCCCCAGTAGCCTGGGGAAGTGTCCCCATAGTCGGCAACGTCCGGTTAGAGATTATGAGCGAACGAATGGTGAATGCGCCATCCATCGTGGAATACGATGAAGAGCATAGATACGGTGATGAGAAGCTAGTAGTGCGCTGGCGAACTGAAGGCGGGGAGACCGATTCCACTGGCTACTTCAGGAAATCTAGTCCAAAAGGCATTACACCGGCCGCCAATGGGAGAACTGCGACGAATGGCTCTACTACTGCCAATGGAGATATCGGGAGTAGTCGTACAACGCAATCAGCGCTGTCATCCTCATCTAATGGAACAAATCGTGGCCTCAGCAAGCTGTTAGGCGGGGACGCGCCGATTTTTAAATTAGGCAAAGAAGAACAGTTTAGCGGGCTGTTCATCTTCTTGTTTGATGACCAGGGCCGCATTGCCAGCCATACGATTGAACATGCGGACGAGAGTAGTGGGTGGGATAGGACCGCGAGGGTTGTCACCCTAACAGACTGGCTGCTTGGAAAGGCCAAATGGGGGGGATCCCGAGGCGATGCTGGCGCTACGCCTGCACTCGCTGTTGGTCTAGAGCTTTCGCGGGAGGACAAAATGTTGTTCAAAAACGACCCTTGAAAGTGAATTCAAGATGATATACCTAGGACGCACGCACGCAGTTTGCCATACCCAAGTGTCTGCTTACTCGTTTACTTTGAATCGCGCCGTCATAATTTTCCAAACTTTCCCATCCCTTCTTCAGCGCGCCATACAATAGTTTTGGTCCGTTGTTTTCTTTCAAAATGATCTGCATTGGCGTCCTCGAGGGATTTTCCTAATTTTCCATTCAGATCGAGCATGGCTTTCTTCCTTTTGTTGTCACATAATTATAGTCTCTACCACTACTTCCCTGTCCTTGATTCTATCTCACTGTCACTTCCTATTCCCCATATCCGGACATGAGGTACCGACAGAATTGAGTGGGGCAAATTTTCTTCTCTTGGAATTCATAGGTTGGACAGCAGACCGCGGAGTTTGGGAATGGCAGCGTCCAGGCGACTATCCCTTACGGCTAAAGATATGTATACTAATTTTTTCCCTGTGTCTGTCTCATTTTCCCCTTTGTCGATTTCAATTTCAATTTTCTACCTTCAGTCTTCGGGCGCGCACTACGGGAGCTGGGAATTGGGCTGCGGTTTGGAAATTGATTATTCGAATATATGAGCAATTGTGCATGGATGTATTGTATGTACATGTACATGTACGTATCAACACATATGTCCACAAAGGAGACGTATAAACGCAATCTCCACTTTTACAAACGATTAGTTGTGATCCTTCTTCAGACACCTAACTAAACTTCATGCTTCACCATTTGAAAAAAATAAATAGAAAACCCATTTTATACCGTATTAAATTTCCTCCTACCCGTTTTCTTTTTCTTTTTCTTTCTATTACTCATTCTACCTCACAGCCCAATATTTCATTATCAGTTAAATATAATGTATGTGCCCCTTTTTCACCATATCATATGCAGGCGGAACTCTAGCGAACAAAAATGTAAGAGGATGCAACCGAAAATCCCAAAACAAGAGAAGGGAAATACACAACCGAGAAACCAAGAAATTACAGAGGTGACATTAAAATGAAAAACCTCCACTCTCATAACCCCTGAACAAATGTCTACCCGCTCTTTTTCCCTTTCAGGAAATTATATGTCAATGACATTCACACACTTATCATCTCACTTTTTTTGAAACACCAGGCGCTTTCAATCCTCCAAAAACAAGTGCACAAACGGCCAACATCCCCAAGCCACCAACCATATACGCCACCTCCCGCCCCGCCCACCAAAACAATGTACAAAAGACAATCGGACCTGACGCCCTCCCCGCTTGGCCCCAGCTCCTCAACCTACCCAAAAATGCTCCCCGTTCACCCTCGCCAGCTTCCAAACTGCCCAGGCTATTTAAGCCGGTGACCACCGTTGCACTGGTGACTGCCAGCAGGCACCCGGCGCCGTAGAGACCTGATACAGTGGAAACACGAGATAGGAGGAAGAACGAGAGTGTGCACGCAGCAACACCAATACGGACGGTCAGGAGCGGTGGCAGACGGCGAACCACCGTTCCTTGGAGGAGGGAGGCGAGGAGGCCCATGACGGAGAGGAGGCGGCCGTTTAGGGCGGATGGGGAAAGAGATGGGTTTGTGGAAGCGTAGAGGGTGGTGGTTAAGAAGGGGAGGGAGAATTCGAGGCCGGAGAAGGGGAGGAGGAAGAGGAAGTGGGTTAGGTTTAGGAGGATTGGGGGGTTGGTGTATTCTTTTTTTGGTGTTGGCGTGATGTTGATATCAGAGGACGATTTCCGCTCCGCTTTCATGTCGTTCCCGTTCGATTCGCCACCTGCAGTGGCTGTAGCAGTGGGAGAATCCTTCCGAAGCTTCGCAAATCGTGGATGCGTTTCCGGCAGACAGAAGTATATATAAACCGTCTCCACCACAATAAGGAGTAACGAACAGCCCGCCGCAGTCGCGAACGGATTATCCGCCACGGTCGTAATCCCCGCCAACGCCGCCCCCATCGCCGGCCCAAACGTAAACGCAACACTAAAACACGCGCCCACAAGTGCCATTGTCGCTCCCCTCTGTCCCTCATCACTAATATCCGTCGCAATGGCATTCGCAATTTGCACATTCCCCTCGCTCAGACCCCCGACAATCCGACTACCCAGGAACGTCCGGAAATCCGTCGCAGCTACCCAGAGCGCGACACTGGCGATGTTCCCCGCCATGGAGCAGAGAAGCGCGGTGCGTCGGCCATGATTGTCGGATAGGTGGCCGATAAAGGGGGCCGCAATCGCTTGGAGGAAGGAGAAGAGGGAGCCTAGGGCGCCACCGAGGAGGACGACGTCGTATCGCGAGTCGATGGGACGGGCGAAGGCATTTTTGTAGGCATTTAGGTAGTGTAGAATGCGGTGTAGGAGAGAGGTTGGCGAAGGGTTGCGGTTTAAGTAGAAGGCTAGGAGAGAGGGGAAGAGGGGGAGAATAAAGGTGAAGGAGATCTGGAGGGGGAGGTGCTATGTTAGTTCTGGTTTGTGGTTGCGTGGGATCAATTATGCTGAAAGATTTTGGAAATTTACTTACCAAGTCAAGAAGGAGGGAGATAAATAGGACTTTGAGGATCTGTTTGCGCCGTGACGGAGACACAGTGGTTGCGGCCATCGTTGCGCAAGCCGGAAGAGAAAAGGCCAGGAAGTGAAGAATTTCAGCGCATCCTACGAAGGAAATGAAGGTATATAAAAATGAATTGGTAAACTCCTAACAGATGGCGCACCCTGAAAAAGAAGAAAAGTAGCTTGCAGAGTATGAAACACAGAAGAAACAGAGAGTTGTCGGAACCCTGATGCTGAAACTCGACGCGGAGGTTGGGATACCACGACTCTGTTGATGTCGTCACTCGCGCTGAGCCTCAGGACACGTGATGTTCGACCGCTCAACTTAAGCCTAAAATGTTTTAATTTACTCCCTCCCATAGGATAGGCATCCAAAAGAAAATGGCGGCTTGTTTTACTGCTCTGTACGGACGTATGTACTCTACTTTCTTCGCTTGCGAGCTTCCACTGCATCTACGTCTACGTCGATGTCATTGTCGAACGAAAGAAACAACCAAATAATGATAACTCTCGAACCAAACTTGCATTGTCCCTTGGTATCTCAATCAATACCAACCCTCACTTGCAACTCAATGCCATGACCCTGCACTAGCTACAAAAAGAAGAAAGAAAGCATACAACTCCGCAAAACCCCTAATAAAAAGGGACGGGAGGGGAAAAAAAAAAAAAAAAGCAAGTCGTAAAAAGGCGCCGTGAGTCTCGAATTCCAAATGGAAAAGAGAAAGGTCAAGGCAAAGATCCAAGCCAAACCTCCCGGCCCTCTGCAGCCCCATTTCACCCCTTTTCGTTTTAGATGATAGAAAAGAAGAGAAGGAAAAGGGAAGCAGAGAGATCGGCAAATATTCATCACCACGCGGCACCTGTCGTCAAATTCGTCTCACAACCGCGACACACCCATTTGCTGTGGTGGAGGTTTGGAAGGTGAAGGTTTTGAGGAAAGAAGTGGGCAGTAGATAAAACTACACGGAAGAATAGGGTGTTTTGGGAAAAGAAACCAGACAGATGATAAAAATATGCAGAAAACATGGGGAATAAGATAACCGTTAACAGTGCCAAACGCAACTCACTACCATCACTAATGGGAGGAGTGAGTGCGCTTGGCACAGTTGGTAGGTAACGCTGGAGAGCAATGGGAAATTTCTGCTTTTTGTAAGACAAAAAGAAAGCTGGCTTGGTAATTTGGGGGAGGTCATTAGATAAAATATATAAAAGCAAAACAAAATTTCCTAGAATATGAAATGGGGAAATGGAACATTACATTATGCACGCTTTAAAAGGACCAAACTAAAAAATGACTTCAGAGAGAATAGATCCCAAGCGCCTGTCAATTTGGTTAAATTTTTCATTTCGTCACCGCCGATGAAATCACAGAAACATGCTGGTAGCGTATATAGGTAGGAGGAGGGTAGATGTGAGGGATTTGAGGGCGTGGGGTCTTTCTGGTCTTATATTTCCTTTCCTGTCCGTTCCTTTTCCTTCCAATTATTTTCTTTTTATTTTTATCATTCGTCTTTCCGTTTCGTTTCGTGGGCTTCGTGAGTAAGGTGTCTGCTCAAAATGAAATGTGCTGAGTGTGGGTAGGTGTGGGGGTGAGATTGTTTTTTTGCCTCTCTTGCGATGAGAAAAAGCGCGAGAGCAACAAGGGAGAACATGAGGAGAGGTGACGGTGAGATGGATATCTAGAAAAGATTGAATGCGAAAAAAAAAAAGAAAAGAAAAAAAAAGAAAAGAAAAGAAAAGAAAAAGAAAAAGGGACTGGGGTATTCGGTATTTGGCCACATGGTAGAGAAATCGCGGTGTGCAATGGATGTCAATGGAGAGGGAACATGCGGAGAGAGAACATGAGGAGAGAGCAAGGTTGAGGTACAGAGATGATCAAGCGGTTGGTTCAGAGTTATCCTAGAGAGGCAAGGGGAGGGAATCTTTCTCTTACCCCGGCTCCGTCAAGAGCCTTACACAGTGTGATCCGTAGGGGCTGGGGTGCCTTGAGATGGTGGGGGCGGTCCCTGCGCGTTATTATAACCGCCGCGACCACGGCCACGATATTCACCCCCACGACCGCGCCCGCGCCCGCGATATTCACCACGATCGCCACGGAAGCCTCCACGTCCCCGGAACCCCTCACCACGAGGTCCACCACGGCCACGGAAGCCTCTGCCGCGTCCACTATTTTGCCTAGTGTGGTGGCTGACAACTGGTTTGAAACCGTCATTTGGCTCTGGAGTAGCCCCGCCTGTGGAGTTCTGCACTGGAATATCTTCAGCCCAGCTACCGGACGTGGGGAGTGTTGGTGGCGCACCTTGTGTTGTTGTTGTTGTTGATGTCGCTTCTACATCGGCTTTCTCGACTTCGACCCACCCCTCAGCAGTGGTAGAAGCAGACATGTTTGATCCTTGGTTATCCCATTTCAATTGAGCTATTGGGTTTGCGGCTTCGTTGTTAACAGCGGATTGGCTTGGGGGAGAGGAAGTTTCTTCTGGATGTGGCGTTCCAGAAGATGAAAATCCGTTTGTGGTAGTGGTTTGTTGAGTAGCCAAAGAAGGGTCATGAAGTTCAGTCATACCAGCGTTGGCCATGGTAGGGTCGGTAACGGCATTTGTTTCAGCAGCAGAAGCTGATTCGGTGGCTTGGGCCTCCTCAGTCCACCCTTCAGTAGCCGGGGGGGTGTATTCTAGAGAAACTTGTTTCACCCTCGAGTCTATTACCTCACAGTATTAGAATACAACATGAAACGACCTAGATTTTGAAGGGGATACTCACATGGCACGTCGAGAGGCTCCGCGTCAACACTTGGAACAATGTCCTCCGCGCCATTGATCAGTTTAACCATAGCGCTGACTGCCTCCTCGGTTCCCCCATAGACCTGGAACAACGCACCCTCAAATGCCCGACTGTCACTTGAAGTCTCGTCCCCAGAGCGTCTCATGGCTGCAGCAGCGCGCAAAAATTGACTGAGCACCAGCAATCTTTGTTCAAATGTCTTTTCAGCAGATTCCAGCGTCTCCGCAGTCACTTTCTCTTTGAGGGCGTTTAACTCATCCTTGTGTGCCTTCTCTATTTCAGTTTTCTGGCTGGAGAGGCGATCTTCATAGTATTGCCCATATTGTTTGTACTGATTTATTTGCTCCTCGATTTGGAGTACGGCTGCTTGGAGAGCAGGCTTCTTCAAGGCCTGGGCTTTTTGGTCCGCATTGATTTTCTTTTCTGCAACCAGTTCATCGAGAGACTTGCCTGGGTTTTCTGCAGTGATATTATCCACTTTGGATGTGGCATTCTAAGAGACACGGCTATTAGTCACACAGCTAGCAGAAAAGACAAAAAGGGGAAAAAAAGGTACCAATTTTTTGACAGCATTCCGATGGCTCCTATATCAAGGGGGTTAAGTTAGTTCTATGATAAAAAAAAACCTTTGCTTTAAAGTTGAATGCGGAAAACGTACTTAAGCAGATCCTTCAGAAAGGCGGGTTCATGGGCACCAGCCACCCCATTTGGAGTAGATTCTGTGGCGGGAGTTCCAGGCTTTGGAGAATCTACTACAGCTCCAGACACGCTGGAAGAGTTCTCACCCTTGGCACGCTTCTTCTTAGCTGCCTTGGGTTCAGACTGGAGAGGTGGATTGGTGACAGCAGTAGACATGGCTTGTTGGGGTTACGGAGTGTCGTGTGACGGGCAAGGAAAGCTCAAGATGTTTCCCGCAGGCGCAAGGTGTAAACAAGAGAGTCGCGGGGGACGCGTAAAGGGTATTTGGATCAGGAGTAGTAACGAAGGGGAGTAGGAGAGAAAGGGTGGAGTTGAGGTTGTAGGAGGCTTGCGCGTTGTGGGAGCGTTGTTATTGTTTTGGGGTGGTGGTGGTGGGTGGTGGTGGAGGAGACGAAGTGGTTTGTGGAGAGAGCTTTGCCGCGATGGTCGCCGAGAGAAGGTGGCAGAATTTGCGCGGCGGTCAGCTCTCTGCCAGCTTCATAGAAGTGATGTACTGTACAGTGCGGAACATGAGTGATTTATTTCTTGGTATGTAGAGGCAATTAATAATTCTCTTTGATCAATTTTGGTCCTACTAAGAAAACATTGTATCAGGATCTGGTTCATTCCCTGTTTGAAATTATTTACTCAATTCACGACAAATCATCTACACCTATCCTATGGTGCAGCGGCTGGACAATTGGATCCCAAACTGAACAACACAACAATGCATTCAATTGATACTATGTATAATGATGAAACTGCATTAAAGATAACTGAATACAGCAACGCCAATCCGTTCAGGGTATCATGTAAAAAGAAGAGAAAATCCCATGGTATCCCAAAACAGGAAAGCCCAACGCCATTGCTTTTCCCCGTTCGTTGCCAATTGATCGAAAATCCTCGGAGACCGCGCGTAGGGTTTAATTCATCCTTTGAATTTCCGTAGCGTACCCTGATAGGCAATATTGCGGGCCTCATGTTAGCCAGACCCGCTGCTTCAACGTGTAACCCACACGGGGAGTCAGAACCCACTTCTGTCACCTTCCTGATGCTTCTCGCTGAGAGAATTTTCTCTCCGCCTTTTCTTGAACGGATGGAGGCCTCGCGCATTAATCTGGAAAAAGGAAAGGGTCATTTTCACGAGCAATGATAATGATTCTGAATCCCCTATCGAGAAGGACAATTCGAGCTAGGAGGGGGACCAATGCCTACTCTTGTATGAAGAGCATGTAGTCCAGGAAAATCTGCTAAGTTAAAACCAAATGGAAAAATTAGTTAACAGTATTCAAGAGGACGTCTTTAGAACGTATAAAGTACTATTAATTGGAACAGACCAAGATATCTGCATTTTTAGAGATATTGCGCCTTGAATGGGCTTTCACGATGCGCTTAACTGTTGCGCGCGGATACAACTTGGGAGCGACAACCATAGTCAATATAGGAGAAGGAGATCCCCTCTTGTAATATCCCTAGATACTGTATGCATATAATAGAAGCACACTGAGGATCGTTCCTTGCAGTTGTCAATCATGTAAATGTAAGTTAAGAGGCTTCGTCTGATCATCTCGGCGCGCCTCTGCTGTTTGTTTCTGTTGTTTACTCAATGCCAAGACCTAACTATCACGTGCAAAATTTAGAACTCTTGGCTGATGTCATATCGGATAAAGCATAGTCCGATAGATGGACTAGTCCAAATACGGAACGATGCAGCGGAATGGGCGAAATCTGATCTCTGGTTGGCTGGAAGCTTGTCCGCACTCAATCGGGGAATCAAACCAGCCTCATCATTGTATTCTTTCTGATTCTTCCAAGCCATCAGGTGCAGAAAAGGACAACTCTGAAACTGTGGTCGAGTCAAAGTCATTGGCTGTATATATATGTGTATATATATATATATACAGAACCTCCGCTAATTGTTTCGGGGCTACCTACGCGACTATTGTTGGTCAATTGCCCATTGAGCCGCTATTTTGATTCAACCACACATCTAACATCTGGACGTTGCTGTTCAGCTTCGATACAAAGGGCATCTACCAACCACATCGCTTCTCCCATTAACCCGGCGCCCGTTACCATGCGTTTCGGCCTCACCCTCAGAAACTCTATTTATCCGCCTTGGAAGGACCATTACATCGACTACAAGAAACTCAAACAGCTGCTGCGCGAGCATGAAACCAGGGACGGCTCGCAGGATGGAAGTAGTGATGAAAGCCCCGAATGGACGGACCAGGATGAGGAGACTTTCGTTCAGGAGCTTATCAATGTTCAGCTCGACAAGGTCAATGCCTTCCAGGTCAACACCTATAAGCAACTACGGGATCGGACCTCAGACTGCGAGGCCAAGCTAGAACCGTTGGTTGTTAAGGATGACGGTTCTCATCAGGTAAAGGATCCCGATCAGAGGAGGGAGACGGCTGAGAGCGCCATGAAAGACCTGGATGCGATTACCAAGGAGCTTAGTGAGTTGGAAAAGTTCAGCCGTATCAATTTTACTGGGTTTCTAAAGGCCGCAAAGAAACATGATCGGAAAAGAGGCACTCGCTATAAGGTAAGGCCACTGCTTCAGGTGCGATTGTCCCAGCTTCCGTTTAATTCGGAAGACTATTCCCCGCTTCTCTATCGACTCTCGACTATGTACTCCTTCATCCGCCAGAACCTGGGCCACATTGGCCACGAACAATCTACTGAAGGAGCGCCCGCGGTGGATGTGCACTTGGGCCAGGATGCATATACCTCGCATAAATTTTGGGTGCATATGGACAATGTCCTAGAAGTGAAAACGTACATTCTCCGCCGCCTGCCCGTTCTGGTTTACAACCCCAGCGTGTCCGCCAAAGACCTACAAATGACCCATAAGGACCCCACAATTACTTCTCTTTATTTTGATGGTCCCAAGTTTGAATTGTATAACCAGAAGGTTGCTAAAACCCCTGGTGCCAGCTCGTTGCGTCTTCGCTGGACTGGCCAATTGAAAGATCGACCAGAGATTTTCCTAGAGAAGAAAGCCATGAGTGACGGGGATAGCAGCAAGGAAGTCAGAGTCCGCCTCAAGGAGAAGCATATCAAATCATTCCTAAAGGGGGAATACAAAATGGAAAAGATCATTAACAGGATGGAGAACCGTGACGTTCTGGCTTCAGAGGATGCTGATGCTCTGAGGAGGGATGTTGAGGAAATACAGTCCTTCATTCGAGAGAAGAAGCTCGACCCTGTTTTGCGAGCTACTTATACTCGAACTGCATTCCAGATTCCAGGCGATGATAAACTTAGGATATCCCTCGACACAGATCTGGCTCTAATCAGAGAAGATTCGCTGGATTTCGAACGTCCATGTCGAGATCCCGATAATTGGCATCGCACAGATATTGACGATAGGGAGATGGAGTTTCCGTTTTCAGAAATCCGCCCCGGCGAAATCTCTCGATTCCCTTATGCCCTACTAGAAATCAAAGTACGAGGAGGTAACCTACGCAGAGCAAACAAGGAATGGCTGCTCGATTTAATGTCATCCCACCTCGTCAAGGACGCTCCTCGATTTTCTAAATTTGTCCACGGTGTCGCAGAACTTTTCGAAGATCACGTTAACAGCTTCCCTTTCTGGCTCAGCGAACTGGAGACTGACATCCGTCGAGACCCCGAAATTGCCTTTCAGGAAGAGCAAGAAAGAATTGCAAAACAAGCGGAAGATGAGCTTGCAGTAGGAAGCTTTCTAGGGACAGGTAGTCGTCACAGTCCTTCAACCCGGCCCATGGTTGGATCACCCATCCACAGGGTATTTTCTGCCGAATCCACCCCAGCAGAAAGCACGCGGCCAGTTGACAGCACCCGACCCCTGACATCCGAATCGCAACCTATCCCCATCCAAGAACCAGGGACATTATCCCCACCCCCTTCACTGCCACCCTCTCGCCCCTCCGGTTTACTCTCATTCATCCCACTCACCATGTCCCGCTACGCCGCCGCGCACAGACAGCCCTCCTCCCCACTCCCACCCGGAGTTCGCGCCCCACGAACGTGGATCAAGGACTCCGGCCCCGTCCGCGTCGAAGCCAAAGTATGGCTGGCCAATCAGCGCACCTTCATAAAATGGCAGCACATATGTGTATTGCTTGCCACGCTCTCGCTAGGTCTATATAACGCTGCTTCTGACGATAATACCATTGCGCGCTCGCTGGCGATCGTATACACGTTCTTTGCTGTCTTTGCGGGTTGCTGGGGGTGGTGGATGTATGTGACGCGGGCGCGGTGGATTCGTGAGCGCAGCGGGCGGGATTTCGATAATGTGGCTGGGCCGATGGTTGTTTGTTTGGGCTTGGCTGTGGCGCTTGTGCTGAATTTTTGGTTTAAGGTATGTTTCATGCCTTTCTATTCTATCGTCATATATATATTTTTTAAATATGTGGACTCTCAACTAATTTAATCTGATCAATCGCAGTACACCGCAAAGGTATGGAATGCGGATGAGCCCAGTTCTCCTAAAGGCTCGACTACCTCCCCGGCAAACGCCACCAAGCAGGCTGTAGAGGGTGCGTGGATGCTTGTTAATCAAGCTGCTGCCGCGGCTGGCCGAGGGGGGATATAATGCATGATACATGAGCCTAAATAATATTGTAACTGGACGCTCTGGGCAAATGTCAATATATATGAAAATTTAACACCCTAAAAGTCGGAGAATATGTCGAAATGAGTAGTTGTTTGTCCGAATTGACGATAGTTTGTATATTCTGTATATATCTGATGATCTACTATATGATAAACAGTTGATAGGGGCGGCAGTAAATATGGAGACAAAATCCTGACGATGAGCTCTTTTTTGGGAGGATTTTTTTTTTCTCCTATTCCCTTTGAGTATATAGCCCACTATTTTTGTAGTTATGCTGAATATTATAATTTTTTGAATACTAATTTTTATATTGAGTGGGAAGACATTTTTACTACTCATTGAAAGTATACAAAAGCAGATGAGTATAAGAGTGAGATGAGGTGAGACCATTATTACAACACTGACAAAATAGACAAATAGCTCGCATCCCAAAAATAATCATGAGCGTCCAGGAAATATTGTATAACGACGGAAAGAGAAATGAAAAATAAAAATAAAATAAAAGTAAAAGTAAAAATAAAAATAAACAACGAAGTAGAATAAAGGCAGAGTCAAATATATTGACACCGTAGTGTAATTCATGAATATAAAGCAAATATGAGAAATCAATATCAAACGTAATATGGAATATACACACACACATATGCTCACACTTACTTACACAATACACACACCATTGTACAGAGTAGAGAGGGGATAGCGGAGAAAAGAAAAAGAAACGTATCAATATTTAGAGGTAAATGAACCCCCAGAAGCCGGAGCAGTGTAAAATTTGAAAAGCCGAACACAAAATGATGAAACAAATGTAAAGCAAATCGGAAACCAGACACTGACAAGAAAATAAAAGATGAACAAAATGAAGAAACTCAGAAAGGAAAGTGATGACTCCAACCACGGTACCTACCCTTTCGCCTTCTCAGTTTGTCAGCCCTAATTCTCACGCAACTTGTCATCATCATATACACATTAATATTAACAAGCCAAACCACCATGGGCAAATTAAAATTAGTGACCATATACACATGGAAACCGAACTCTAGTCACCGCAATTAAACCAAACGCCGTTCAAGGCCCTGCATAAAAAGGTAGGAAAAAGAAGAAGAGAAGACGAAGAAAAAACGGTACTATCCATGTAAAGGGTAGAGACAACCACTGGGGAAAAATGCGACGGAAAGGGAAATTTAGATAAAAAAAGGAAGCGGGTTGAGCGGAGGATTGAACTTGGTAGATGGCAGAATGGTAAGTAGATTCTCCATTTGTTCTCCCAAGTAAGGTTCCCCCCACCCCCTTTTTCTTTGTCCGCCAGTCCGATGTTCGCTGATCCCATTAGAAGCGATATCGAAAGATAGACTAAGGTTGGGGGGTTGCGTTGTCTTTTTCATCTATGGCCGATTTACCGAACAAGGGAAGTCGATGACCGAAATATAAGGCGAGCTGCCGTGTAAGACATGGTTGTTGAGTAGAGTCACGTTTCGTGTATATCCATTTGTCAAGCCTTAAAATGGTAGCCCGGAATAGGATAAAAGAGTAATGTAAGAGGGAGCTGGGAATTTCCTGACAAAAGACGCTATATCTTGTTATTCCGGTAGACGAGATGCAACGATGAATAATCTCTTTGTTCAAATGAACAAGGGAACAACAACCTTGGAAGCTGGGAGAGATGCTACTTTGGTTTAGTAATAGGATGCCTGTCGCAACTCATAGTTGGGCATGAAGTCGAACCAGTCCGTGCTTGGGTTGTACCTGTATGCCTTGAACTCGACGCCGTATGGTTTCTAAACAGTGGGGGGGGAGGTCATTAGCCCAGCGCCTTAAGAAACAATTAGGAAAAAAATTCAATACGAACCGGCTCAAGCATATACAAAACACCCAACGGGACGTCCAAATCGGCTAACTCCTCCCTCTTCAATCCCCTGAAATAAGCCAGCAGCACACGAGCAACAGACCGGTGACTGACGAGCAGCACATTATCCGTCATTCGCTCAACTTCCACAATCACCGCCTTCAGGCGATTGATGACGTCCAGATACCCTTCCCCGCCAGGGCCGGGATAGCGATAGTGTAGCTTTTGACGCTTGCGGTTGGCATATTCTTCAGGAAATTGTTTGCGGATTTCCTCATAGGTCATGCCTTCCATCTTACCCGCGTTCAGTTCGTCTAACATGCGCATCTGTTTTACGTCATACTCCTCGTCATCGAAGAATTGGACCGTCTGGATCGAGCGGGTAAGCATGGATGACCAAATGCAGAAATTGCGTGGCTCAGCGTTCTGTCCGGCGTATTGCGGGTTGGGCGGTGTGCTGTCGCCAGGGCGTGGGGGGAAATGTGTTGACAGGGCCTTTGACTTTTGGTACTGCTCCCAGAGCTGGCGTTGCTCGCCGATGAATCTTGTCAGAGCCCTTGCGTAACGGATTCCGTTCTCGCTGAGTGGGGAATCGCCCCCGATCCTGCCGGCGACGTTGTCCAAACTTTCACCGTGGCGGCAGATCCAGATCTGTCGCGGGGACAGGTTGAAGTTTAGGAGGTAATACATGACTTGCGACGAGAGGAAGCCGTTGACTTGATGTGCGATCACTTTGCGACTGACATCTATTGTTTGCACATAGGGCATGTTGTGTTTCTCTTCATACTCCCCCAGTGATACATATGATTTCTCATACAGTGCGACACGCTTTTTGAAGTCCTCAAGAGCAAGGGTGGGATCCTGGTCCCTATAATCTGGGCCTGACAATTTCAACCGCATATTTGATTCCAACAGCTCTTTGTCAAGGCATTGGCTTTCTAGGAATAGAACGTTGAGTTCCGGTCCTGCTCGAGCGCGTATACGGTCCATGATCGCCTTGCGGCGTTTCAATGTGCTGTTTGTAGCATCTAGAATACCTATACTACCGCCCTGTTCAAGAATATAATCCAGAAGCTCGTCCAAGGTCAGCAGTGCCACCTGTTCTCTCAACTGAACAGCCTGTTCGTTCGCTGGGTCGAAAAATTGCGCGGACTGGTCTATGGATCCAGCTCCTGTAGATCTCATAGTGCCAATGGCAGGCTCCGGAGACAGCGATGCTGACGATATACTTGCCGACGCCGGCTTAGATTTTGGATATAAATATGGCATATCACTCATGGGGCTAGGGTCTCGCGTGATTCCGTCCTGATCCTGGGGTGTTGGTGACTCGACCGCGGCACCATTCAAAAGAATAGCAGCTGGTGGTAGAATTTCATGTTCGGTATCCCTTCGACCCGAGCTGGAACCGCTGATGCTCATCTCGCGTACAGAATCTCTTATCTCATCCTCAAAGATAGAACTCCGTCCCGCAGAAGGCACAGAGCCACCTGCCGCCACACGTCGACGTTCACCTACGTTGAAGATCTTGGTGTCATGCTGCATCCAGTTCAGATAACGGGCCAGTTTCTTGGTGATGTAGCTCTTGCCACGTGCGGGCAAGCCCACCATGACGATAACCAACTTCGAGCCGACATCTCGCTGCGCAATACGGCCATCGGGAGAGACTTTAGATTTGGTCAGGCCGGGTATATCGAGGGTTGTTGCGCGGTGTTTTCCTGGGGTCGAAGCACCAGAGGAGTGAGAGCGGGCACCACTAAATTCAGCGCAAAGCGAGGCCCACGGTCAGCTTCTATTTTCAGTTCATGTGAAAAATATGATTGTGCAAGGGTCGACGACAGGGAAATCGCAGGATTGTGGGACTTTGGAGAATAGTATCGGGTGCGAATGTAACTAGATAACTGAATAGCCGGGGCCAGGGCCGGGGGTTCACGGGACGGCCCCGCACAGCCCCAAAACCTATATAAGGGCGCCCGACTCCCGAGCTGGATGGAGCAGAAACATGAAGGGCAGACGCAAAGAAATCTCGGCAACTCACATTTGCGGGGAGGGGGGTGCGGTTGAAAGCGGAGTGTCTGTCAGAGCCATCCCGACGCCGTCTCGGCTGGCCTGCGAGGGTGCGTGGGTCGCGGAAAGACTGCGGTGCTGATGATGATGATGATGATGGTGGTGGTGGTGATGCTCAGGCGCCAGGGCGCGCCCGACCACAGTCTTGCATGGAGGCATCAGGCTCGGCTCAGGACTATGATGTATATTGCTAGGACCGTGGCGCCCGTTGGCAGTGAGGTGGTCAGCCATCTTTTAAGCTGGATTGTTTGTGTCCAGAAGACGTTGGGTTGGCGATGGGAATAAAAAGGACAGACTTGGCGATGCTGACTTGTTGTGTTGCTTGGGGCGGCTGGGCGTCACAGCGGGTACATGATGTCACACCCGTTTCCCAGCAAAATACAGGTACCTACCGGCGATGTCCTCCGCCACTCTCAAGCTCCAAGTATGGCTCCGAGGTTGGTTTATGGTTGGAAGCAAAAAAGGTTCAATTGTATGCTTTTTTTTAAGTTCAGCGCTGGGGGTCAACTCGTTATAATTTCTACTAACTTCCCACAATTATGACAAATTTAACTGAGGTAACTTATCGAACGTCCCAGGAACCGGTATCAGCAGATTACACACATAACAACATTATTCTTCAAGAGTAAGTGTGAAAGATCACGACCTCTTGCAAGCTTCATCCTACAGGCTGGAAGCTGGACAACCTGGAAGCTCTGCAGCTCATCAACGTTTGCCAACAAAATCGAGACAAAACACTCGTATGGACTTAGTCCATGTTGGCCACATCCATTATCGCGGTTGGAGAGAGTTTGCCTATTCAAATAATTCAAATTTCCTCAAACCGCACCATACAAACAAAATATACATCTGGTGGCGGGCAGGAAAATAAATGGACTGATCCATGCTAGGGTGAGCCAGTCTGTTGGCGAAAAGGCCCCAATGACTGAACTTTAAGACACCCCAAGTATGGATTTCCTAACTCCCTTACCCCCAAAAACCAACAATTGTCCTCCCAAACTTGGAAAAAGATTACGATCGGTCGCTGTCCAGTTCACTCCAATCTAATCCATTTTGGGTGTCGCATGGCAACCCCAGAATCCCGCTTCGTGTATTCATGGTATTGACTGAGAAGGCTTTGTGTCCTGCACGAATATAAGACCATCATAAAGTTCTGTAGCATCAATATGAGCGGGGAGTAGGTGTAGAGTAGCCAGCGCTTCGAATGTCTCCAAATCATATGGATAATGAGATTGGAGGTCGAACCTAGACAGGTGGTGCTCTAGGCGTATCAGGCGTGGGTCACCAGGGTTGGGCGAGCCAGAAGTATAACGATGCAACATGGAACAGAAATACTACAATAAGCTCGCAGAGCCAGTATTGTATGGTTCGCTGCCTGGAGAGAGCATGACGCTCATGGTGTTATAAGGCTTCAAGTGCTTTAAAATCACCACGTTCGCGTTGTGCATTGTTGCCAGGCCCTGCCCTTATGGAGGTGGCAGCAGGGCCGGATGGTACCACCCAACAGGTGTCACAGGCATGTGCTCTTTATAACCCAATGTCCCTCTTGATGGCGAATCCCGAACCCCGACGTAGCACTCAGGCACCCATAAAAACGTACGGTATGAACGAATATAATATCCCATATCCCGAAACGCACCGCCTCGATTTCATATCGAAATCTAGATCCACTTCCACTTCCATCTGGACCCGACCCCTTCATATCTTCAACGTCAACGTCAACGCCAACAAGCACGCATACGCCGCAATACTCAGCGCCGTCAACACCACCACCACATTCCCACTCGTCCGAAACTTGCGCCTCTGCAAACCATCCACATCCACTTCGTTGAAGAACTGCCTGTTTCCCTGCTGGCGCCGGAAGAGGCCAATGGTCAACACACCAGCGCCATATACGGCAAATAGCGCACCGATGCTGTAGAACTCTGAAGTGAAGATCTTGAGGATGATGAGAGCGAAGGAAAATTGCGAGAGAGAGGTACGGATATAGGCGCCCTCGAAGGTCCGCTGGGCGGCGCGGACTTCGACTAATTCTTCTTGGGTGAGGACTACGGAGCGGGCACGGTGGAGGCGGAGACGGTAGCGGTCCGCGGCACGGCGCTGCAGAGAGGGTTGTTAGTCGGTTTCTGAGGAGGAGATTGTGTGCTGGTGGGAGGAATTTATAACTGACCTCGAACATGATGGATATATCCAGGCGTGGGTAGATTATTTAGAAGGCTGAGTGCTCTGATAGCCGGAAGAGCTGAGGTCCGCACCGATGGCAAACACGTATCTCTTCCTTAACACCACAAGTTGCTACTTCTCCAACAACAGCCGAATGTCGACATCGAAGGTCTTCAAGCTGTTGACAGAAAGATGGATGGAACCCAGCCGGATCACATGGGCGGCGAGATTAGTCAGCCCCGGAATGGGGGATCCATTCGCCCTTTAGCTTCCTTTAACTTCCGGGGAACAGACGATGAACTGTATGTATATCAATTACTCTATCCTATCCATTTACTTTGGCCGTTTGCAATAACTTACTTCGTATACAATAACTAATCTGGAGAGTTTTGATGTTATTTGCTATTTTTACGAACAAGCTATTTGGCGCATTCTTCCGAAAGCGGGCGCACCGAACTGACTCGGGGCTTTCTCCGCAATTATTATTAACTAGCGCCATAGCTAAGCTTTAACCAGCTCCAGTTAAGGTTTTAACTAAGTGGCGTAACTACGTAGTAAGAGTTAACTGCTGGGCTTCGGCTATTTGCTACCCAATCAATGTCCTTGCAACAGCCAGCGGACTCGGCAATTTCCCCCGACGACAAAATACCAACCAGCCAGACCTTGTCTTGATGCTCTGATGATGAAAGAAAATAAGCAACTGCTCCCTTGAAGCCCTCCCTGTGCGCCTTATCTCGCATCGCAACATCATTTCTACGAATTGGCCACCTTGCTATCATCTATTCAGTGCATTTACTTGAGTTCTTCGAGGTCTAACTACTGGAAAGGGCGTCGAGGTGATATAGTTCACCATGACCAAGAAGATTCTAGATGCTCCTGAGGGTGAGGATATTATCCAATTGCTATTGTGTCCTCTTCCCATTAAAACTGGATGCTAATGATGAGGTAGTGGCCAAGCATAACAGCCCTGACAGCTGCTGGGTCGTGCTGTACGGGAAGGTCTACGATGTTAGTGGTCAACCCCTTCTCATCAGATATATCTCGTGCCCCGTTTGGGATTGAGGGCTACATGACCAGGCTGCATATTTCTATGTTTCTTTCTCATACGCTAATAAAAGGTCATGGCTCGACCGAGGAATCTAATAGGTAACGGAATTTCTCCCTCACCATCCTGGCGGTGCGCAAATCATTCTCCAGCTTGCCGGTAAAGATGCGACGGAAGAATACGACCCGATCCACCCTTCCGGCACCCTGGAGGAGAATCTTAAGCCAGAAGCATGTCTGGGCACCATTGATCCAGAGGCGTTGTCGAAGGCAGTCTCTCAAACTGAATCCAATACCAAAGCCGAGCGGACACGCAACGAAGCGCCGGCGATGTCCTCGCTCTTAAACCTCGACGACATAGAAGAAGCAGCCACGAAACAAATCAGTAAGAAGGCTTGGGCATATTACTTCTCTGCCGCGGACGATCTTATCTCTAAATCACTAAATAACACTATCTATCGCTCCATCCTCCTCCGTCCTCGAGTCTTCGTCGACTGCACAAACTGCGACCTCACCACCATCGCACTAGGCCATAAACTCGGATTACCCATCTATGTCTGCCCAGCAGCCATGGCCCGCCTCGCGCATCCAGTGGGAGAAGCAGGGATTGCCGCTGCCTGCTCCAAATTCGGCGCCATGCAACTAATCTCTAACAATGCTTCCATGACCCCGGAGGAAATCGTACAAAACGCAACGTCAGACCAAGTTTTCGGCTGGCAAATATATGTCCAAACCCAGCGCAAGAAGAGCGAAGCAATGCTCGCCCGCATCAATAAGCTCAAATCCATAAAATTCGTCTGTCTGACCCTCGACGCCCCCGTTCCGGCCAAACGCGAACATGACGAACGCACCCGCGCAGTCGCGCAGGCGACCTCCGTGTTCAACCTCCTTAGGGAGTCCGGAGGCACACCAATCGAGGGCGGCGCGGGTATCGGCCAGCAGTTGTTCGCCGGTACGGACCCGTCGCTCACCTGGTCCACGACTCTTCCCTGGCTAGCGCAGCATACGAATTTACCTATCGTGCTAAAGGGCATACAGACGCATGAGGATGCATATATCGCATCGTTGCATGCGCCGCAGGTCAAGGCGATTATCTTGTCGAACCACGGGGGGCGGTCGATGGACACGGCGCCGCCAGCAGTGCATACGCTGTTGGAGATTCGGAAGTTCTGCCCAGAAGTGTTCGACAGGTTGGAGGTGTGGGTTGATGGGGGGATTAAGCGGGGAACGGATGTGGTAAAGGCGTTGTGTCTAGGAGCACGATGTGTAGGGATTGGTAGAGCGCCATTATTTGGGCTTGGGGCTGGTGGGGTCGAAGGTGTTGAGCGGGTGTTGGAGAGTACGCTTGTCCCCTGTCCCTTATTTCCCTCTTTTCCTTCGTACTGGAACTGGTATTCCCGCTTGTGGGAAAGATTGCAGAGTATACATCATACTAACAGAGGTCCTTTCCTCATTAGTTCTCTCCACAGAAACCAAGACAGCTATGCGTCTTCTGGGCGTCGACAAGGTCGAGGACCTAGGCATGCAACACGTAAGTTATTCATCCACAATCACTATACAAAATATATATCTTATTTCCCCATTTATCCCTACCTATAAAAAAATCTAACACGTTCAAAATAATGCAGATCAATGCGCGCGCAGTGGAACAGCAGATATATGATGGCCCGGCAGGCCTGCACGCTCTGGACCTCTTGGTGAAACCCAAGCTATAAATCTTGAAACGTTAAACTTCTTGTTTTGGGTATCCATCTTTATAAATATATATGTGGCCCTTATAGATAGAATGCAATTTATGTGTCTGTTATGTAGTAGATAAAGCTAGGTTACATTTCGAGTGCACAGGAATGTGAGGAGATATATATCCAAGTTCCAGATCTACGGACTACGGCTTTCCGAACTACATTATTTCACATAATTTATTTCATATCATGAGCATGATTCCCTAGTGGTTGGTCTACGTCGACTTTTCCATTCCTGAAAGCTCAATTCTCACTACTTGTCACCACTAGTTACCTGCAAGTGCGATCCAATCTCTACATTTCTTATGTAAATTACCTCACTGAGCATTTCCAAAACTAGTATAGAACTCCCGGCATGCATCCTTTGTAAACTTTGCTTTACTTTTGAGGGTGCGGGTATGTTTGTCCGAATCATTGAGCTAGATTTGTTGCTCAATCCAACTAATTATGCACGACCAAGGCTTAAGAGACCTGAATCTTTCACTAATTTGCCCGGGAAGCGAGACAGAGCAGGCAGTAAGTGCCGTTAAATCTCAATTTCCCATGTTCATTATATAAATATCAAGGGTAATAATAAGTCTAAGAACAGGGGCGAACCATGAAGCGACTGAAATGCGACAAAAAAAAAAAAAAAAAAAAAAAAAAAAAAAAAAAAAAAGGAGAAGAAAGAAAGAAAGTGATGGAGGTGGAAGGTTGGTTGATTGTATAGCCGCGCAGCATCTAATGAATAGGTGTGTGGGTCACGTGGCCTCATATAGGGCATCCGGCCAACAGAAAGAGCGAAAATGGACAAACCAAATAATCCAAACTATCAAAATGATGGGGAATAGAGAATAGAAAAATGTTCAAACCATCAAAAATAATGTGGCCTAACAAACAGAACCAGAAAGGGAAAATAGATATTTAAAAACAGAAAAGATAAATATGAAAAAAATCTTATGAAAATGTTCAACCATCAAAGTGATGTGGCTCAAACCTATTGCGAGAAAAAAAGCAAGCAAAAAGGGGAATAAAGGAAAAGGAAAATGAAGAGGATGAAAAGAGAAGAAAAGATGGTTACATGAAGGATAGAAAAGAAAAACACAAACAACAAGATGAAAGAAAAAAGAACCAAAAAAATCCCCTAAGGAAAAAAAAATGTACATATTCGTATACGACGAGAGGTACGTATTTGTTGGGTATATTTAGCAGATACAGTCAAAAGACAAAAGCACATGCGGGTTCTTCAAAATCACCTCCATGGGTTGGATGGACTATGAAAGGGAAGTGCCTAACTTTTGAATGGGCAATACCTTTCTCGTACAGCAGCACGATATGTTTAGCATGTGGTTCGTATATTCACCAGAGTGACGGGCCTCGAAGCCATATCAGCGCTTATATATACGACATCAAGGTTTTCCAACATATCTCACCATGGGAATAATGGATAGGCAAGCAGATTCAGGGCGGCTTTACCCTTATTCTGCAAAGTTCGTGTTCCTAGATAGAAACTGGTTAGAAGGGTGCCCGGGTTAGACTGTCCCTTCAACGCCACAAATGTGTGCTGTATATTGCTCTCTTTCAGCGCTTTCTGTATTGGCCTCGACGGCGGTCCAGGTTTATTTTTTTATAAAATGCAGGTGAGTATTGCTGGGAACCACGTATTTTAAGATGGAAGTGACGCCACAGAAGCAATAAGAGCTGCTCTTTTCTGCGCAATTCTAAGGCTGCGACGAACAGGTTTGGCGCTCGTAGAGGAGATCTGTGCGCCAGAAGGAAAGTTCTTCTTTCTTCTATTTCGAATCGGAGCGCCTCGGCTTGAGATCTCGTCAGTTTCCGCATTCCCTTCTTTGTTTGCTGACGCTGTAGCTGTTTTTGATTTTTGTCTGGGCAGCCTTGACGAAACTGCCTCGGAGGCATGAAGTTCGCCAGTAGCCGTATTCCTTGATACCGTTGTATCTGCAGTCTCAGATTTGTCATAAGCAGAGCGAGCCCCAGTTGTATTGGTGCGCTTTTGCCGTTTGGACACGCGCTTTCCCTGTGAACTGTCTTTAGTGGAAACCTTGTCATCTTTTTTAACATCCCGTTCTTCCTTTGCTGCTACGGTAGCCGCTTTTCGCTTTTGTCTAGTCATCCTTGATGAGGCGGTATTAGAAACATGCCACTCTTCAGCGGCTGCATTTGATGGTACTGCTGTATCTGTAGTTTCAGATATCTTGTAAGCAGAGAGAGTCCTATTTTGCCTATCGCGCTTTTGCCGCTTAGATGGTCGCCTTTCCTGTGAGGTGCCCTGAGCGGAAATCTGGTCATCTTCTTCAGCATCACTCTCTTCCTCTACTGCTACCATAGCAGCTTTTCGCTTTTGCCTTGTCATCCTTGATGCAGGAAGATTAGGGTTCTGCGACCCTTCGATGTCCACTTCTGTTGCTGCAGCTTCAGCTGCAGCTCCTGACTCGGATATTTTGAAATCGGGAAGGGCGGACTCTAGGCTATTGCGTCTTGGCCGCTTTGATGGGTGTTCTTCGCTAGCTATGTCATGGCTGTGCTTACGCGCTTTGCTCGCTTGAGAGTTGGTGGCTATGGGTGTCTGGCGATTCAACGCCGCAAGGCTCCCCGTATTATTATTATCCTGGTCATTGTAGCCTTCTCCCGCGCTGGTATGATCGGTTTGATTGAGGCTCGATTTGGCGCTGATAGATTCGTAATTTAATGCGTTCGCCATCGTTTTGGATTGCTTCATCTCACTCTCGATCATAGGGAGCTGCTCCAGTATCCATTTCAGTAGTATTTTATGACGTTCTGCATGATGTTTGAAAGTTCGAGATTTAGCTGTGGCTACGAGGAAGCGGCCGATGACTTTTTCTCGGCGTGCTACGAATTCGTGAACCTTCTCTGCCTCGGCTAACCTGGATTCTGCTTGTAGCAGCCTCCGTTCATTTTGTTTGAGAGAATGTTGTCTCGTCAGATTTGGCTTTTTGAGCCAAAAGAAAGGCACATTTTGCGGATTCCACAGCCTCTTGAGACCGAACCAATTCGCTGGTCCTTTGCATTATTGCTTCAAAACCACATACGGATTCCAGTGTCTCGAAAGGTTTCAATACCTGGCTGGCAACGACATCCTTCCACTTGCTATCAAGCCATGCTTGTTGGCCCTCTGTAAGGGCGTACCGATCATACCACCAGTATTCATAGCCAAGATATTCAATCCAAGTTGTCAAACTGTTCTGTTTAGTCGGATCCTCGTCGAGCTGGAAGGTGCGTGTGAACTCATGTCTCACAAGCCGGTCCTTCACTGCTCTGGCGTATATTGGGAAGCGTCCCTCTTCTCCCGCTACTGGCTTTTGGTGGCCGATAAAACTTTTCCACTCCCTCAGTTCCGAGAAGTCATGTCCTGAATATATATATATTGCCCGCTCATCTTCAATATTTCGTTCCCTCATAAATCTCTGGAACTTGCGGAAGGTTTTCCACCTGTGGCATTGGATCGAAAATAGATGCTCTTCCCGCGCACTGTTTCCGGGGACCCAAAACAATAGGAGATCGCGGTCTTCTCCTGGGTTTTCGAAAAGTTCCGCGGTATTATCTCGAAAAGGGTGCGACGGTCGCCCACCGGATTCAACAAGCGCTTTGTATGCCTTAGTTTCTTCTTGTAGGGTGTGACGTCTTTGTGCCTCTAGGTCGGGGGATGGCGTAGTTCCACAGATAGACTCTGCCGTCCAGCGAATCTCTTCTATTGAATCCTCGTATCTGGGCATTCGTTTTGGAGGAGCTGGTTGTTGGTCTTGTGGCACTTTACCAGTGGCGTCTTGCAGAAGGCGTGCGCTGACTTGATCCAGGTCAACTGGAAGAGACTTGACAGCTCTGCTTTCGTTATTCACTCGGTCCCTACGACGATTAGGCACCAGAAGCAAGAGGTTTTAGCGCGAAGATTGAGATAGATTACTTCAATCTCTGAATAAAAGATTCCGGTATATTCTCAGGGTCTTCAACAGAAATTGTCCTATATTTGAGGTCAGCCAGGTAATCCGACATGTTTTTTTAGGGGAAAAAAAAATAAAATCCAAACGCCAACCTTCCGTTCTCCTCTAGGTACCGGTCTAGTTCCGCGTCGTCAAAGGCAGCGACATCACAAGCTCGTAGTTTGGATCTAGGAGATGGCATGGTAGTTGGATTTCGTGACACAAGTCCAAGAGACTGAGCACACATCAATACATATCATTCGGTGCGGATGGGAACGAGAGGTCAGGAGCTGGCGGAAAGATGGGTTTGTTTTTGTTCAGCTCGTTAGGCCACGGAGTCGGTATTTATTATGGATTTATTTCCCAGTTGGTTCCTCTGCTTAGTCATCTCATTGAGCCCTTGAGCCCCTTGTTGCGATGTCTCCTGCATTGATGCCCGGCGGCGGTCATGGATTTCGTCGAATGAATGCGTTGCTTGAGCGACAGAGTCTCGGGAGATGCATGGCGCAGAGACGCACGACATGTAAGACCCAATAATCAACACCAGCCGCCTTCCCGGATGTTATGTACAGTCCTTTGTTCATGGCCTATGCAGCCTTGCTGGGGCTCTTTCTGCACTCAGTCATGAAACTAATAAAGACTCTCGAACCCCGCATGATTCTGGGTTATGCCTTTGCAGTTTGTCGAACAAAGCAGCTTTGATAATGGAACACCCGGACCTGGTCGCTGTGTTGTACCCATATCAGCAATCTTCTGATGCCATCGCGGCTATTACCGCCCCTGAGAACGCATCGCTGCACATTCCTGCCATGCACCAGGCGGAACAACCGTCACTAAGTCTCCGGAGCAGAGACGCCACGCCGGAGCCAGAAGAGAACAATTATGAATCTTTTAGCTACCGTAATAAGGATGCGTTGCGGTTGACGTTTAGCCATCGACCAAAACAAGGTAACCACGGCTTTTGCCTCGGAAGAGAAGAGATAGGAGCACATGCGATATTTTCCTACCAAACCTACAAACGGACTACCACATCAGCGCGCGGCATTTCTTTTTGACATTTTGACAACCGGAATCGACTAATCCTATATGACCGATCCAGCAACGGGACCACCGTGTTCTATGACGGGAAAGGAGGAGAGAAACGCCGCAACTTTACGTGGATCCTTGGTGACCCGACTGCTAATCAATTCAAGCAAATCGTCGTTCGTCTCCATCCACATCTCCAATTCGTAATCGTCGCTTCCAAGGCCTGAACGGGTCATCATCCGGCCCAATATATCTCAAAGGTTGAACAGTTTCGCAACGAGTTGACGGCGTCGACTGAACTGTTTTTCGGCGGCTTGGGGTTACAAAGTCGAACTCCGACGGCGCCTGTGAGTGGGGCACAAACTCCACCCCAAGACCCCATTCTCATCAAAAGAGGGTTCCTCGGCGCCGGCGGCTTCGGAACTGTAACTCATCGCTGGGACGTGAGCACAGGACTTGAATGTGCATGTAAAAAGCCTCATGGTCCACTCGATCCACTAGTTCAGGAGTATTGGAAGAAGGAGATCAAAATTATGGGCCAAATTAAGCATGTAAGCGCCTAAATGCTGCCTACGAGCAACGCCAGTTTTAACGCTGTATTAGGAGAATATTGTGAAGTTTCATCCGGAGATCAAGGTCGGCTTCCGTGTTTGTTTCTGGACTATCTTCCACTCGGGAACCTTGGACAACAGCATCGGAAGCAGCCTTTTTCGTACAAGGAGACGTTGATAATCCTCCGCCAATGACTATCAGCTTTGAAATATCTCCACGAACAAAATCCTCCAATCGCGTATCGCGATCTAAAGTTGGAAAATGTCCTTGTCCGCGAACGCTGCCCACTTCATGCCCAGCTTGCGGACTTCGGTTTAGTAAAGGAGGGTTCCCTGAGGACTGGTAAAATCGGTACAGAAACCTATTTTCCCCCCGAATACTTCAAGATTTTTAAGAGGGGAAAATATAGTGTGAAAATTGATATTTGGTCACTTGGTCTGGTTGCCCTCGATCTCAGGCACAGCCTGCCGGAAGCGGATGTCCGAGGAATACCTTGGTGTGAAAAAAATCATTGATCGAGCCAACCAATACAAAAATGAAGGTCTAATGGAGTTCTTAACAATCCATATGTTGGTCCTGAAACCAGAAGATCGATCTTCAGCAGACGTCTGTTTGAAAGCCGTCGAACATCTTAGTGCTCCCTCTCGAGACGGTAGTGTCACCCCTACTCAAGCTTCGCTCGCCGGAAAAGCCCCATTAACATCAGAAAATGTAAGTATCACTAGGTACTAACTTAGAAGCAATCAAGCAATCAAGAGCTAAAGGGTTTTATTTTTTTCTTCCATAGGCTGTATCAGACTTGTCTCCCAGTGAGCTGAACGCATACATTGCGGCCAACGCTCCTCTTGAAGAATCGCGAAAGAGACCAGCCCAGGAACGGTCATCATCAGGTAACCAGGCAGACCAAGCGTCTTGCTCGGACAGACGGTTCCGACAGTCCCGGCCGGCATACGCAATATAATTCTGTATTCCCGCCTTTTCCTCCCGGCTGGCAGCAGGATTCGAAGTACGTTGGATCTGACGTTGCTGCGATGGTATGGGGAGATCCGTCCGGCTAGAACAGTGACAGCGATGCCCCCTCGACGATCACGAATGCTGCCGGGAACCGAAGCATTCCGTCAAATGTGGATGATCACCTCGATGATCCTGTGCGGGCTAGTGAACGAGCACTCTCAAATAGCGAAGAGGAACTCCTGCGCCTGGTGCAAGCGGATTTCCAATGAAAGTACCCGAAGTTTTGGATTTTTGGATTTTGATTTTTGCCCCTGTTGTATTTCATTTTGTTGAAGGAGGACTAATATTTCCACTAAGTCTTACTACTCTTTTGAATGTCCCGACGGGAAGGAAGGGATCTGGATATCTTTTTGGGATCTCGAGAATGAGCATCTAGTTAACATATTCTTTTTCGGTTTAATTATTTAATTGCGCCACACCTTGATTGCGGACAGGCATGCGCCAAGGCTAATTGAACTCTCAACGGCGGGCAGGCTCAGCCCATATGAAGAGCGAATTCTGGCAGACTTAGATGACTCCCTAGGGAATTTTTCATTTACCATAGCTGGTATTTATTCCAGAGTCGGAATGGTAAATAATTGAACGTTATGAATATAAACACATCATAATGTAGGTGATCAATATTGCCGCAGCTATAGCAACGAACTTTTACGTTGGAAAACTATTAATGAATTTAAATTTTATAAAATGCCCAAATAGACCCAATTTTACATTGAAATTTGTTCTCTTGTCTTGCCGCTTGCTGGCTCGTGGGCGACGCGCTCCACTGCACTCCCAAAGGGGAAATGCCCCCGCCAACCCCCCCTCAGGCGCGGCTCCGTCCACAGCATAGCTTTCCATCCAACATTCTTCCTCCCTCCAACAATCCTCAACAACTCTCAATGATTACAGTGTGTGTTTGGGCACTTCTAAATGTATCCTGCTGCATCTAATCTTACACTTTGATAATTTTGACGCGTTGCTACTCTCATCGCCAAAAACTAGTTCTCTCGCCATCCATCCCCGATTGCCTTCCTCTCCTCTCCACCGGTCTTCTCCTCCTATCGCTCTCCGTTAGATACAGCTTCCTTGCCAACTATATTACCTTATACACTCAACTACTACGAGACTCAATCTACCTTTTTGCCTCTCACTACTCGATTCCAAACGACGTCCTCCACGACATTCCAACTATCTGCGGCCTTGCTTCCCCTGTGGAAGCGGAGGATTTATCCCCCTCGCTTTCTGCGCAAGGACTCTAGGGTCATATTAACGCCCTCTACGAGACTCTGTCTCTTTATCGCCACTCCTCTTCCTCACCGGTTATCCACCATGGCTGCGGCCACACCATCGCCCGCTGCGAATGATAGGAAAAGCTCCAGTACCCCCGCGTCCCCCGTGGAGTCAACTACCTCACAACCGACAGGTGCCAAACGGAAACGAACAGCAGAGCCCAAGTTCTATGCGGTGAAGTTTGGATTTCAGCCTGGCGTTTACCATACGTGGAATGACTGTTTAACGCAGGTGACAGGTTTTAAGGGTGCTGTTTGTAGGTTTCCATTCTTCTATCACGAACGCCCTCACTTATCGTATAAAACAGGCGCCCAGGAAAGAAAAGTGAAAATCTTGTCTATAATTCTGCTATCATGTTATTCACTCTACAGCGGCGCTCGTTAGCTTACCATTTCCCTCCTTTTAGTCCAATCGTTTCCTACCCTCGATGAAGCGAATGCCTTCCTAACAGGAACCCAAACCGCTACGGCGCCTGGAAGCACCTCTACCGGCTCAAAATTTTACGGTGTACAACGGGGGCGAAAACCGGGTGTATATACTGACTGGGCAGTGACACAGGATCAGGTGCGAGGATTTCGGGGACCGAAATATCGCAAGTTCGCTACTTGGGCTGAGGCAGACGCTTTCGTTCGACAAGGCCAACAGACGCCGGTAGTGATGCCATTGGCGGGGGATGCAGAGCTTAGCGCAGATCCTTCCTGGAAGATGAACCTACCTGGTGCTCCTGGCCTTACCTCGGAACGTCCGACCGACGCAGATGGCAACGAGTACCCACCTGGGCTGGGACCCTTGCCCCCGGGTGCAGTTGACGGATTTGACCCAAACATTGTTCTTGATCCTACAACCGGAAAATTGAAATATAGATCTCCACATGAAAAGGTACCGACGAAGCAGCAACCAGGCCGTCCCGGCCCTTTGAAAATATATACAGACGGAAGTTCTTTGAGGAACGGCGCTATGGGGGCCAAGGCGGGTATTGGAGTATATTTCGGTCCTGGGGACGAGAGGTATTTTAGTCCCTACCTTTACTTTATTTTTCAACTGTCGTAAAAGCACGTTATTTGATGAGCCACCTCCCCTTTGCTAACATCTCATCCTCCCCTCCCTTGCCAGCAGAAACGTGTCCGAGCCACTGAAAGGTAGCCGACAAACAAACCAACGGGCAGAATTGACAGCAATCATACGCGCACTTGACATCGCGCCACGACATCGCGATGTAACCATTTTCACGGACAGCAAGTATGCCATCAACTGCGTAACGGTATGGTTTGTAAACTGGCAGCGCAACAAATGGATGACGGCGCAGGACAAACCGGTCGAGAACAAGGACCTAATCCAATCCATCCTGATGAAAATCGAAGAGCGGACGGTGATGAATGTCAAGACGTTGTTTGAGTGGGTTCGGGGGCATAGTCGCGATCCAGGCAATGAGGCAGCCGACCGGCTGGCAGTGAATGGAGCAAAGAATGCCCCGCTGGCATCGAATAACATGACGACTCCCGAACCTGGAGATGACGATGGCGGGATAAGCGGTGGTGATGATTATGATGATGCCATCGATGAGGGCGAGCAGCGGACTGGGTTTGGGATCGGGGAATGCTGAAGCGACATTACTAGAAGATGAATGTCAAGGCACTTCTGTAGCCGGTTGTGTACTCCTTATTTTTCATTTCTCTCCTTCTCTGTTCCTTTAATGTTGTGTGTCGTTGTATGGGACTTTTATCTACTTTTCATATTACCCTGTCTAGTTGTGTCCAGGGAGTTTCGTTTCTTCCTCCAAAGAAGGAATATTGTATATTTCCCTTGGCACGACTTCTTTGCACTTGGTTTCTCCTTTTACCATTTTATAGTCTCCGATTCTCCATTCATATTCTGCGACCGAACAATCAATATGTTTCATGTATTTACTTCCCTTGCTATTGCTGTTATAGCTAGCTACACATCCATCTAAAGTGTGTAGCTAATTAGCGATGACATGATCTATCTCATTAACGGTAGTTATGGAGAGTATTCCTGTAAACCAATATTTCACATGTAGCAATGATGCTGCTCTTTTTTTTCTTTTTTTTCTTTCTTTTTTTTTTTTTTTTTTTTTTTTTTGCTGCTCCCCTCAGCGAGCGGATTAAGATTCATATAAAATGTCATCTGTCATCTAGTCAACTGACTAACTGCAATCACCACCAGTTTACACTGGAGGAAGAGGGGCTGGAATACACACAAAGGAGAGCTAGCCTTGATTGACACTAACCTCCAGTTAACCGACCCTTCCAGTTCCAAGAAACTCCATCTTTTCGACCGAACAAAATTATCATGAGACATTCCCACGACTGGTGAAGTAGCTGAGCTGAGGTATGGCGTCATGAGTGAGGGGGTGCATGCATAGGTATCAACGCTAAAACCTCCTCATCCCTCCAGTAGTGAACAGTCACACTCTTTGCTGACACCTCCACCGGGGGGTTTCCGCTATTCTCCACCGACCAGTTCTACATAGTAAACAAATCTTTGAACTAAGAGAGCACAGCTGCGATGTTAGTGATCGATCTAATGGTGATGAGCAGGGGGGGTATTTCTAAATTGGCCCACCTACTAGAAAATCGCTCACTGCCTGCGAAATCTTCCCAATTCAAACGTTAATAGCTAAATAAACGGAGTCCGCGTCTTTGCTCTTAGGTTCCCTATAAATGACATTGATGGGAACGAGAAATCCAACGTACTCCTCTCCATCTTCTTCTTTTTTCTGTCATCATTTTCTACGGAACGCGTTTCCTTTCGGGTGGCTACTTGTTGTGACTACATTTTTATCCTGGTTCAATTTTTCACCGACTCTGTTACAATATTTATTTCTTCCCTTGATCCAGCCTTGCTTGGCTATTAAGTTACGTTATTTGACTACGTTACTAGGCTAGGTAGCGTCTAAAGACGTCAATAGCTCTGAACGAAGGCGCAAGACTCTTTCACATCTATACCGGCGATTGATATCCGTTTTTTCTCACAATTTGTTTTTTATTTTTATTTTTTATCCCTAGCTCCTTTAAACGACACGCCATATATAGAGAAATACCCTGAAGCCTTGCGAACGACGTCTTGATAGAAATCCGAAAACAGCCATTCCTAGACTTTCTCAGCTCTATCTTTATTTTCTAGTATTGCACCTGCTAGGGTGAAGAAGGAATATCCACCAATTCCAATGACAAGAAGATCCCTCCTTGTTATCCTGGGCCTGATGATGATTGTCCCGCCGAAATAACACAAACTACAACCTGCTCCGTTGTCTGTCACTTTCAATCGTTCTAGTGTATAAAGAGCTCTTACCTCTCATCTACTGCTATAAAGGGTACTACTACCTTTCCGACCACCGGAGGTCCTTTTTTAGGGTCTGGTTGCTAGTCTCGGTCCCGCCAAAAAAGTTTCTCCACCGGCCCCGATTCCGCCAAGACAAATCTTCACACGGAACCCGAAAACAACCTCCGCTGTCCGCCCTTTTGATTGGCCGAACCTCTCCTCGTTCCCCACAAGCCGAACTCAATCGGCGCTGTGCTGTGTTCGGCATGCCGACTCTTGCTTTGACCGACTTCAACATCGTATGTGCAACGCTGGGCGGCTTCATCAGCCTATTCGGGCTGGTGTCGTATCTTTTTAAGGAGAAATTCTATTTGTCGGAAGCTTGTGAGTTTCCAACTGTTTACTAGATAACTATATGTTTTCTTTTTAATTTATTCCTCATTTTTCGTTTTTGAGATTTTAAGAAGCTTTGATTATCTAGGGTAATAATAGCTCCCGCCGTGCCTTACATCGTATTCACGTACGAACTGGTCATCCGCGCAGACCCATCTTACTAACTCTCACACATACCAACCCATGAAAACAACTGATTAGCTAATTAATTGAATAAACCCTCCAGTAATTTCGCTGACCGCTGGCATTCTCTTTTCCCCTAACTTCGCCAATTTCCTCCGCCCGCTTGACTATGCCCAAGGCTCCCCCGCTGCCGTGGAGGATATAACACTCTACTTCTCCCGCCTCGTTCTAGGCGTCCAACTCGTTCTCGCAGGCGTACAACTACCCAGCCGTTACCTATCCAAAGAATGGAAGAGTCTCTCACTCCTGCTCGGCCCCGGCATGCTGGCCATGTGGCTCTGCAGTAGCCTAGTGATCTTCATGTTGGTACCCAACTTACCGTTCCTACATGCCCTGGCGATTGCGGCCTGTATTACACCCACGGACCCAGTACTGTCGAATTCTATTGTCAAGGGGAAGTTTGCGGACAGGAATGTGCCGCGTGGCTTACAGAGGATCATTATTGCGGAATCCGGGGCGAATGACGGGCTTGGGTATCCGTTTTTGTTTTTTGCGATTTACCTGATTCAGTTTGTTGGGGTAGGTGAAGGCGAGGGCACAGGACAATTTGAAGGGGGCGCCTGGAGTGCAATTGCGCTCTGGTTTGGAGAAACGTGGGGGTATACTATTCTGCTGAGTGTTGTGTACGGGGCGGTAGTGGGATGGTTGGCAAAAGAGCTATTGCATTGGGCGGAGGAGAAGAAGTTTATTGATCGAGAGAGCTTTTTGGTATTTGCGATTGCTTTGGCTGTCGGTTTGCCCTTATTTTCTCTTTCTCTTTTATCTTTTCTTTCCCCATTCTTGTATACCCCTGGATTGGGCTTCTTCCTTAATTTCAACCTCTCCTTTGTTATACTGGCAGGTCTTGCTAATGAAACTACCTAGCTTTTCATCATCGGGACATGCGGAATGATAGGCAGTGATGACGTTCTCGCCTGCTTTATTGCCGGCAACGTATTCACCATTGAGTCAGCGGCCATCCCCTGAGAGGTGATAATACAATAGGATCCCTTCTTGCTAACCTACCCACCTAGCGACTGGTTCCGCCTAGAAACGCTCGACGATTCCCTCCAACCCACCATCGACATGCTTCTCAACCTCTTTGTCTTCATGTGGTTCGGCGCTGTGTGCCCCTGGGGGAAATTCTTACAAAACGACGTCATCTCTATACATCGACTCATCTTCCTCGGTATCCTCATCTTACTCTTTCGTCGCATTCCCATAATCTTCGCAATGCACAGATACATCCGGCAGATAGAACACTTTCGGCAAGCCGCGTTCGTGGGTTTTTTCGGACCCATTGGCGTCAGTGGCATTTTCTATTTGTATATCAGTCGTGAGTATCTCAGTCGTTGGATTGTGCCTGATGGTAGTGGGAGGGTGAGAGAGGATGCAATTGCGCTGTCGGAAGAGATTGAAGTAATTGTGTGGTTTTTAGTGGTTTGTAGTATTGTATGTTGCTCACCATGGATCTATCCAATCTCAGATCTACGCACCCTATGGTTTTATGCAAGCTAATAGCTATCTTCTCAGATGGTGCACGGCCTGTCAATACCTCTCGCGAAACTCTGCATTCACCTACACCGCACCCTCTCCAGAGCTCTAAGCTACAGCTCAAACGTCGACAGCGATAACAACTACTCTTCCCGCCTATCGCGCATGTTTCTGCCATCATTAACCAGGCCTACTTCCATGCACAGCTCGAACCGCCACGAACCGCCTAGACCAGCTGTTTATTTGGGGACAGGACGGTCTATTATTCCCGAGGGGGACGCGGAGGAGGCAGAGGAAACAGAGAGCTTATTGGGCATCAAGGCGACGGCAGAGACGGGGAATGATACCACGATGGAACCAGCGGGGCGGGCGCAGGTGGAAGAAAATGGACGAGACACAACGGAAGACTGGCCGCACACTAAACCGGTATTAACGTCTCATCCTGTATCCACGCCTAGCTGTATCGTTAATGACAGCAACACCGGCGATAAATCCGGTAGTAGTCTGGGAGAAAGCAGAAGCGGTGGTAACAGCTACTCGAAGCGGGACATTGGCAATGGGAGTCGCATGCAGAGTTATGGGGCCACTTGTCCTGGCTGAAGCCCAGGAGTGGGCAAGGGGCCGGAGTTGAAAACTTGAACCTGGGCTAGCATCTTCGTTTTGCGGAAAGTAGGTTCAAAACTCTCAAGTCATATGGATTCAAATTAAATCTGGTCAGCACGGGGGGGGGGCCTTGTCAGAGCTTTCAGGAGAAAGGTGTTCTTGCTTCTATACCCTATACCATTCATTCTTGGATTTGTGAAGGCCCGGGCTTCTTCATTCATCCGGGAAGTCCAATCCAGATTGTCTTGGCCTCTACTTTAACTGAGAATGGCAGCATACAGTTCGGTCCCTTTTATTTTCGCTTTACTAGACCTTTATTGTGCCTATACCTATGAGACGACCAGATACAAAAGGTGCATAATAATGACTTAAAGAACGGAGTTAATGGAGAATTATTAGCAATACCGTACTTGATGCGAATATAGTAATGTACAATATGTAGGATATGAAACTCCAGAACAAGGAGACCACTAAGTAGTGTTTCAAGGAGGAATATCCAAGATACCTATTTAAACTCTCGTCAATGTGGCCGTATACACAACCAATCAATGCTTAACCCTCTAGGGGGTCAGACTAAATTAAATAAATACACTACAGAATAAGAATGTACTTAATGACTAATTGGATCCATTGATAGCCTGCCAAGTTCTCGTAAATAATGAATCAAAAAAAGGGAATCTCATGGCCTTACACATGTCTAGCTGCTGGTAAAATGTAAAGATACATCTCTTTAGTATTCTGAGGGAGGAATCATGCCGTACTACTGTGTCATAATATATGAGTCAGTGTGTGAATTGGCTTGATATAGACCCTGGAACATCATTTAACCTCCGTGCACATGGCTTTCAGAGCCTGTTGTTGAACAGAGACAGACTAATGTCTGTTCTAGTTGGTTTAATCTGATTGAACAACCTTTGCATCTCAGAGCAACGGATGGTCTAGTATGAGAGACAAGACCAGTGACTTGACATATATCCTCATCAAATCATTCTACATTGTCATGCGTGTATATAGACTTGTCAAGCATGGCTCTGTCATCTAAGAATAGGGTTTACCATCATGAAGCGGAGGGAGGGAGGTCAGTACTTTCTATTTTGTTTTCAGTAATCAATGATGATTATGGATAGCCGAAATATATTCTTGATAGACAAGCGAAAGGAAACATATTATTAAAACCCGCTCAATGCGTAGTAGGAAATTTGTAGCATATTCACCTAGAGTCCATAAGAACCCAATCACGTCTGTGCTCCAGGCCAACGCTACATAGGATATTAGGGACACATATATATCATCACAAACTAGAAAGCAAAAATTATAAGCCCCGAATTTAGACATGAAATAAACAAACTAGCGTGATCGACGAGACACATCCTCTTCACCTGGTGTAGACCTGGATGTATGCCTCTGCGACCGCCTTGTTGACTGGTGCTGCACATTTGCCTGCTGGACCTGGCACCCTTCAAAATCATTTTGTGATCTATATTCATACTGATGCATGCTTCCCGGTGGGGCGGGGGGGTAGTGTCGCGAAGGCTCAGTCATGGCGTTGCTTGAGGTTTGCGAGTATCCTGCTGATTGTTGTTGCCCAGTCGTCTGCTGATACCATTCGAAATCATCCTGTGGTCCAAATCCATAGTGATGAATGCTTGCGGGGACATAAGGTGGAGAAGGGCTAGTCGTGGCGTTGTTCAAGAAGGGTTGCAATGGCCTCGTCGGATAATACGGCTCGTTTGTCTGCTGGTACGCTTCCGGATTATTTTGCGACCCATATTCATTCTGAAGGATGCTCTGGGGGAGACTAGGGTGGGGAGGTATATCCCAGTCAGATGGATCTTGTCGGCCCAATTGGGCGGGGGAAGATACAACACAAGCTGGATCCTGCACTCGGAGCTGTTCTTCGTACGGACGAGCATGAAGGGTTGCTGGGTGACGTTTGTGGGGCGTTATAGTGCTTGTCGGTGATGTCAACGACGATCTCAGCACCCGAGAATGCTTTTTACGTATCGGAGATGCAGGCTATCAAGTGTGATTTTTGTTCCTTTTTCAGTTCCTGATCCGCTAGGTATTTTAGGGAAACCGTAAAGAACCACTTACGCTATGTGGTGTTGTAAGCTGCTTCCCGACACCACGGAAAATTGCTGTTGTTTTGCTTCCAGCGGCATAAGAAGTGGCGGTCGGGGTTTGGTGACCAGTTCGGGAGGGAGCAAGTAGCTGTTTTGCTTCATCAAGACATCGACTTGCTGAATACCGTTTCGCTGGATCCTTGACTATCATGGCGGTAGACAAGAATTCAGCTATCGCATCTGGCGATGAGTTGACTTTGTCGATGATTTTATTACCCCAGTCGGGGTCTCGGGCTCCGCCAGAAGGAAGGCCGTGAGTCAATTCTAGAATGACAACCCCAAGCGACCAAATATCAACTGCGTGTGTATACAGTTCCCGGTATTTCCAATAGCGTGAGCGTTCAGCGATCTCAGGGGGGAAGTAACGCTGTGTGCCACATTTTGTCCGCAGGGAACCCTCTTTTGCAAGGCCAAAATCTGCAAGTTTGATGTGAAGAGGGTCACGATGCAAAACAAGAATATTTTGTGGTTTGTATCTCGATGCGCAATGGGCGGGCTCAGTCCATGTAAATATTCCAGAGCCGATAGGCTTTAGTAGAGGACCATTAGGACCTCATCGTCTGTGATATCTCCAATCTGATTGAGGTTCCCAAATTTCATATATTCTAGATATAATTGTGGAACAGGTTCTTTTACCCAATGGAGGAGCCGAACAATGTGATCCTAATGAAGTTTTAGTCGGAGAATATTCGTGAATATCCATCTTATCTACCTACATGTGAAACGCTTTTCAGCAGGTCAATTTCGTTCCCCCATTCCTCTATAAGCTGATCGTGTTCGCTTTGGGCCATGTGCTTCGTTTGGGCCGCTAAGGGCGTCTTTTGTGCATAGGTAACGCCGCAACTCACATCCCAGAGACAAGTGACAACACCAAAGGCGCCCCTGCCGAGTTCTGATAACGCCAGGAGGAGAGGCTCTTGCCGGGGGGAATGCGACTGGGTGTAGTGGGCAGTTATGAGTCTGCTCTCTAGATTTAGACTATCGAGGGCTGATTCCTCCAACTTTTCCAAATCGCTGCGAAATTGGCGGATCTTGGCTGTGTATTCCTCTTCATTTGTACGCTTGGCACATACAATTCGAAATGAGAGATCTTTACCCAGCTGGATAACAATGTCGTGCATTTCTTCGTCGGGGACGGGATGCCCAGCAACGATCCAAGAGAATTTCTTGCGGTTCTCTGCACCTTTCCCATTGTAGCTAACAATTGTTCCGTTGGTGGACGTATCATGAAGAATAAGTTGGTCATACTCGTTGAATGTCAAAAAACAATGGGATCCACTGACGTCTGGCGATGTTTGTGAGGCTAGAACAATGTCGCATGTATGCGATTCTCTCCCCAGAACAAATCCTTGATAGTTTTTCGGTCCTTTACTGAATGTCAACTTAAGCATTTCACTGCCAACAAAATCTGGAAAGAAGTCTGTGCTGCTCTCTTCTCGTGGAGGCATTCTGTCTCTAGGTTGCCGTCGCTCCGGCTTACGCTTGGTAGCTTTTGGTTGCTCAAGGCACCTTGAACGATTCTCGTGAGAAAATCAACCTAAATAGACTGCTTTCTTCACACACAACACAATAGTGACTATATTTGGAAAAATGAAGTATTTTGATTATAAAATTCTTATCTTCAATATAAATGTGTGTTGAGTCCTTGAGTTTGTCCTCTCTAACATTTTTTCTAACCATATTCAGCTAGTTGGATCGGGCCCTGGCTTGGCGGGGCGGGCCCTCCACTTCCTAGTACGGACTAGCGCCCGGCACACTACCCACCACCGCCGATCATACATACCTAGCTGTCATACGTCATACGCTGTACAGAGTACATACCATACATCATGTTGTACTCCGTATGGTTGTACCGAGGTACAGGTACCTACTGCATACAGCGTTATAAGGCTATTAGCCTAGGTAGCGATCTGGTGGGCAGTAATAATAGTACAGTTACGGAGTTACTCCGTATAGTTGATACAGATCGATACAGATGTCATGGTTACCTTGTTTCACCATGAGTAAAAGTAACATTGATATAACAACCCTGGTTTCGTGGCTTTGGCCGTTGGTTGTTGTGGTAGTTGGGCTCGCCGCTGACGAGACAGCAGAGCAGCCCTGGCCCAAGTCGCGCTTTGCTTCTCGACATCTATCTCACCAATTCCATCATTTTTGGCCTGGTGGTTTCGTCTCCGCGTCAGCTTCCAGTTCTTGCAATGGCGTCTCCTGAACCGAATCTCCCCAAACTGTTTGCACGCGACATTATTTCCTATACCGATTCGCAGCTTGATCAATATCTCAAAGACAACAGCAGGTTGGTGCTTTTTTCCTGGCTTGGAGGTCCTCGCTAATGCCAGGTCTTAGGATTGTCAAGGTTGAAGACCCCGAGAATCTCACTGAAGAATTTATTCAATGTCTACGGTAATCGTCGTCTCTTTCTTCTCTATAAATATCCAGCCGTCTCCTATCCTAATATCCATTTTGCTAGGGATTATGCACGTCGCTCAAGCAAAGATAATCAGTCCCAACCAGTCGACCTTGATCAAGTGACGGCCCGACTTTTGCAAAACCTCACCGGTAAAAATGTGCGTCATGTAGCTGGCAGGGATCGCGATGATGACTTCTACGGCTTGGATGGGTATGATCGCGAACCTACTCCAGTGTATGACCCAGACAAAGCATACCAGAGAAGTCTGCGGGAACAAACTGGCGCATACCACGCACTTATCAAGGCTGGAGGTCGACCTTCGCACCCACTTAGCCTTCTTGTGGATATCGTTAAGGATCCAGGAGAGTACAGTGAAATTTTTTCGTTCTGGCAACTTCCCCATCAGCGTGATGACTGGAGAGTATTCGTGGAACAATTATCAAGGTGGAAAGACTTCCTGAGAGTCCAGAAATTTGCCCGTGGGGAAAGCGTTCATGACAACTGGCGGCGATTCTGGGACGATTCACGAGACAATTTAAATATTTTAGGTGATTTTGGGACAACTGTTGATGAACACGAGGCACACTGGGAGAGTCACTTCGACTACCTAAAAGAATGCTACGAAGACGATGAGGTAATAATAACCGGCAATTGCAATTTAAGATGGGATGCCTATGTTGGCCAAGATACCCCCGGTACGGATGGACGATTCTCCACGTATGCCAATGCGATCAAAAAGCGCCTCACAACACATGGCTTCGCTCCAAAAATTGAACTAGATGAAGACCTAACTCGCCAGGACAAATTAACAACATGGGCTGAGTATTTGGCCTTGGAGTACTGGTGCTATGACGAGCTTACACTTTCGAAGGCGCAACAACAATTCATTGATGACGCGTGGAAAAAGCTCGTTGAGTCTAAGGTATTAAGCCCTACTGATACGCAGGAGTCTTTATGCAGCGCTGAATCAGCATTTGAGAGATGGAATAGGTTGGGACAAGCTGAGAAGGCTGTGGAATCTGCGAAACATGCTGTGATGCGCGCCCAAAAAGCCGCCTCAGTTCAACGATATCCTCATAAAGTTTCAGCAGAGGAACCCACATCAGATCTATTGAAAGCTCAACTACAGCTAAATGCCGCAGAGAAGGAGTACACCTATGTCAAAACACGAAATGATCACATCGTTGAATTCGTTCGGAACACGAGGGATCTTCGGATCAAGAAGAGAGACGAAGAACACCAGAGGAAACTAGTACAATGGATACTGCGGCAGTTCCCCTTGATCCAACGCGAGCTAGAGCAGTCCAAGACAACCGCCGACATCGCAGAGCCCAGCCATCACAATAATATGCACGGCGACAACCGAGGTGACAGAGCTACTGCGAAACAAAACCCCGCGGGGAAACGCAGCGATACTGGCGAAGACACTTCGACATCGGACCAAATCCGGAGAGCCTCAGCCTCCCAAACAGGTAATAAACGCAAGCGCAACCATGACATGACTGAGGAAGCAGCACGTCCCTCGAAGCGCGCAGAGCGTAGTGGTCGGAATCAGCAGCTTTCTGGTTCTGCGCGTATAGATTCAGGGACCGCCAAGAATGTTGATGGCGTGAAGGCCATCACACCAAACAAAGCTGGGCACCCGTCTCGACGAGGTATTTCGGTGTCTAGCCCAAAGATGTCTTCTCTGGACCATAGGAATTCTTCTACTGTACCCAACCCTCCCCTTCGCCGCAGCGCCAGAATTGCGCAAAGAGAGCAGCGTTTAAATGCACCGATTAGCTCATCATCCGATATTGTGAAACCTTATCCAGGAACCCGAAAGTCAGGCCAGGCACCAACAGATCCTAAAAAGACGAAAACACGAGTGCTGTCGAAGCGCGGCAACTCGAAGCCTCAACGAACGTCAGGGAAAAAAGGGCAGTATTCTCGTTCTTGAGCGGACCCGAGGAGAAAGGCAATTTTTTCTTCTTTTTTCTTCTTTTGTTTCTTTTTTTCGTGAATTCGCGCTTAGAATTACCATCTGCATCAAAGCTCATGTCCTTACCTACTCTATGTCTTCTGCCAGCCAACTTCTAATGCACTTTCGGGTATGGTATCTGTAGGCTACTGGGGCAAAAGAGCTCAATCACCACCAGCGCCTGCTGGTAGAAGGGCCGACCAACCGCGGGACCCCCAACACCCCCCCTCGGACCAGCTACCACAGAGTACAATACTTCCCCTCAGTGGCTCCCTTCAGTGGCCTCCCCACAATGGCTCCTTTTTAATAATGGACTGGACCACTCAGTCCTAGGGCTCACGGGACTTCTAGGGCACACTCCTGGGATGTCTCTTGGCACTGTTAAAATGTCCAAGGGTATTTGTTAGGAATTTTTAAGTCCATTCTGGGATCGAACCCATGCATGTTGACCACAGCGGGGCTCACGCTTAACAGTCTCATAACCTGTAGGCTACTGGGGCAAAAGAGCTCAATCACCACCAGCGCCTGCTGGTAGAAGGGCCGACCAACCGCGGGACCCCCAACAGTATCAACATAGGATTACTAATATTTCTGATTCTACGGAAGATCTTTTTTGGTAAGGCCTGGACTGGCGCAAATTAGTACGCCATCGTGCGGGCTAATGGAGGGAGATAAGGCCCTAAAAATGACCATTAATACTTTCCTTTCTTACACCACAACTTCTCGTCCCTTGTCCTCTCCATCTAGCCGCTCACAGATTGTTTTATTTTCTTACAGCTCGCCATTTCAAAATAAAAGGGGCCCCGGCTGCTTAACCCCCTTTTGAGTCGGACACTCCATTTACATCTCCTCGGGAGATTTATCAGAACATGAAGTTGCTCTGATAGATAACCTTGACGCGTTTTAATCTGGTTGAGTAGTCGGCATCCTTTACCCCCGGGCTACTACTCTCCGACTTCTACATAGGTTAATCTCGAGTTCCGGTCGAACGCTGTTGAGGAGGACTACTTGCGGAATATATACAACAGACAATAAAAGAGATACAATAAAAATCTGCTGGCAGATTTTTAATTAGGGGAATGAGATGATGAATATGCATACGTGTGTACGTTTAAAAATGTTTGTGAACGCCAGAGAACCATCTGGCGGAGTTTATATTTGGGAATATGATTTAGGAGGAGGTAGGGAGTGAGGCAATTTATTGTATTTTCTTCCGTATACGCCGAAAGAGAAGCAGAGTAGAATTGTCAATCTTGGAATGAAATAGCAATTTCCGGCACCAAAAGACATGCTTTGGAAGCATTTGTCTGCTTGGCTTGGTATGGTATCACATCGACAATAATGTTGATGATGTTTAACTGCAAAAGTCAATCAACGTCACATGATTTTTTGCCCCCCCCCAGGGGTTCCCGGGTGCTAATTCTCACTTGATCTTAGAGTTAACAGGGAGGGGAGGAGGGCACTTCAAGTTAGATCAAATACTATATTGAATGGGGTCTAAAGTGCCTACAGAACAGTGAGAATTATTGTTGTCAAGCTTAACTGGCCAGGTCTCATCCCTCTAGACACTCTAGGCACTCACTTCCAGAGAATTGAAATTTAAAAATCATTCAATCAGAACTCTGAGCCTAGCAAGGATCTAGATGAGATGAGACCTAGACACTCTTAATATCTCTGACTGTATACATCTATAATAGAAGAAGAAGAATAATAATAATCATAACGGCCAGTCTAAGGAGGCAACAATTAGCATATTTTTCTGCCACTCTAGTCAATAATTATTGACTGCTTAGTTATTGGCTGAAAGCCGCGAATACAACTTGCCTATTGGCCATATCAAGGCGGTACGTTAACTAAGGCACAACGCTAGTTAATTGTTGCCTCGCTCCTCACTCCCCCAGACAAGAGGAAGCCGGTGCGTATGGAGTACTCCGTACAGCATCACATCACCGAATGCGATCAATAATATTAAATTAAATATTAAATGAAGATGCTCAGCCTGCATTCAACCTACGGCCGAACTGGCTGAAATATTATAACTGATTCTCCTTGTCCTGTCAGATGAGATTGTAACTACCCCCCCCACCAATATTCGATATTCGTATATTAAATTGATACTCCTACTCACTTAATACTTATTAATTTGAGTTGAAATTGCAACTGGCTTCTGCGTGTTTTCTTATGATATGCTCGCTGTAAGTTATATGATATTCTCATTTACAAGAATCTTATTTTACCGCTATATACCACTTTTAAACTGTCTCGCTATCCGGTCCGGCCGGGAAGCGGTTAAAGACATTCATTCTTATTTTAAGTTAACGGTCGAAAGCCATGCCGGTCACTGGGTACGTCCATACTATACACCACATTATGAAATCCCCCCTGGATCCTCCTGTCAATCAGTGTCCTAACCCCTGCATTGTGCAGCCTATATTTCATCCCCGCGAGCCAAAACTCGCCAACCGCAACAGAAACCGTGATTGAGCGGCTTCGATCCGCATACAATCCAACCCTGTGCGGGCGCTGGGCCCTAGAGCACAAATTGCTACGAGATACACCGTCATGTCTACCACCAAGCGATTATGCTCCTTTACCGCCGCTGCAACCGCGCTTCATGCAGTTTCTTTCCCTTAGTCACCGCCAACCATACGGTTTCATATATATATCTGACCGGCCCAATCCGGACCCGTGGGACTCAAGATCTTTGGGTGCAACGCATGTAGGCCGTGTGCAGCCACAGCCGCAGCCGCAACAGCCGAAACAGCAGCAACAGCAACAACAACAGCAGCAGCAACAGCAGCAACAGCAGCAACAGCAGCAACAGCAGCAGCAACAAGAGCAGCAGCAACAACAGCAGCAACAACAGCAACAGCAACAACAGCAGCAACAACAAGAAAACCCTCCCCTGCACACACCCGACCCACCCTCCGCAGCCGGCAAAACGATGATGATCCTCGATTATCCCTCCTACATATCCTTCCACGCCATAACCCTTCGCGCCTGTGAACCCCTCTGGTGCCCGCGCCACACCATCACCGTACCCAATGGCAACCACTTCGAAATCGGCGACTTCCGCATCCGCATCGGCGACGTGCGCCAGACCGCCCCGCAAACCCGTATGCGCGGGACGATTGTCGAGATCGAATATCGTGGCCCCGCCGGCGCCGGCGATGTTGCCGCTTCTGCTGCTGCTGCTACTGGTGCCGATACCCACCCCATGACCGAGGGCGGTGAGATATGGCCGCCGTCTATCACTGATGGCAATATCGGTCTTGGCGGTGGTCCTGGTGACGAGGACGGTATCCTATACCCGCAACTCGAGACATTATCGTCCTCGCCCTCGTCCTCATCGGCGTTGGTAGAGGATATCCCGACGGACGAAGATTGGGAGGTGGGTGAGGTGCTTATCCGCGAGCTATGGAGTCGGTTTGCGGTCGAGGGGGCGCGGGAGGTGATTCGTGTGCCGCACTTGGGCAAAGAGGCGAGAGAGGCGAGGCGGTTGGGGAAATTGGGGGATAGAGCGGTGAATGCGAGGATTGCCGGGGCGGATTTGGCGAGGCAGTATATGGAGGTTTTCAGGTTTAATCGGTGAGAAAGGGGATGAGAAGGATAGAGTGACAAGGGTGTGGGATGGTTGTTTCTTTTGTTTTTTTTTTTTTTTTTTTGCTTTTCTCCCTTCCTTTTTGGTTATTGGCCGCATATCCCCATTTTGTTGGGCTTGGGAGCTAGGCGTTCGATGTGTCAGATTTTTATATATATACGATTGATTTTAACTACACTACATAAATGATATCGGGGTGTTTAAGAATGAAAAGCCCTATGGTCGGGCTGCGTTCCCAAAAAGTGGGATGGATGCCATTTACTCTAGGAGAGGTAGATAAGTCAACATAAAACTAAGATCAAGAGAAGCGAAAGTTTCATTGCCATTTGCTTTTTCTATTGTTAAATTTCATGAGGTTCATGAGGCCATTTCAAATTACCATGTAGCGGAAGTTTCAATTCATATAGAACGTTAAGGGGGGAAGCGGTGAGGTTACTAAACAAACTCAGCGGCAAATATATGGAAATGGGGTGAGGGGGCAAGAAAAGGATGTAAGCATCTTATAAACAGAACCCAAATGGATGAAGGCAAAACGCGATAATAATGACAGAAAATTGGGCGCAATCTTTTTTTTTTTTTTTTTTTTTTTTTTTTTTTTCTCTTGTCTTTTCCCTTCCTCCTTTTCTTCAATCTTTCACGATCCTATCTCATTCCGACTTCGAACATTTCCATTCTATCATTTCCCGGTGCGCCTTTCAATCAGGTACTTAAGTGTTCGAGGGTCCAATTGAAATGACATATTAAGAGGCGCCCTTAGTACAGCACTAATAAATTGACAGCATGCCGGAAAAAAAGGGATATAGATGCCATTCGAAAATCGTAGTTCGTTTCAACATTCGACAGCAAATGGTGGGCCGCATGGTAACAAACGTGAAATCAACAGCTGGTAGCTTAGGGTTTCAAGGGAACAGGTTTTTAACCAGCGCCTATTTCTGCATCATGAGCTGAACAAACTCGTTGTCTAAATTTTTGGTGAAGAGTCGGTCAGTCATTGAATTCATATATATATATATATACATCTTGCCCAGTTCCATGGAAATATGTTTAACTCACAGTCGATTCGTCCATCGCCATCCTGGTCCGCCTCACGGATCATCTCATCAACCTCGTCATCTGTCAATTTCTCACCGATCGAAGTCATAACATGACGTAACTCAGCGGCAGAAATAAACCCGTTGTTATCACGATCGAATACTTTGAACGCTTCCCGAATTTCTTCTTCGGAATCCGTGTCCTTCATTTTCCGTGCCATCATAGTCAAAAACTCTGTGGAAAAACGGTAGATGGTTAGATACGGAGTAACAGTATATCGCATAAAATGCACACGAGAAAGTAAAACTTGAGCGCCGTACCTGGGAAGTCAATGGTTCCATTGTTATCTGCATCAACCTCGTTGATCATGTCTTGCAGTTCTGATTCGGAAGGGTTCTGTCCCAAAGACCGCATTACGGTTCCCAACTCTTTGGTGGTGATTTGTCCTTATTCGTTTGGAAGCACAAATGCAGTAGTCAGCTCTGATCCAAAGTGGTAACCTATCTTTATCCTCCACATTTCCTAGGCTTCATACAACCGCGCAGACGTAAAAAAAAACTTACCATCGCCATCTTTATCCTATCAAATAGAAGTTGATGTTAGTCATGCCTAAGACGGGGGAGTAAGCCTACGGGATGAGGGGTAAGGTCCAATGACGACTTACGAAAAGGGAGAATGCCTCCTTGAACTCAGAAACTTGTTCTTCGGTCAATGAGTCGGCCTAGACGTGGTAATGGAATGTTAGCTTCTGATCAAGTTTTTTGCACCTGAAACATAGATATACAATGGGTCAGGATGCCACTCCCAGGATGAGGAGGGGCAGTTTCGAGGGGGGTAAACTGTGCAACCGCAACAGTGACAAGACGTACCATAGCGATGGATATGTTTTGAAATTAATTAATAAATCAACAGATGGGGGGGGGGAGTATAAGGTGAGATATCACTGGGTGTCAAAAAGAAGCAGACAATAGCTATGGCGGGGGACAGAGGTTGGAATGTGAGGAGGTTAATTAATAGTCACAGCCAGTGTTTGGACCTTGCAGATAACGTGACTTCCCCCGCTGCTCGCTTGGGATTGGCGCCAAGCCTCCAGCGCCAGGCAAGGCTCATTCGCGCAAAAGAGCCTCATTATTAGTTAACTACTGAAACCGCTTTCAAACTAGGCGCTAGTCCGCATCGGTGAAAAGCCCAAACTCCAGATTGTCCGGAGTTTATCAGATTCAACCCGCCAGTCCAGCTTCTCGATGGCCTCATACGGCGGCGCCTTTTCGTCTGTCTAGCTGCTTGCTTTATGCTCTTCTGCTCAGGCAGATTGTCTAACGCCCCTTTCTACATCATGATAAGATACCCCACAACGCCCTGCGCATGACGAACAGCAGCTACAGCTAAACTACTCCGTACCGTACCAGCCTCCGCACATCCCTCCCTACCGTCGGCTCTCAGCATCCGCCACGCCTCCGGTTTTCTCTCCAAATATGTGGCGAGACCGCACTAACCTGTAAGCTCCTTGTGGCATCCAGTGTGACCGACTTCTCTTCTGACAATTCCGCCCGGGCAGATATATCTCCTACCGTCAATCCTTTGTCCATCACCCCTCGAAAAAGCCGCGATACCTCGGGCCTTGGAATGACCATGCAGACACCTCGTCAATATCAGAAGAGCGGCGCGGACTCATATCAGGTAGTGGGCTGGAAGATGACGGGGATGCTGTCATCGAAATGGACCTCCTCCCACCACGCTGGGTCGACATCCAAGATGATGTAACAGAGCTCTTAGCAGGAATCGCGCAGAAGTCAGTGCGCCTGGATAAGCTCCACCAAAAGCACGTCTTGCCTGGGTTCGAAGATGAAAATGCTAGAAGGCAAGAGGAGGGCATAATAGAACAATTAACGCAGGAAATCACCCGAGCTTTCCACGATTGCCAGCGCGCGATTCAGCGAATCGAGACCATGGTGAAAGAACAGAAGCAGCATGGGGGAGTCAGCAAGAGTGATGAGACGATGGCGAAGAATATCCAGATATCACTTGCCTCAAGGGTTCAGGAAGCCAGTGCTGGATTTAGAAAGAAGCAGAGCATGTATCTAAAAAGTAAGGGCTCCCACCATCCCTATCCCCCAGAGGGTTTCCTTACAACCCAGATCAGATCAACTAATTTTACTATTGTTGCGCAAATACAGAATTACGAAGCTTGGATGGAATGACGACACCGCTGGAGCGGTCCGCAACGCCCATACAAAACCCATATATGGATCCGTCCCTGATAGAGTCAGATGCCGACAAATCCTATTCACAATCCACCCTCCTCCAAACATCCCAGAAGCGAGTAACCAGCAACGACACCGCGATCGCCCAACGCGAGCGCGAAATCAACGACATTGCGCGCGGCATTATAGAGCTGTCTGATATCTTCCGCGATTTGCAGGCAATGGTCATAGATCAGGGCACGATGCTCGACCGCATCGATTTCAATGTCGAGCGCATGAATGTCGACGTGAAAGCGGCTGATAAAGAGCTTACAGTCGTACGTTTTTCTTGTTGCTCTATCTCCTACCGCTTGTCTTCTCTTTCCCTCCCTGCTGTCTTCAAATATATGAAAACACATTATCTCCACCATATCTACTCAAACTAAACACCTCCCAAACAGGCAACCAACTACCAACGACGCACCGCGAAAAGAAAAATCCTTCTCCTGCTATTCCTCCTCGTCGTCGGCATGTTCATCATTCTCCTCGTAAAACCAAAACGGAGCAGTACCGACTCACCGGCTCCAGCGCCAGCACCAGCCCCGCAACCCCCAACTGCACAACCGCACCAAAGAACGCAAATGTACCGCAGAACGTTGCTCCCGTACAGCTCTGGTCATGGATCGCCAGACCCACCAACCCCCCCCTCAACATCATCTTTATTATCTTCATCACCATTATCCTCCCCCACCTTCCCATCTTCATTTCTCATTCGAAGGAACCGATTCTCGAGGGATTCCTGGATCGTTGCGCCAGATATAATAAATGTCCCCTAAATAGTAAATGATAATAATAACAACAATATAGATTACATAACGTATCTTCAGCGGGCTTGAATTATTATATCAGCTCGTCTTCCTTGGTGTTCTTTTCTTTCAAATGAAATACATTTTCGCCGTTTTTTATTGTGTCATGTCTGCCCGTGCTCAGTCTTCTCGCTCTCTGTGCCTAGTCTGATGTGCGTCGTGCCCTGTGTTTCGAGAGACAAGAAGTACTTACCGCACATATATGTACAAATGGATAGAGTGTTCGGTTCGGATCTTCCACCCGTGTCTTTACGGAAATTAACCCTTTTCACACCCTAGCGTTGACCCACCAAAGAAAAGTGAAAAAAAAGGGGGAATTCAAATAAGTTTCATAAAGTTTCCCGTGTCTTCATTTGAAAAAGTTTATGATAAAACCAAACTGACCGAGTAGACAAAAGAGCTGAAAGAAAGCCATGCGAAAAGGAGAAAAAAAAAAGCCCTTGATAAAAAAAAAAACAAGAAAGGAGGGCAAAAGAGGCAACAATAGAATTCCCATGCCATCCATTGACCTAGTAAACAGTAGTAGCACCTCGTCTCCGTTCCTTATCCCAATCGCAGCTACAACCTCTAACCCAGACGCCCTTAACCTACCTATATAGGCAAGATACAAGTACAATACAATACAATACGGACCCCCAGACTCTAATACTTGTTACTCTCCTGCCTCAACAGCTCCGCAACGTCATCATCCAAGTCCGCCATAACGTCTCCCCCAGCAGCAAAGCCCGGATACTCATCCTGCTGCGGATGCGGATGCGAAACTTTGCGCTTCTTCGCGCTCGATCCATTCGTGTCCGCGTTTGTAGTTGCGGGGAGATCTGTGGGGCCCTGCTGTGCTCCACCAGGTCCATGTCCATGTAGCGCCGCGAGAGTTGAGGATAGATCCATAGCGGTAGGCATGGTTGGTGTTGTTGCGGCTTGGTTATCCACAGCGCCTTGCTGTGGGAGGAAGGGCTCTGTGAGGTACTGGTGCTGTGGAAGCTCGGTTTGGCCCGGCTGAGTAAAAGTGCCAATCCCTGTCGTGGGCTGTTGCTGATGGTTATGATGCTCCGCATTGCCCGCTGACGCTTGGTTTCGAGAAGGGGAGCCGGTTGGCGTGAGGGCCTCGACAGGTGGGGGTGTCAGCGCCTCGACGACGGGACGCTCAGGCTCTTCGCTTGGTTGAGTTGGTGTTGTCGTTTCCGCACTACCAGTATCATTCCCACTGCCATTTCCCTGTGGCGCTGGCGAATTCTCCACCGATAAGCCGCGCATTATAGCGTCTTCAACGTCCCGCTTCCTACTCTCGGTCTCCATTTTGCGCGCCGCCAGTTGTTCAACCTGCGCCTGTTCCTTGGATAACGCTGCGCGGTTCGTGTCTAGAAGCTTCTCAAGCCCCTGAATCAAGCTCTGGCGTGACTTGATGATTTCTGAAACGGAGCTTTCTGCATTTGCGAGGGACTTTAGAAGCTGGCTTAGACGTGCGGCGTGAACGGGGGGTGTGGGGATCTGGGCGGATGGGTCGTTCATTTTGTCATATTCGGTGTTGGCAGCTGTGATGGCGGCAGTTGAGGCGACAGTTGCTTTGGAGACGGCCGTCTGTAGTGGGGCTAGGGGCTGTAGCTCGGATGGAATAGACCCAGGCGCGCTGGCGAACAGCGAGCCGCCCAGCAATGGTTTTTTGCCGGATGATTTAGATTTGTCCACCTCTGCAGGGAACCGGTTAACAGGAACGGCGGAAGAGTTACAAGGGGAAAGTTGAAGGACAAACCATCAACCCGAGCCTCTACGGCCTGCTGAATAGGTTCCTCAAAAATATTCCGTTGTCGCCAAACCTCAATTACACGCCTTAGCTTTCGTTGGATATCATTCGAAGCTCCCTTAAACGCGACTGCAGTCGCATCCGCGATGATCTAGAGGAGGTAGTTCAGCACAATGGACAGATGTATAAAATAATAACAGAACTGCAGGACATCAAGGCAAACCTACTGGTGAGAAGGCAATGAGAAAATCCTGCTTCCGCTTTGCTTTAGATTGTTGTGCGACCTCTTCCAGCCGGGTAAGGGGCAAAAGTTAGCATGTCTATCTCCTCTCCCCCCCCGTGACGTCTCGGAACAACCTTAGATTGAACCCACCATTTGCTAAGTATATAAGATTCAGGCGCTTCGGAGGATTTGATTCGCGAAGTTTCTGTAACCATAGCTGCGCAGTGCGGTCTGCATGTCTCCTACAAAATGGCGATTCTATTTCAGCAATGTTTGCACGCGCGGGTGAGATAGGGAGAGGGACAAGGAGGAGCAAACCTGTGGAACATGACCCACTGGGCTACCGTGACGATGGATTCCTGGGTCTCATTGAGGGCAGACAGCTTAGCCTTGACGGCGTCATCAGTGTATGACATTGTCCTGAGGAGTTTTGGGCTTGAATCCTGGTGTGGGGGGGAGGTTGGTGTCAAGCTATTTATTTATCCAAACAATGGATGAGTCTGGCGATAGTTAACACACTAGGGATTGCAAGCGGACGAGTTACGTGAGCTGGGATCGCAAAGGGTTTAGTGAGCTCAGGGATAGCAGAACTCAAGAGTTGGCGACAGATATGTAGCAGCTAGGCGTAAGTATTCACTTCGTCATGATTTGCCTTGGAATATCGTCAAGCCCCAAGCAATAAATACATAGGTTAAGGCTGTTGAAGCCACAGTCGTTGCTTGGGTCCTGATATGCTCACCGCCTTCGCTCTATGGATTTGGTGGCAGAATCCCGCCAGACAGCAACCAGCGTCGTAATATCTGTCTATCTAGATCCATCTTTCCATCTCCAGTCTCCCATCTCTTTGTCTCAACTAATCGACAGAAATCTCTAGTTACTCTCTCAATATCAGTTATATTTTCCAGCATCCGCTTCTCAATTGGCTGTCCATTTCCCGTACTCCCCATCCTCCATCATCATGGCAGACCGGTTCCCGTCTCTAGAGGACTTCTCTGCCGGTACGATTATAACCTCTATCCATGCTTCCCAGAAGCCCTTTCTGACTTGCATTGTTGAAACTAAAATAAAAAAAAAAAAACAATCGGTCAAACAGAACCCACAGGCACCCAAGGCAGCCCGAGAGGAACCGCTACTGAGGGCGAAGACTTCCTAACGCGCGAACGTGCTCTCCTGGGCGATGATGCAGACCAGTTCGCTACTCCAAATGACCAACTCCAGACCTCTGCCACGGTGGAAGACGCTACGGAAGACGATCTGCTAGGCGGTGGAGGAGGAAACGACTATCAGCCAGGCAATACTGAGGGCGGAGATATAATGGGAGGGTTCGAATCGTCGTTTCCCGCCCTAGAATCACAGAATGAGGTACGTACTCTCCTGATGAGGGTTCAAAAAATAAATAAATGCGAGGAAAAGAAAAAGAAATTACGTTCTATGTTCTACGTTCTAATCTTATTTTCATATGCAGCAAGTTGCGCCAGGTGGGACCATCACAGGCGCAAGTTCTTTCCAACCTTCATACTCCACATACAAACAGCCAGAAGAAGAGCCAGAAGCAGTCCGGTAAGTCCCCTCCAATCAACCAATCAATCAAACAATCACGGCAACAAGAACGACATCATCAGCATCAGCATCGTCTAACCCTCCCTCTCCCCTCCCCCCCCACCACAGCGAATGGCGCCAAAAACGCGACGAAGAACTCACCCGCCGCGCCGCCATCTCCGCCGAGCGCAAAGCAGCCACCATCTCCAAAGCCCAACAGGACATCGACGACTACTATGAGTCCTACAACAAGCGCACAGACCGCGCCAAGGAGCGCACGCGCAAGGAGGCCGACGAGTTCCTGGAGAACCGCGAGGATACGGCCGCGGGCGGAACCAGCTGGGAGCGCATTGCCAAGTTGGTGGATGTTAGTGGGAAGGGGTTAAAGGGGGGTGCGAGCGGGTCTGGGAAGGAGAGGTTTCGCGAGTTGCTGCTTGAGTTGAGGAAGGATGAGGGTGCGCCGGGGGCTGCGGGGGTCTGAGTGTGTTTCGCTGTTTGCGTCTTGGATGTTGGGTGTTGGGTGGGTGGGCAGGGTTTATGGGGATGCTTGTGGTGTGAGGCGGTGTTTTGGATGGACGGGGTCGCGGATGGGGTTGAGGTGGGCATCCGTGGATGGAATAGAATGGCTGGTTTCGGCGTTGTTCATCTATACGCCGGGAAAGAAAGCGGTTCGATAATTGAAGACCATGCTTCGATTTTTGTTTCCAATAAACGGAATTTAAAAAAAAAAAAAAAAAAAAAAAAAAAAAAAAAAAAAAAAAAAAAAAAAAAAGCAACACCACGACGCGGAGAGAGGAGAGGAGTAAAGAGGAGTTAGGAATCGGCTTCTAACCCACATCGATTCTCCGTCAAACGAACCCATCTATAAACGCATCCCATGCCATCATCCATCCACTCCGACACCCTATCCCGCATCATCATCATCATCATCATCGTCATCATCAGCCCGCTTTCCTCTAGGCACCCACTCTCTCTTGCCCCATCCAGCGTTCTATTCTATTTTCCACCTCTGTCATCCCTAATGATCTCTTCAATTTCCTTTCTCTTTCTTCAGCAGCCCCGCCTTTTTGGTCTGTTATTTAGTTCCTTCTTCTTTTTTATTCAGTTAAAGATAGCTAGTTTCCTTTCTCTGCGAATTCCAGAATTTATTTTATTTTTTACTTCCCTTGTCTTGCGTGTAGAATCTATTAATTGACGCGCAATGTCCAGAGAAGGGAAACAGAAAAAAGCCGTAAGACCAGGGTTACTAGGGGAGGCAAATTGGCGCCCGCAAGGAGTGTAAATATACAAAGAAAAAGAGAGAGAAAAATCCTGTACAAGAGTTTAAGCGTTGAGTCATGTCATTGTGTGCATTAAGTTATCAATATATATGTATATATAGAGAGTGAGGTAGTATGTAGTTTCCCCAAGATGCAAATACAAAAAGAACTCCATAATCTATAACAGTAGCGGAAAAGAAAAAGAAAAAGAACAAGAAGGAAAATGACAGAAGCAAAAGAGAAAAGAAAAGAGAGCAAAAAGTAACAAGGGAATGAGGAGATGTGAGATTCGTATACGTATATATATGAGGTATGAAAAGGGGAAATATGCCAACGGAAGACGAAACGCAGAAAAAAGAGAAGAAAACGGATAAGAAATGAAAAAAGGAACGCAGTAAAGACCGGGAATATGACAACCCAAACCATCCAGTCCCCAGAGCGGAAAACCCTCATTCGCGGCACCTGAACCAAAAAGTCTCTCTCTCAATGGCAGAACGTAGATACCCCAAGAAGATCATCTGCCGATACCCAACACGTTCACGCGCCTTGATTGATAACCAGAGGCCCGGGGGACTCAACATAGCCTGACACGAGACACCCAGTATCTTTAGCTGCTTTGTATTGGTCTGGGCTGACTCGACGGGGAGGCTGGAAAACCCTGAAAAATATCACTGGAAAAGTCTCGACCGACAGGACAACACTGCTGTGAAACCATGAGTTCCAAGGATGAATATATAAATAAATTCGTAAATATAAATATGAAAACCTAGGGGGTTTCAATATTTGGCCTGGGGGGAGGAGGTTGGTTTTAAAAGTAGCGGTTGAACGAGGAAAGTGGTGGGGGGTAATATATGTAATATTCCAGGTCCCCTCTTGTCGGCTTTCCCGCATGCTATGTTATGCACAAATAAAAATAAAAATTGCATCAGATCATTTATTTTCCAAAAGATGCACACCGATAAGGATGCTCCTCGGAAGGAATGGGTGGACAATTTTGTCGTAAGATAGGTGTGGTGGTTGCTTGTATAGGCATCCTTGCATATGCGACTGGAGATAGAAAATATATGTAAAAAAATAAATAAAAACGAATAAAACGTATGAGACGACAAGAGAAGATGCGGGAGATAGAGGAAAAGAGGGGAAAAAAAGAAACGGTTGTCTTGTTATGCCACCACGGCAGTCAGAGGGACAGGTTTCTCAGCCTGCGGTTGCTCCTCCTCCCTAAACATTAAGCGCTTCAACAGGTCAACTGTCTTGGCGCACAATGGATCTACGTATAGAGTCCACAGGTACGCAACCGTGTACAAGACGGCGTAGAAGATCGGGAGAATGAATACAAACACCAGTCCGCCCGGTTTGGGCAGCTGAATGAGGTTGCCCTGCGCATCTGTCTTTGGGGTCGTGGCTGCGGTACGCCAGTAAGCCATCCAGACGAGGATGGTGCGCATGAGCGAGTTGTGGAGTAGGTAGACGGGGAAGGAGACACGGCCGAGGAAATTGAAGACGGGGTTCGTGAGGACTCTTTGCGCATTGCGGGAGAAGAAGATTCCAACCATAAGGATTGAGGTGCCGACGGAGACCCAGTAGCGGGATAGGTCGGTGTTGGCGGGGACGACTAGCTCCATTGACTCCTTCATTGTTCGTGACCAGTAGGCCCAGTGTGCATTGTGTTGTGGATAGCTCCATACAAACAGACCCACGAGGATGATGAGCGAGGGGACGGGTTTGGGAAGTAAGGAAGTAGCCCGAGAGCCAAGGTCCACCTGGAGCTGTGCAAGCGCAAGGCCTGCGAAGATGTTTATTCCAACGATATCTGGATTTGGGGAAAAGTTTGTTAATTTGGAGTTTGAGGGAATAGAGTTGAGAGTTTTACCGTGAGCGTTAACTAGTAGAAAGGGGCAAAAAAAAAAGGGATGCTTACAATCTCCAGTAGACCAACACCAGACGTAAAGGAATCCGGTGACAAGGCGCCAATACCGTGTCTGGAGAAGCATCATGGCCAATAGCGCCAAATATACCCGGAACGAACCTTGCAAGAAATATACAAGTGTCCAGTGAGTGCCATCATATTCACCTGGGCCGGCATGCCAAAATAGAGTCAAAGCACGGAAGAGTTTGATCAGAGCCTCTCCCCAAGACGCATCTGGACCATGGGCTTGTAGGCGGATCCAGCCCGCATCAACCCGAGAGGCCATATGAAAAGCACCAAGTTGCGCCAGGAGCCAAGCAATACAGACAGCAATGGAGGTGGGCAGCACTAGGCGGCCCGAGCGAGTGAAGGTGCTCCTTGCCAGATTGACGAGGGCGACGGAGGTGTTGTTGGCGCGGGCATTTTTGACGGGGTTGAGTGAGTTGACGAAGCCGGTGATGATGAAGAAGATAGCCACGGCGCCACGGCCGCCCACGACGAGCCTGAAGAAGGGGAGTTGGAATAACAAAGGGCCCTCACCCTCTCTAATGGTGGGATTGTGTAGATATGGAACGAAGGCGGTGCAGATGTGGCCGGTAACGACGATGAAGGAGGCAACACCACGGAGGCCCTGGAGAGCGGTAAGGCAGCGTACATTATTAGACGGGGCAGTCCACACACACACAAAGATTATCAAGAGAGATAGTTTTTAAACAGATATCCATATTAGCATGAAAACCACGTACATCAACCCAATTGTCCTCCCTCTTTCTCTGGGAGGACGCCGGGGGCGTGGCTTTGCTGGGGAGGATCGACCTCAGGGAAGCGAAGGGAAAGGAGATACGGGCAAACATCGTGGAGGAGGAGAGGAAGACGACTATAATAATAATAATAATATCATGGGAAAAGCAACGCAAGAGGTAATCTCTTTCCCGAGTCCATTAATCGTAGATTATATTTATCTTCCAAGGGTTGTTTTCGGAGTATTCAGATCCTGATGTAAGGGGTCCCGCGAGGGTTAAAGAGAAAGAGGGGAAAGAGGATTGCACCAGCAAGACGCAGGGCAGAGGGCGTTCAAGGAGCGAGAGTTGTTGAAGATGAAGAAAGCAAGACGACGACGACAATAATAATAATATTAAATGTAGACATTGGGACCGGACGACCAGGGTGAGACAAGCCGAGATATAGGGCGTTTCGCAGAGCAGTCTAGCATCAGTCTAGCATCAGTCTTAGCACCAGTCTGGCAACTCACAAGCTCGGCCAATCTGTCATTCCCCGGATGGCTTGAGAATATTTCGCAGCGTTAATAAGTTGTATACGGAGTATACTCCGTATATTATTTAATATTATTATTCCTGTCTGAATGTTCTTCCTGACTGACCCTCCTGCAACTCGGCCTAGGCGCCTATATAGCTCTATTCCCTCAGAACTTCAGAATTCCTGTAAACTGTAAACTGTTTATTTACTGTTAAATTGTAATTGAGCGGGCCCCTGATCTACAGCACTAAAAGTATCAGATTGATTCTAATACACGGCTTGTTTCCCAGCGCAACTTAATCCGGCAATTATCCAGGATATCAATCACAACTACATTAAAAAAAAAAAAAAAAAAAAAAAAAAAAAAAAAAAAAAAAAAAAAAGAGTAAATAAACAAACACATCCAGCGAATTTTTCTGCAAATAATACCAGCACCCTTCTCTTTTATTGGCCAACGTCCATACCATACCCTCGCAAGATGCAAGAATACATAGTGATAAATAAGTTGTCGGTGGCTGACCGAAGCAAACCAGTACCAGGGGCCCTTGTAGCCATCATGGCAAACATCCCATGGATATTGATTTTTACATCCATGGAGAATATAAGAAATAACATATTCTAGTCCCCAAGCTGGGGAAAAATTATATATATAAATATATAAAGATCAATCAGCTTGGAATCAGATTGAGTTGCAGAACTTGGAACAAACGGGAATATAAAACGATAAAAGGCAGAGTCCAATCTAGTTTTTCCTGAAATAGTCCTTGGTGAATCATTAACTATTATAACTTACTTTCTCTTTTCTTTTTTTATCCTTTTCCTGCCCCTTTCCTAGTCATATATTATTAAAAAGAAGCTCCTCTGGTTCCCGTTCCTGCAATCCTGGTATGCTGTGTGGCCCTAACCTGAACTCTCCGCCAAAGAGATAACTATGGTAATAACGAACCTAACAGACCCCAACGGAGAATAAATCGAAAAAGAAAAAGAAAAGAAAAAAGTATGATACTTCTTGATAACTCAACAAGAACTTCCCGACTTATTATCTCGTCGGAGAGCCTTTTCGAGGGGCTCTCTTTCTTTCACCTTACATAGAAGCCGAACTTCGGCAATGTCTCGACGGTTGCCAGGCTCAGCATATTTATTCTCGTCGCTACGGTACATGTACATGTAATGTATGTACTCCGTACATCGTCGCAATTCTCCAGTGTTTGTTCACACTTCATTTACCCCCTATAAACTCGCTGTGGTGATATCCCACCCCTAGGAAATAACTCCCACGTCTCTTACTAAGGAGAAACCGCATTTGGTCTTGTCCTCGCGCGGGGTTGGGTTGTTCCAAATACAATCCCGCCCCCCAAATCACGAAAGATGAACCTCTCACCCTCCAGAAGAGTCTCGTTGTACTGCGTATTTGGGGGAAGAGATAACCATACCAAACCAAACCAACGTTGAATCTTTCATTTCCACTTATTGCTGTACAGACAGAAGAAAAACAGACACGATAAAAGACAAGCCCGGAAGTGCGGAGAAGGGAAAAAAAAAAAAAAAAAAAAGCCATCAGGTTCCAACACTTGGGCTATATACGAGGACTGAACTAGATTTTTTTAGCAGGGGGAGATGGATGACTCGGATTGAGACAAATCGCCCAATTGTGGAGAACGGGACTGGAACAGGAGGCTGAGACATACATAGGCTGACAAGTTACAACCTTCTCAAATAAACGTCTTTGGTGGTGGTGGCGGAGGAGGAGGAGGAGGAGGAGGAGGAAGGAAATGGCAAGAATAATGGTGTGTAAGTTACTGTACGTACGTCTAGAATGTTGTTGATTCCCACACTCTCCCACACTCTCCCACTTCATATAAAATTTAATATTTAATCAATAGGCGGGGATATGAATTTGCAAGTTTTTGGCAGCGAGCTAGAGAGAGGATGGGTTGGCCTGTCTGTTAGTTAACGTACATGTACTTGTACATGTACATACAGTACAGTACAGTACCTATCCATACCTACCTGGGCGGGCTTCATTAAGCAACATAACAATTGACGAAGAGACCTAGGATATCTGAAACTGCTGAATTGCCACAGGCCAACAGGCAACTAAATACCTTGTGGGTTGAGTTTCCTCGATCAAGCGGGGCCCGGCATAGGCCTCTTCTAGTTAATCTCTCTATATATCTCTCTTCTCTCTACGCAGTATATATTATAGAAAAGCCAACTTTTCCGAGTAAAATGTGTCAGCTACTGGGGCAAAAGAGCTCAATCACCACCAGCGCACTGCTGGTAGAAGGGCCGACCAACCGCGGGACCCCCAACAAAATGCCCTGTAACATGACCTCACATGATATCACATGCACCTCATCAAATCCATCAATTGGGATTGACCAGCCAGCTCTGCAGCCCATACAGCTCTGATATTAATCTTCATTCTCTCCTTTACAGATGTTCTCTACTGTATTTACATTCTTTATACTCTTCTCTACATTCATTACAACCTATACATGTGAAAGGTGTAAAGCTTGCTTGATTGAAAAGGTTGCTAGCTTGTGGGAAGTTATATGATGGAAGGATTAGTAAGCCAGATTATGTGACCTGACAATACATTCATTAATATACTCTATTTATTATAGAAAAACCAACTTTTCCATGCAAAAAAACACTGTAATGTGATATCATGTGTATTCTATCAAAAATATTTGAATGCTCTGACTCATACAGCTCAGATCAATCTTCAAATCTTCATTCTTTTTTTTCATTCTGCTCTTTTCATACATTCTCTATAGTATTTACATTCCTTATACTTTTCTCTATATTCACTTTTGATCTCTGTGTTCATGGCATGCACTGCTAAATTCTCTGTAACATGATCTCATGTGATGTCATGTGCATCTCTTTGAATTCAGATGGGATTGAACAGCTGGCCG